TTTTAACGTCACCAATATTATCTTTACTTTATCGAAAAAATTATGATGTCAACAAATTGTCTACTCCAAATGTCGCTCAAGAATTACGTATTAATCGTGGAAGCGAAGTAAACATGGCTGCTATAGAAGGTAGTATTAATAATATTGATGATATTGAAACAATTTCAAATGGTAGAATAAGTTTTGATGTGGAGAAACGAAGTTCATTTGGATCACGCAAAAAATCGCTATCTAATGTAGTGGCGCATTCTTCATCTGTAATGTTTGACAACCATATAACTTATATGGGAAGTAATCGAAGTCTAAATAGGCAAGATATGGAGGATTTCTTTAGTACAACTGAGGATGTACATCCTCGTACTTCAAACATGACACGATTTTAAATCAAATATTCTCATATCATTATATTTGATTATTCAATATATAAGAATATACATAAGATATTATATAACTGTTCTATTTTTAATAAAAAATATCGTCTTTTTCATTTAATTTTTAAAGAAGAAATAAAGACGAACAATAATTACGCTTTAAAAGGTGAATATACTTTATTATTTTAATAGATTTGTCATGGATTCATATAAAAGAATTACTAATATAGCTATGATACAATAAAGATAGTTTTCTTAAGAAATCCAGTAAATTAAAAAGTACAGTACTCCTGAATGAAATATAAAGAAAACAAGAAAGTTTTTTAAAATTAAATTGAACAAGAATAAATATATTTCTATATAGTTAAACGTTATTTCGAAATCATATTTTATTTTATAATTTTAATACAAATACACTTTCCATAAAATCTACAATAAAATACTCATGACAGATAAATCATTCTTAAAAATTTTATCAAATTAAAAGAAATTAATATACCAAATATATTCATATTTTGCGACTTATTTTCAATGTACTATTTGTCAAATATAAAAAAGATTAAATCATATTTTTGTTCTATTATCATGCATTATAAATATTTAAATTTTATTTAAATTAATTCGTAATATATCATAAAATAACACAAGCTCGAGATCTAGTCGTTGTTTTTTGTGAACCAAGAATAATAGGTGCAGTAGAAGTAGTAGTATTAATTTCGCCATTAGATTTTATAATATTCATCATACGATACTTGGAAAAAATAGCTTGAGCCGCATCTTGAAATCGAAGGTCTTCATAATCATCAACGTGTTTATTGTTTGTTGTATTAATACCATCACTCATTCATCCTATTTGTAAATTTTCTATTAATAAAAATATATATTTACTCTACCATACTCAACTAGATTGCCATGGTTTTCAATAACAGTTATATACATACATAACAGCGCCATCTTTCGTAGAATATATAGTTTACATATTGAACCAATTAAAATTTTGTAATAGCCTTTGTATTTTTCTATCGGTCATTGAGTAAGTAAAAGCAAGAAAAATTTAGGTAATTCATCGTTTGAAATAGAAAAATATACGGTAATTATGACTGAAACAAAATTAACTGGTGAAGTCAGTAAAGTTGATCGATCAATTGACCGATTGAAAACATGTCCATTATTATTACGTGTTTTTTGCAATAAAAATCGTCATCATTTAGCCAGGTTTGTTTTCGAATATTTCTATTACGTTGTTTTGAGAATAAAATTTTTTCTTTCAGGGAATATGAACAAGGACATACACCAGAAAATGAACTTCAAATTTATACTTGGTTAGATGCAACATTAGGAGAATTGACACAATTAATCAAAGAAGTTAATCCTGATTCACGTCGTCGTGGTACACAATTTTTATTTTCAATTGTTTCTGCTGATGAATCACGTAATCGTTATTATCTTACGGAAATTGGTAAAACTGAAAATGGTCAAAAACGTCCTGAAGATAAAATACAATTAGGAAATAAACGTTTTCGAATAGGTGATTATCTTGATGTTGCTATTATGCAAAAAAGACAAGAACAATCAACACCAAATTCACGACGTGATCGAGCTCCTCAACAATCATCTGAAGATAATAATAATAATAATAATAACAATAATAAACGACGTAATGGTCCAAATAATGAAAGAAATGGTGGTGGACCTATGCGATCAGCACCACGAAATGATCATCGTGATCGTCCATATTAATTCAATAAAACATTATTCATTATTGTATTTGTTTTGGTTTTTTCCTGTACATGTTGATCTATGTTCGTGCATATGTTAAGTGTTACTCTTTGTTTCTTGTTTGAATACACAGAAGAGAAAAAAAAAAACCTAAATTCATCTTTGTTTCTTCTTTACGTTAAAAATACAAGTGAAAGATATTGAATCTATATATATATATCTGTTCTAGAATAATCTTATGATATAGAAAAATAATTCCGATGTGGCTAGTGGTTGTTTCTTATACGAATGGAAATAAATAATGTAAGTATTCAAAATAGTTTATTAATCAATAATGAAGAAAGTTTTTCTTTTTATAAAACTGAACTATTTTTCTAATAGATTCTATTTATCTAAACATTCGATGAGGGTAGTCTGTTTTATCATAACTTTATCTTTTCACCTTTGTTCTCATCTATACATAGCTTATGATTTTTAAATATTCTGTTTATAGAGAACACAACATAATAGCCTACATATGAAATCATTCCGAGTACTTCCTGTATTTATTATTGTTCTTTTGGCTGTAATCATTGCTCGATATTATGTACCTGTTCATGTACCCGGTCCAATGGGACATCCATGGAAATACAAAATTGTATCAGGTACTTTTGCATTGATACTTGATCTTGTAAGTTATATTTAAAAACAAATCATGGTTTATAAGATTTAAAAGTTCATTTATAGAGTCGTTTTCTTGAATCTATCATTGGCATTCCTCATTATACAATTCTTAATACAATTATTGATTCTCTTGATCCTTTTAAAATACGTCCATTTGATCATGGTGAAGTGTTGGTAAATAAAAATATTGCTTATTATTGTATAACAATTCTTTATTTTATAATATATGATTTAGTATCATGATCAATACATTGAAAATGTTCTTGTACGAATGTATACACCAAAAAATGTCTCTCACATACCATTATCACCAGTGATTATATTTTTTCATGGTGGTGGATTCTATTTTGGAAGCATTTGTAAGTAATTGATTTTCAGTTTTCTTGTAAAGTATTATTTTTGTTATAATAGATTCACATGATACTATGAATTATCATTTATCTATGTATACTGGTGCAAAAGTGATTGCTGTAAAGTATGTAGATTATAGTTTAGAATATATATATATATATATAATGAATTAATTTATGTTTAGTTATCGTTTAACACCTAGTGTTCATTATCCAACACCAATTGAAGAAGGTGTAAAAGTAGCAAAATATGTTATTGATAATTATCAAGAATTTGCTATTGATCCAGCAAATGTTTTTCTGTGTGGTGATTCAGCAGGTTTATCATCGTTTTTTCATTTAATTTCAAGAGAGTTATATTTCTTTGTTTTCTTTAGGTGGTAATATGGCTGTAGTTGTTGAAAGACATCTACGTCGTGAACAAAAACCAGTTATACGTGGTGTTCTTCTTCTTTATCCTTTACTTCAACTTGTTCATTATCGTTTATCATCATATCTTACTTATTTACCATATCGTCTTCTATCATTACTTCACGAAGATTTGCTCGTACAAGTCGCTAATTTCTATATTAATACATCATTTACTGGTGATGAACTTTTCACTAATCAACATTTATCATTAAATGATTATAAAAATTTCTATTCAAAATTGAATTTACAAATCTCAGACAGTGATAATGATGATATTAGTAAATATCACTCATCATCATCATCGAAATCATCTCATCCAGATACTTGGAAATTATTTAATGAAAATATTTCACCTTTATTAGCTGATGATGACATTCTACGTAATAGTCCATCCACATTTATTGTTGCTTGTACATATGATATACTTTTATCTGATGCTCAATTATATTTTCGTCGTTTACAACAATTAAATGTTAAAAATGTTATTTATAGAGAATATCGAATATTTCATGGTGTTATGACATTTGTTGACTTTCCGGTTGCTTTTAACGAAGCTTTTGATATAATTAATGACAGTGCTCAATTTGTAGTTAATCGAACTGCTTTAGTCGAATAAACTTTGTACATATAGAAAGAGTAATGAAAAAAAAAACAATTCAGTATGAACGAATGAGTATGTAATTGTATTATCGTTTTGTTATTGGATGAAAACAAATATATTTAGAATATGAATGTGAATACTATTCATTCCTTTTTTTTCTATAATATGTTACTAAAAAAGAATTTTAATTTTTAAAGATTTAAGTAGTGTAAATCAAAATAATAACGGTGGTTTTTGTTACTTCAATATGTAATAATAATAATAATCTATTTCATTCATATCACAATTCTAATACTAGATTTAGACTACATAACATCATAATCGTACGATATATTTGACAGAATATTATTGGAGAATGCATTTCGTGTATAATATACCTTTTGATATCGAGACGATGTGTTCTTGTTTTCACTGGTCTCGTATGACTGCACTTGTTTTATGGTTTAAATAGTGTGAAAAATGAATAGAATGAGTCAGTAAAATTAATGTTATTCATTGACAGAAATAAGATATAATTGGTATATCACGGAAAATCTCTATTAAAATATTCTTTATTCTAGATAAAATATGGCTCGTACAGCTCAACGTTTAGCTATTATAGGTGCTATTACAGCAAGTATTATTGGTTATCTATATCATGCACCTAATAGTGATGGTATCGCACAAATGAGTCGAGTTCGAGGATTGACTGCAACAATGAAAATAGTTCATGTTATTGTATGTAATAAGTTATTTAATTCATTTCATAATATCATTCACTTGTTTTTTGGTAGGGTACAGTAGCTGAATTGTTTGGTATATCGGATCGTGTTGCAGTTGTTCGAAAATTTTCAAGTTTGAGTCGACATGCAAAAGATAAAAAAGATGATGCTGGTCTTGCGGTAAAATTAGTTATTCCCTCTAGTTTATATTATTGAATCTTGTTTAGATTGAAGATACTTTTATTGAAAATATACCAGTTAGAATTGCTCGTCCATTGAATAATAACGGTAATTTACCAGCTATTGTCTTTTTTCATGGTGGTGCATTTTATATGGGATCTGTTGGTAAAGTTGATTGTCTTATTATTACAAAATAATGTTAATAATTATTTATGTATATGTAGATACACACAATTCTATTACTAGCTATTTAGCACGAGAAGCAAATGCGGTTGTTATATCTGTTGAGTAAGTATCTTTTTATACTTTAAATTAATCGAACACATATAATTTGATTTCAATTGTATTATTTAGTTATCGTCTCGCACCAGAATATCCTTTCCCAGCTGGCGTTGATGATTGTTATACAGTGACAAAATATGTTCTTGACCATGGTGATTCACAAAAATTACGCATTGATCAAAATCGTGTTGCTATAGCTGGTGATTCAGCTGGTATGTTTTTTATTGTTTAATAACCATACGCTGTATAATATAGAAATGATACTATTAAAAGCATCTACTTCATTTTTAAAATATCGAGCATTACGACAAATCTTTTATATGATCTGGGAATTCTCTTATTTTATTTCTCTCGTGATCTAACTACAGTATTTGACAAAAGAGGTTTCTGTTGATCTAAATTAAAAACTACATAATGTAAGATAAATGACATTATGACAAAATTTGACTTGAGAAATTTAGTATCAATGAAAAGAACACTAAGTTTATAGTTTGAAAATAAATATCACTTAAAAGTGTGAAGAAAAATATCTATCTAATTTTGTATTTTAGGTGGTAATTTTGCTGCTGTAATTGCGATGCGTTTTGCTAGTCAATCTCATCACAAGCATTCACCTCGCATTCAGATTCTTATCTATCCTTCTTTGCAATTTTTCGATCTTATGCTTCCATCTTATATTCAGGAGCATTATCAATTTTTTCAATATACTGCTGATCATACTTTATCTGCTTATGTAAATGAAAAAATTGATCCATCAGTTTATTCCAATAATCATTTAAGTGTTGAACAAAAGAAGCATTATCGTAAATATGTTGATTGGTCTTTAATTCCATCAAAATATCGAACAGTTTATAAAAATCCAATTACAGATGATCAGGAAGGTGATCCACAATTAATTGAAAAAGCTAAAAAAGTTTTAGATCCAGAAGTGTCTCCTTTACTTGTCGATGATCAAAAATTAGCTAAATTAATGCCCACCTATATATTAAGTGTTGGTCATGACCGTTTACGTGATTGTGCATTCATCTATGAAGGTCGTCTTAAACGTGTTCATGTGCCAGTTGTTCATGATCATTATGAACATACATTTCATGGTTCAATAGGCTTTTTGCATGGACCATTTGCATTGGATATTGCACATGAAATGATCAGTGGTGTTGTGAAATATATTAAAGAGAATCTATAAGTTATAAACGTTACTTTACATTTTGAATTTTATTCTGTAGAAACATTTGCCATATTCTAGTATGATTTGTGTGATAATCCTGCAATTTATTTATCTAAATTCGTTTTAAAAACTTTTGTATCACCTAAATAAATTATTTGATTCAATTTAAAAATCTTATGTCTGTGTATATCTGATTGTACTATGTTCAACTCCATAGACATGATTGTGACTTGTTTAGTATATATTTAATAGATGAAACTAAATGAACAAAAATTAAAAAAACATGCAAGCGGATAGTATTCTGACATTCGCTATTTGTGCATGGAATAAAAAGTATTTCCACCATAATCTAAAACTAACATTTTTATGTCAAGCTCGATCTATATTTTGTATTTTACAATCATATGCGACTCATATTTGATCTCTTGTAAAACAATTTCTATTCAAATAACTGTCATGTCTCAATTTGTACGATCCTTAGAAACAAAAATTAATTAGTTCACTCAAAATTATTGATATTTTGCAATACGTGAAGAGAATAGTCGTAAATATGTTCAATCACTACGAGTTTAATAAAAAGACAAAAAAGAATATTAGAGAACAGTAACAAATATTAAAAAAATGTATCTTGACGCTTATATTTTATATTGGGATCCCACTTTTTCAGGCCATTACTTATTTTAAACATAAATCTGTTAGCAATGTCAATAGATGTCAGTGTCATTCGATATTCTACATATATTATTTATTTTTTTGTGAAAGATTTTTTCTATTTTTATTTTAAAAAGAAGTATCTAGTAAAAAATTATTTAGTCTCAATAAAATTACAATTCGATAAATCAATCAAAACTAAACTCATGGTACTTAATGGCACATGAGCAAAAACCTTTCGTACGTCGTCTATGACACTAACTATAGTACAAAGTTTATTTTTATTTTTTTAAAGATAATGTATCATCATTCTATAATTCACTATTATTATTATCTACATAGAAACAAGTCACACATATATTCTATTTTAATTTCATTGTACAAATGAGTGATCAATCAGATATCGTAGAATTACCCGCTATACCAGCTGATGCACCTGAATGGGTACGTGCTTTACCATCGAACGGTCGTTTTGTTGATCGTAGTAAACTTTATGATATAACTGGTCATCTTTTATTCGATTCATTACTTAATTCAAATGGTATTCGACATTTTTTCTATTTTATGAATAATGAACAACAAGCTCAACGTGCACAACGAGCATTTAATGGTGTTTTAACTAGTCCACTATCACCTACTCATGATGATACAATAAATAATGATGATTTAGAAGTTCGAGTTGCTTTTCATCTTGGTGAAGGTATTTGTGGACATAAAGGCATTGTGTAAGTCAAAGAAATTTATAAATATGATTGATTTAATATGATTTATTTTTTAAATAGACATGGAGGACTTACAGCTACAATGCTTGATGAAGTTAGTGGTGCTGCAGCGTAAGTTTAATTATATCAGTTAGAACGAAAAATAAATTTATTTTTAAAAGATTTTCCTGTGTTGGTCCTTGTTTTACAGCAAATCTTAATGTTGATTATGTCAAACCATTGATAATACCAGCATGGGTTTTAGTTCGTGCTCATGTTGAACGTCATGAAGGTCGTAAAGTAATTATACATGGTACTGTTGAGAATGGTGAAGGTGTTGTTTATGCTAAAGCAACAGCTTTATTTATTAAACCAAAATTAACTGTTAAAGAGCATGCAGGACAAACTGAAGAAAAACAATAAAGTTTTATATTTTTTTTGCTCTAGTGTTCATTTCAATGAATTTTTAAGTTGAAATTTATTTATTTATTTCTTTTGTTACCCGGTGATAAGAATTTCGTTAGAATAAACGAAATTTCGTGATAGATTTTTTTATTTGCAAAATTGTTGATTTTTTTCTATATTGACACATGAGTCTTTCTGCAAGAATCTTTTTATTGTTATATTTTATTTTGTAAGACTATGTCAGAAGGAAAAAAAAACAAAATACTTAAAAATAAATTCAAGATAAATCGAAATATATTATTATTTTTATTTCTGTTGTATCTCCAGATCTTTATAAACAAAAAACTAATAATCTTATACAATATATATATGTATGTATTTCTTCATCATCGATAAACAATAAAAATGTCTGAATATTTATTTTTGAATTAATAATAACTACATATATATACTTATGAAGATAATTGATGTTTGTGGTTTTCATACAATGTTACATTTTCTTGTTAAAATTCTTTTTTTAACATTACTGATACTCATTTATTGTGAATTTATTATTTATTACTTTGTTTTATTGGGTTGTTCATGGCCACAATTATCTAAACTTGAACAAGATTTTACTATACAACCACCCAAAGATTCAACTAAAAAACCATTACGTGTTATGTTTATTGCTGATACTCATCTAATCTGTTCGTACAAAGAACATTCATTTAATAAATTACGTCGAGAATGGCAAATGTATCGTTCATTTCAATCCGCACAATTTTTATTTGAACCACATATTGTTTTTTTTCTTGGTGACGTAACAGATGGTGGTCAATTATGTTCTGATGATGAATGGAATAAAACAATTGAAAGATTTTATTCCTTATTTTCAACATCAAATGATACACGTATATATGTTCTTCCTGGTAATCATGATATTGGTTTTCATTATGAAGTAACTGATGGTCATTTAAAACGTTTTGAACAATCATTTCAAGCACCACATGTTCGTTTATTAACGATAGATGATGATAAAATACATTTTATATTAATTAATTCAATAGCATTTGAAGGTGATCAATGTCGATTATGTCAACGTGCTGAAAATGAATTGAATGAAGTTGTTAATGATCTTAAACGAACAGGTGCATGGACTAAACCAATATTATTATCACATTTTCCATTATATCGTATAAACGATGAACATTGTTCACGATCATCATCATTGAAGGTAGACCTAGTTTTCTTTTGTTGAACAAATATAGTAACGAGACTTTTTTTTCTTTTCATTCTAATTTTAGACGACAACCCAATTTCCATTACTTAGAGAACGTTTTGATGTTCTTTCACAAGAAGCAACTGAACATCTTCTAACTACAATTCAACCTCGTCTTGCTTTTTCAGGTCATATGCATAATTATTGTTATATACAGCATAATCATACAAATAACAAATTAATTCCAGAATGGACAATACCATCATTTTCTTGGGAAATTCGAGATGATCCATCATTTATGTTAATGACAATAACGACAAATAATCAACGTGTTGCACATTGTTATTTACCACGCGAAACAACAGTTTTTTGGTCTTATGTTATCGGTGCTTTTCTCATTATTTTTTATATATTATTCGGAGGACGAAGACCGTATTGTTTAATTGTCTTTTGTTTTTTAAGAAAAATTCTTAAAATATAAAAAAAAACAGAAAAGGGAAAGTTAAATCGAATCTATTCTATTACAGATGGCTGATAATATTGCTCACCTAAATGAACTAATTATGTCTATGGCAAAAAAACGTGGTTTAGATAAAACATTTTGTCCATCAGAAATTGCTCGACAATTATCATCAAAAGAAGATGAATGGCGTTCATTGATGGAACCTGTTCGATTAGCTGCTACGAAACTTATTGACAAAGGTCAATTAGTATGCAAACAAAATGGTGAAATAGTTGATATTCGAACAGTAAAAGGACCAATTCGGCTGCAAATAACATCAAACTAAAAAAACTTTGTAAAATTCACTTGCACAACTAAGTCTTATGAAAAAATAGATATATACATAGATTTTTCTTATTATTGAACAGAAACACGTTTAGATGATCTCATTATACTGATTTGATGTTTATTAAGATAATAGCGGCAAATAACAAAACATATTCATTGAAACTTCATTTCTTTGTCTTTTATTTTGTTTAAAAAACACCGTTATTCATTCTGTGTATTTTGCTTTATTTTTTGTGAGAAAACTTTTGTTTGATGCATCGGGTGAATGTTTTTAAAAAACGAGTGTTATCAACAATAACAATAATAACAACAAACGACAACAAATGTAAAGAATAAGTAGAAAAAAAACCAAAGACACACGCACACGATTGCCTACGGGAGAAAAAAAAGCCTTAAGTTCATTCATTTGTTCGTATGCTGTATTTATTCTTTATGTGATTCATCCGTTGGTTGATTTTCATCATTATCTTTCTTCTTCTTTCCATCACCTTGACCAGATTCACTTAATACACTGGCCTTCTTTGTACCTGAGACAATATCATCAATACGAAGTAATAAAATAGCAGTCTAAAATAAATTTCAAAAAAATTATTCTGTTTAGTAAACAAGGTAAAATTAATTTTACTTCAATAGCTGTTTTGATTGTTTGCATTTTAACAGCAACTGGTTCCCAGATACCAAATTTATGCATATCAACTAATTGACCTGTTTCGCCATCAATACCCCATGCAAATTGATCAGCTTGTTGATGATGTTTAGCACGAAGTGCTGTTAATTGTTTAACAACATTACCACCACAATTTTGAATTAATGTTCGAGGAATTATTTCTAATGCTCGACTAACAGCTTTGTATGGATATTTTTCGACGCCTTTAAAGAATTCATCATTTGTGGTACCTTCACTGCTACTCATTGTATCAAGTGCTCTAAAAATAGAAATATAATAAAATTATTAAACATAAAAATAAGCTTTAAAATAATTAAACCTTGAAAGCGCCATTTCAACGGCACCACCACCTGGTGTTAAACGTGGTTCAAGCATAACATTACGTGTTACATTCATAGCATCTTGAAAATTACGCTCAATTTCATTTAAAACATCTTTATTTGCACCACGTAAAATAATTGTGCATGCTTTTGGATTTTTGCATTGGTCAAAAAATGTATAATATCTAGAATAATATAATTATAGAAAGAAAATATTTTTTTGTTAAATAAAATTTTATTTCATCTTACTCATCACCAATTTTTCGTATTTCAAAAAGACCACAACCAGTACCAATATCGTCTTCCTTTAAATCAGCTGTATCATTAACAATGGTTGCACCAGTTGCTCGTGAAATTCGATTATTATCCGATTTTTTTGTACGACGTACAGCTGAAATACCAGCAGCAGCCAAATAATGGCAAGCAACATCTATAACAAGGATAATATTATAAAAAAAAAAAATCGATTCTAATTATTTAATTTTAAATATACCTGAGATGCCTTTTTCTGTTACGACGACATCTGGTTTTAAAGTAATAATATCCTGGCACATTGCCCGAATACTTTCTTCTTCCAATTGTAACATTCGTCTATATATTAAAATAAAGATTAGAAATAAGAATATTCTAATAAACATACGTAAAATCAGGTTCACCACTAAATTCTAATGATGTTTGACTTTCACCTTTCTTGTATTCAAGATTACAATCAAGTAATACAATACGAGGATTTTCAATACGTCTAAATAAAATAATTGAAAACAAAAAATTTCATCAAAAGAATAATTACCTTTTCATTTTTGGATGAACAACATCTTTATTAAGCATGACACCTTTAAGTAAACAACAATCTTCAATTGAACCGCCCGGAATCTATTTAAATACGAAAAAGAAATATTTTTTCAAATTCCTGTTTGCATAACAAACTTTTTCAAAACGAGCATAACGTTTAATATCGATTTCTCGTCGACCATTTTCATCAATCATAACAGTTTGTACTGCATCAAGAGAAATTTGACAAGCTAAATCACTCCTAAATTTCGAAAATAAAAATTTCTTTTTTTTTCTTAATTTTTCAATAAATAAACTAACCATCTTGATAAATATTTTGTTCCAATACAACTTTTAACAACACGTAACATTTCTTCTCGGTTTTTAACATCGACTGGTATACTAGCTTTTGATTTCATTATTTCGACACAATCTTCAAGTGCTTTTCGATATGCGCGAATAACTACTGTTGCATGTAAACCTTGTTTAAGATACTGTTCAGTTTGAGCCAATAATTCACCAGCTAAATTGTTTAAAAATAAGCATATATATTTATTCATAAATAGAATATTTATTTACCTAAAATAATGACACTTGTTGTACCATCACCAACTTCTTCGTCTTGTGTTCGACTTATTTCAATCATTGATTTTCCAGCTGGATGTTGAACTTGAATCTAAAATGAAAAAAAAACGAAGTTTTAAAAATAATGTTTTTCCACATACTTCACGTAAGATAGCATTGCCATCATTAGTTAAAACAATACCACCCATTGGATCAAGAACCATCTATTAAAACACATCATATAGATCCATTTGGCAAATAAATATACATACTTTGAGCATAGCTCGTGGACCAAGACAAGTACGAATTGTATCGGCAATTGTCTTTAAAATCGAAATACAATAGTTTAAGAAAATAAAAAGAAAGAAAAAGTATTACTTTAGCAGCAAATATATTGCTAAATTGAGCTTTTTTGCCTTGATCTCGTTTTGTATTTTGGTCTAGCAAAAAATGATTAATTAGATTAATTAATTAATTAATTAAGACGAAAATGATTTACTTAAAACCATGATTGGTTGTGAACTATTACCACCGCCGAACATCATTTTTAGAAAGTTTTCTTAAACTAAAATCTATTCAGACGATAAAGAAGACAAAAAAAAGAAGAAAGTTCTATACGTATGCTATGAGTAAGTGAAATAAAAGAAGAATATTATGTTTATTCCTGTGTTTACCAACACAGTCCACCGTTGTCAGGATAACGACGGAGTGGCTGGTTACTGGTAACCTATCGTATATTAATTATCGTCAATCACTGACATCTATAAAGTAATTCTCGTTTGATTTACAATTATAAGCCCAAAAATTTCAAATTGAACTATTTCTTACAGATTTGTAATGCATGTTTGATATTATGGTAGTTCATATTGATATTTTTTTCTTTGCAATAAAAATATTTAATACTTGTCTAACAGAAAGAAAAATCTCAAGAAAGTAACTTATTTACTAAACTGTTCAATTAATATAATGATAAAAGAAAGAGGAATGAAAATATAAGAAGTATATGATAATAAACTTTTCTTGTATATAGTATTCTCATAATTTTCCTTGTTAAATTCGATTGTCGAGTGGAACAATTTAATGTCGTCGTTTTGGGTGCCATAGGCTTTTAAACATTTACATTGTTATTCTTGTTCTTTTACTTCTTTTTCTAACGTAAAAACGTGTTTATTGTGTAAAAAGACGAAGACAAAGTAACCAAGACAATCTTATTTTCTTTTATTCTGTTCTTACTTTTTCTTCATACATCGACGACAGACAGAAGCAGTTAGAAACAGAAACGAATTGATTAGAATAATAGTGACTTATTATTAGGCAATGACGGATAATGAATCTTTAAAATCATCAATATCGAATCGTTCAACATCGTTTATTAGAAATACTTCAACTAAACCACGTACAGATTCATTCATATTTCCTAATGGTGATCGATATGATGGTGAATATACTGTTACTGAAGAAGCACAAATAATGCGTCATGGTCAGGGCAAACATACAAGTGCTGATCAACAACTTATTTATGAAGGTACATGGAAAAATGATAAAATGCATGGAACAGGACGATTAATATATGGAAATGGAACATCATATGATGGAGAATTTCAATCAAATTATTTTGAAGGTTTGGGTACATATGCATGGCCAGACGGAGGACAATATACAGGTTTATGGAAAGGTTCCAAACCCATAGGTAAAGCAGAATATACAGGACCTAAATTAGGCGTACCATTTGTTGGTATAGCTAATGGACAACAAACACATATGCGATATAAAGTGTCTTCTTTGTAAAATTTTTGTTCTTTCATTTAAACGAATACATAAACTCGGTGTAATAAAGATGTTATTGATTTTCATTTAACTTCTATTAAAAATTAAATCTCATATTACTGGTCATATATATATTGGAGAAATAGAATATAAATGATATATATATATATTGGAAATATCATTACTTTATAAGAAAAAATGTTTATTGTGAACAAAAAGATGCATATTCGTTGTTCTATTATATAACAAGATAAATAATTGAATATTAATTCATATACATATATGCATAAATAATGTCTCTTTTTATTCGGTTTCTTCTTGTGCTTGAAGTGATTGTGAACAACTTGTTTAACATTCAACTGATTTGATACATATTATCGTCTTAATATTTAAAATAGATACTATTAGTAGTTGAATGAACTGTTTCATTATATTAGTATGTGTATTACTTTGACGACATATTAATACAAAGAATTTTTGTTAAAAATTTTATTCATATAAACTAAAAACAATTTTCTTAAATAAGATCGTTGTAAGACTATATATATATATATACGTTAATCAAGCTAATAAAATACGAAATGAATGTGTGTATTCATTATTATTAATCTTCAAACGGAAGTCTAATTTTAAAGTAGAGCATAGATAATGATTCTTATTTGAGTAACCATCATTTATAACTGTTATATGAACATGTCTTTATTCTAATTTATAGAGCTTTCTAGTAAACGGATACTTGACACATACAAAAAACGGAATAATAGGTATTGTTATGGAAACTACAACTCCATTCATGTACGCGTTGGTTAAATTGAGAATTTTTCAAAAGCATATAAATTTTATATTGTCGTTCAGTGACCTCTTACAAAAAACGCGCTTGTAGAAGTTGCTCCTATGCAACATATAATTCTGATGGTTGTATTTTATAGACAAACGTAAGAAAGAAAAAACTTGTTATAAAGTGTGACAAGAAAGAATAAAAAAATAAAAGAATCATACATAAACTCATTTGTCTTCTTTAGTCGCTTTTTTTATGTTATAGATTTATAATCTTTCTTTTCGTTCTGATTTTATTAAATAAAAATAAGTTATATCTAAAGTTATAAAATATGGGATCGGCCTCATGCAAGAATCCAAAATCATCGGAACAAAACCAAAAAAAAGACGATATCAAGTAAGTCTACAAGAATTTTACTTTACATCATATTGAAGCCATAAAACTATTGATTAAAAATAATAGTTAACATTCGAGTAAGTTTAGGTATATGAATACAAATCACTTATTCGTTTCGTTGAATCTTTTTAAATAAGAACTTCTTATTTCTCTGTACTGCAATTTTTCTATTTTATAATAGTTTATTAGTATTCTAATTGGAGATGTTGTTGAAGTCACTTCATTGTTATTCGACCAATATATATCTTGAACAAATGAGTTATTCAAACTTTCTTTTTTTACATATAACAGAACTTTTTATGACAATAATAGTTACCGAGTTCCGATTCGAGATTCTTAGATTTAATCATGAGAAACAAAGTTGACAAAGAAAGTGAATCATTTATGAGAAGCATTTTTCTTTCCCTCAATCTTCCTGCCGAACATTTTTAATATGTGATTGAGATGTTTACAAAACTGAATTTCAAAATAATAAATATTTATTCATTCAATACATTTGATTTTTTTATTCAGGAACATTACTATTGGTGTATTTGGTCTTGATAATGCTGGTAAAAGATATAAATATTATAATATAGATATGATTTTATTATTATTTCTTATAGGAAAAACATCAACAGTTAAAGCAATTGAAGGAGGTATAATAAATAAAATATATTTTTTTGTTGTTTTTTATATACTTTTTTTTCTATTATAGCTCCTACTAAAAATGTTGAACCAACAATGAGCTCTGACACATCAACGGTACCATTTCCAGGAGCAACAAAAGGAAATAATAAATCTCAGGAACGTATAAAAATAATTGATGTAAGTGGTAGTCAAAAATTTCGTGAGCGATCATGGTCAGAATTTTATGATCAAATTCATGGTTTCATATTTGTTATTGATGCAAGTGAAAGGAAACGAATCATAGAAAATAAACATACACTTGAAGATTTACTTGATAATGAGAAACTTAAAAATAAACCAATTCTTATGTAAGTTATACAAAGATTTGAATCAAGAATTTTATTCGTTTAATTATTAGTTTGGCTAATAAACAAGATCGTAAAGGTGCTATTGATGATGAAGATGTGCTTAAAGAAAAACTTGAAATTGAAAAATTAAAAGCAAAACATAAAATTGTAATAGATTATATAATTATTTTGTCGAATAAATTTCGTTTTTTTTCTTATTATTAAGAATTTTTGTACAGCTTTACCAATTGATAAAAACAAAGCTGATGAACATATTCGAGATGGATTTTCATGGTTAATAAAAGAAATTGATACTAATTATACAGAATTAAATTCACGTGTTAAGAATACAAAAAAAGCTACGCCTCCAAAACCAACAGAAAGAAAACCTCAAAGAAATCCGTAAGAATTATTTATGATAAAAGTCTATTTCTCTTAACTCAATCTTTTGTTTTTGATCTCTTTTAGAAGATCCAGTGTATCAAATAGTGATGATGAAGTTGTATATGCAGGAGGTCGAACCAAATCTCCAGCATTAACTCCAAAGCATCGAGATTTTCGTTCATCAAATAATTTAAGTATGTTACCAGCTGCAGCTTTGAATAAACCTAAAACCAAAACATCTGGATACGACACATATAGTGAAGGTGAAAATGATGATTATAATAAAAAACGTTTAGGTTCACGTCCAAATATTTCATCTTCTCCTCCTCCTCCCGAATCTGATCGTAATCGTCCATTAAATGTAACAAGTTTAGCATCAACAAGTGGTTTTAATAAGAAAAAGAAAGTTATTGGTGCTAGTAATACTAGTAATATTGACCAACTAATTAAAAAACCAAGTACTAACGAACCTAAATCATTTCGATCCTCATATGAACCATTTCCAGAGGAAGCACCATGGTCATCTTCAATGATAAAAACAACAAAACATGATGAAAATATGCCGCCAAAACCATATTCGAAATTACCGCTAACTGGTGATCCAATGAAACGTAATCTAAGTCCTCTCGTACATGATACAAAACCTTATTCTAAAAGTCCTATATCAAAAAATGACTTCGGCAGTGATGATGATGATTTATATAAAAAAGAAAAACCCAAAGTAAAAATGTTTAGAATAAAATATAGAATATTTAATTTATCGATTTTTAGCCATCATATCCGCCAATTAATCGATTTAAAGATAATGATAATCTAAAATATCCTTCATCAACTGTGAGTAGACCAACATCAGGTAGATTTAATGCTAATCGCGATGATGATGATGTGAAACTTGATAATACTCTTCGTCGTTCTAATTTTACAACTCCAACTAAAGACCCATATAAACCATATGATAATAGTGATGATGAAAAGAGTTATACAAAGAAAACACCATACAAACCAACGAAAACCTTCGATCCTGATGAAGATCTCAGGAGTAATGATAAGAATAAACCTTATCAATCATCATTAGATCGTTTCAAGCCTAACAATGATTATTATGGAACAACATCCAAGCCATTACCATCTTCAACAACAACAGGATTACGGTCAAGATATGACGAAGATAAATTTTCATCACCAATAAATCCAGTAAATCGTTCGAGATTTGGTAATGATGATTATTCGTCACCATTATCGAAACCAAAAGTACGCACAACATCTGACGATGATGATGATCGTCCATCATCTACATCGAAATTCAACACACAATCCAAATATGATAATAATTATAAATCTCAATCGAAACCGATAGTATCTTCGAAATATGACGATGATGATGATGATCTTCCATCGTCAACAACGAAATTAGGAACTACTTCAAAATATGGTTATGATAATACTATGTCCTCAAAACCAACAACACGTTTGAAACAAGATGACTATGATCGACCATCTTCCCCAGCGAGATTAGCAACACGATCTAAATACGATGATGATAATCGATCAGTTTCACCTATGACATCAGCGTCACGTTCAAAATATGGTGATGAAAATCGATTTTCTCCATCTGTGAAACCAATTACTCGTTCAAAGTTTAGTGATGATGATGACGATCTTCCTAAATATCCTACAAAAGTACCACCTAAATCCAAATTTGACGATGATGATGATGATCGGCCAAAACTATCTTCAAAAGTACCACCATCTCGTTCGAAGTATGGTGATGATGATGATGATCTTCCTAAATATCCTACAAAAGTGCCACCTAGATCAAAATATGAAGATGATGATGATCGACCAAAATTATCTTCAAAAGTGCCACTGTCTCGTTCGAAGTATAGTGACGACGACGATCTTCCTAAATATCCTACAAAAGTACCATCCAGATCCAAATTTGACGATGATGATGATCTTCCTAGAAATACGTCAAAACCACCATCTAGATCAAAATACGAAGACGATGATGATGATCGACCGAAACTATCTTCGAAAGTACCACCATCTCGTTCGAAGTATAGTGATGACGACGATCTTCCTAAATATCCTACAAAAGTATCATCTAGATCAAAATATGAAGATGATGATGATGATCGACCAAAATTATCTTCGAAGGTACCATCTCGTTCGAAGTTTGATGATGATGATGATCTTCCTAGAAATTCTTCAAAAGCGCCAACTAGATCAAAATATGAAGACGATGATGATGATGATCGGCCAAAACTATCTTCGAAAGTACCATCTCGTTCGAAGTTTGATGATGATGATGATCTTCCTAAATATTCTTCAAAAGCACCATCTAGCTCAAAATTTGAAGATGACGATTATAACAATGGTGGAAGTGCACGATCTCGTTTTGCAAACAACACTTCTGATTCATCAAGAAATGGAACAAATAATACTCGAATTGGATCAGCTGCAACTAATCGATTTCGAACGAATGCCAATTCTGACTATTAAAATATGCCTTTTTCTTTTAACAATATAGTGATATATTTTTCTTTTATTTGAAGTTGAATATTTTGTTAAAGTTTTTTTGTCTAACAAAATCTAAAAACTTCTTCAAAATGATCTTTTTTTTTTTGCTACTCAATTTTTTCTGTTTTCAAATAAACTTCAATTAACACACCAGCTATTGATTAATATTTTGATTGTAGTTTAAAACTGTTCTGCTCATATAACATAGTATTGTTATTCTTAAATCTAAAAAAACATTGATTTTATATTTTGCTAGTTTTCGAACCATGTAGTATTAGTATACTTATTCAGTTTTTGATTGAAATAAAAAAATATATTAATGTGAAAGAATGTTTATTGAATTTTCAATTTATTACTAAGTATTTTAGAATAGATTTCAAGTCAAATTTCATCAATGCACTTTTTATTAGTTAACATTTAAATCAATAGAAGCCTGAATTGTTATCTTACTGATCAAATATATATAAAACAAAAGTTATGATTATGAAGTTTATCCCAAGCGATCATGATGAATTTCTTTATTTTCATATTGTTTTCGATATTGTGAACGTGATTTCGGTTCATGAAATCGAGCATCAACCATTTCATGAAATACACTAACAAATATCAAGAGTGCAAGCAATAATCGAATAAGATGATGCTGTATATTCATAATATGTGAGAGAAAGTAAGTAGATAACAAATTTTAAATTAGAAGATATATTATGAGTGAAAGAGCGCGTGATTTTATATATCAAAGAAAATAATTTAAATTAAAAAATCATGTAATATATCAACTATGAACACAGACAACTTTATTATGTCTGAATATGAATCCATGTGAAAGTATAATTAATTATACTAACCCCTTTGATCTTATTTTCATCATAACTTTCATCTACCGACACAAACATTTCTTTCTTCTTATTGTCGATCAATATTATTTAAAAATAAAAACCTAACAAAAACTAAATTTCCATGTTAAGTGTATTAAATATACAATTTGTTTCATACGCAATTATTGCATGATTATGTCTCGTTTAATAATCGTTCATATCATTAGTTGTACTTATATTATATTACGTCGATATATTTTATATATCAACTTTAGTATTGAAAAATTCATTTTCAAAAATATCTATAATTAACCTTAATAGAATCAATATTCGAAAAAAACAATTTGTTTATTTCTTTTCTACCAATAAGTATCGTTAATATAAATAGGTGAGATTGTTGGTATGACATTCTCATCGACAACTTTTTTTTTTTCTTTTGCAGAAAAAAACAAAATAGATTTGACAAATCGAACACGTAAAAGAAATAAAAATAGACACATATACAATCATCAGAAAATAAGTTTGCAATAAAAATAAAAACAAAAAATATTCTATGTCTTTTAAGGAAGCGTTTGGTTTTTTATTTTTTCTTGCATTTTTTCGAAGTCTAAATAAGAGATTCGTTTTTTTTTGTTAAGTAAAAGGAGATAATAATTGGCAAAGTAATTCATTTTTAGATAAAGCACGAATAAAATTTTCTTTTGTTATCAATCCTTGTTCATTACAATGACATGAACTAATAAAATGTTTAAGTAATTCAATCGAACCAAATTCAGTACCATTACCGCCTAACATTCGATATACATACTAAATAAATAAATGAATCAATATTGACTATATCGTATTTATATATGCGTAATATACCTTAGCCATAACATCAATTTCAGATTGATCGATATAACCATCTTTATCGATATCTAGAAAAAATATTAGAAATAAATTCAATGTAATTATATTGAATAAAAAAATTTACCGTAGAGTTGAAAAGTATAATCAAGTTTTTCTTCCATAGATCCTTTTGTTGTTAATAAAAATCCAATAACAAATTCTTTAAAATCTATATATCAAAATGAAGTTATATTGAAATCAAAAATAAGATTATAATCTTACCAACTTTGCCATTATTATCGGTATCAAATGCTTGATATATAGCACTTACAACATGTTCAACTTTATCCATGTCACAAGTACTCAGATCTTTGTAACATTTTACCATATCTCGTTTTGTCAATTTTCCATTTGGACATCGAGTCTAAATCGAAATATAAGAAAATAAAACCCTCTGACAGTTATCCGTTAGTTAATCTCAAATTTCAAAGCTTAAAAAATGTCCTTAATTATCTTCAAGATATAAAATATTTTATAAAGAAGAAAAAGAATGGTGTTTATTTTCTTCTTATCCATCAAAATATGAGAATAAGACAGATAATTATTAATAATTTAAAATATTTCTTTTGCAATTCATTCAATATTTGAATAGAAGCATAAATGATTCGTGACAACATAAAATATATCTTAAAACAGATAATTTAATTTAATTTTTTTTTAACCATACAAAATAGAAAAAATATGCACTAATCAAAATGTTATTATGTTTTTCTGTATTAGGAAATCTTATCGATAAGGGCGCCGAGTTCCTACTTTTTTTTTCTACTGATTCATGTGTCTCATTATATTTTATTCGAAAAATCAATTAGAATAGAAATAGGAAATGCTACTTTTGTCGGCATAGAAATACACTCATATATTATTAGAAAAGAAAAGCCGTTTGTAAACTTCTTTTCTTATTGATTATATTCTAATATAAATGACCTTCTTTTCTTTTTTTTTATTATTCTGACCTTGAGTTCGTTGAACCAATTGGTAATTTCTGAAGATTTCATTTTTGTTTTTCGTTTAATTAACGTCACTGTAGCGTCGTCCAGCGATGCCATACTGAATTGATTGCCCATGAATAGATCATTCACTGGTGGTGATAGTAGAAAAATCTTGAAATAAGAAAAAACAAAAAAATTACAGGTTCATTTATACATTTTCAAAAGAAAAATTAAACTTGAAAAATAAAACAATATTTTTCACACCCATTATTTATTTTGTCCAACTGATTTCGTTCTCTCTACACCTTTTTTTCTGCATTGACGTCAATAGATGTTGGCATTTAGTTAAATAACCGGTTAGAAGTATGACGTACAATGCAAAAGTAAATATCAGTACATTTTCGATTGGAATATTGACGACAATAAAATTATACAAATCTATAAAAATAACTTCTCATTCTTGCAAGCTAACTATGTAAATAGAAAAAGTTTCTTTTCTCAATTGGTGGTCATATGAATGAAATAGGAAGCGACTACACGTTTTACATTAAACAGTTGCATACTAATCTATTAATTTGGTCCAAAAACAAAAAATAATGCTCGTATTGTGTATGTTCGAGACACAATGTTAAGTAAAATGAAAGGAAGTTGAAAGAAAAGAAAAGAAAAAGAAATACGACCAGCATTTGTAGTCACACCTACTCGTCTATATATTGACTAATCAACTGTATTAGTCAAGGCTGCCACGCTTTGTCGATCAAAAGGTAACTCACATATAATGACGCTTGTCAACCTTTTCTGTATATATATTATCACGCTTTTATTTTTTTATAATACATGAAACACATGACTGTAATTTTTGTCCAAATACAACTCTTTTCTATGTTATTTCAATGAAAGAAATCTAACGATATTCTCTCATTACATCTTAACATGTTGTAAAATACTAACTGAAAACATGTAAGTGATGAGTAAGCTACTCGATTGAAATAGATGAGTTTTTTTGCTAATATAAATCTAAGGAAAACTCTTATAGATATAATAATTAAACAGCATAACCCACCGATTTTTAATGAATGAATATTAAGATGTTAATATTAGAAGAAGAAGAAGAAGAAGAAGAAAAAATTGAGTTTCGTGACTGAAAAAAAAATCATTTTCTTTCCTCACTCTCTTGTTAACATTTGCAAATAGGAATAGTAAAAAAATACGAGAAAAACAAGAAAAATATCTCTATGTTATTTTTTGTATGTAAACCCGTAATCATTCATCACTATGATCTAACAGCAATTCTAATAGTAGCTTAAAAGCTATATATGAAAAATGTCTGGAACAAAAAACAACAGATGGAATATAAAAAAGAATAATAGAATAATACCGTTTCTGAATGATTAGAAAAAAAACAAATAATGAATGAATGATTAAATGTATTTGGATTACAGCTTTTTAACAGTAGAATGAATATAACTTCTTCTTCTTTTTTCCTGAATACTATTTCTAATAGTATATGATTATATAACCTTCCTTATATGTTTTTCTTTTTTTTTTAAAGATAAAAGATTAACCTCATAGGAAAAAAGAAGGTGAGAAGAGGAAGAGAGAGACGAATTAAAAGACAGGATAAACAGTCTTCATCAGATATTATTCTCGTTTTTACCATACGCCTACATACTCACGGATGACAAGTGTTAAATGCAAAACAAGCAGAAGATAAAATGAGAAATAAAACAACCAATCTTCATATACTAGTTAAGGAATGATGAAGCATCACTATTGTGCATAATGAATCGTAATTTATTCGCAAGTGACAAGGTTATTACTATGACTCAATATTTTTTTTTGTAATTAAGATCTTGCTCTCTATATTTTTTTTTCACCATATTATTCAATAATAGTGATCCTGTTAGTTTTAAATGATAAACATAATACAGAAATATTTCTATATTTGACTATTAAAAGTATTTGTACTATAGTTATGAATGACATTCAATTATAACGCTTATAGAAAAAATATATTTACGTTGATTATATGTTTGCAATTGAAAGAAAAATATAAATTACATATTTTTATGAGTAATTCATAACTATTACTAACATTTATGTTTTCTTATAACGAGTAGTTCAATTCAATTATATGTTACTAAACAACAACAATAATAATAATCTTTAAAACGATTATTTTGTTTTATAATAATAATAATAATTTAGAAACGTATATACATACAATTAAAAACTTATCAGAAAAGATAATTAAACGTTTGCTAAACATTTTTTTTACGTACTTATATTGAAGTTTTGAATAGAAAATTAGAGTTAAATAAATATTTTATTTAGTCGACGTAATTACAAGTCTCATTTCATCCGATTTTCTTTTTTCTTGTGTATTCAAATTGTATGTTGTCGGTCATAAATAGAAAAAAGATTTTCTTTCTAATACAATGTCATACTTACGTGTTTTTACTTTCTTTCAGTCTCGCCGCCAATTTTAGAAGTTATTAAATCAGCAAATATTTTCTCTTTCTTTTTTACATAGATGTACGTGTATAAATATCCATTTTGTTTTGCTAAGTCATTATAAAATCACTGGATTTTATCTAGAGAATAATAATAGGTTTTTAATAGCAAATAATCATCTTTTCTTCGTTTGAGATGCTTATGTGAAATATATCCATCTGTATATAGGAATAACAACAGTACGTGTATAGTTGTTGATTTGAATGAGAATTTATTATGAATAATTAAGAGTAAAAACAACTAGAACAAAACGTCATTTAGAAAGCCGACCGTAGTCTAGTTACTCGATCATGCCAACATTGTGCATGACATTTTGCGGCATCTTTTTGCACGCACATGATGGATTAAAAAGAATCTATATGCATAGAAGATCGTATATTAGTTTTCTTTATCAATAAAGGAAAAATAAATACATACAAATAAATGATGAACTTTATGTAGTAATAGATAGGATCTAGAATAACCATTGACGTAGTTTAATATATTTAATGTGTCGTGAAGGAGGAAAAAAAATATATTAAAGAACTATTTCATGTAGGATTAGATAAATTACGGTTATATGACATGTAGAAATATGATAATTTACTAATTTTTTCTACGATGTTTGAAAGTTTTTCCATTATCAAATTCAACAGTAAAATTTATATGAGAAATGAATCGAAGATATTTTAATTTAGATTTGACAAGAAACTGAATTATATAAATTTTCTAACTGTTTGAACTTGATCTGGAGTGCGTTTAGCCAATAAACGTACTTTTGTATAAGAGTCTATTCAATTAGTTTTATATTAAAATAAATCCTCTATATTTCTTAGGACTTATTTTTATGATTACAAAATATCACAAGCATAAAGAAAAGTATGTTCGAGAATAGACTTTAAGTTCGTCTAATAATCCGTAACAGTCTATATTGAAACCTATGAAATAGCTAAATACCGAATAAGCGCATTACAAGTCTATTCAAAGGAGTATTCACCTGTAAGAGACATATTATAAACAGTCCAATGAATAGATTTTATAGAAATATAATTCAATTATTCGAACTAATTTAAACCTTTTACAAAAGATACTTTGATAATTGCATAATAGATAATAAATAAAAAAAACTCTATTCAAATTTAACCAGTATATTTTTTTTTATATAAAAACATCCATTTAAAGTATAAATCTTTCATCATATTGAGAATAAACGTTAGAAAATGTATATATTATTGTTTCTTATGATGGAAATAACGTTATTTATTTTCATTGTATATTTATATATATATCATGAAACAAAAAAATTTCAACAATGAATATCACAGAGCGAACAAAAGTGTATATATATATATAAAAGACAAAGAGTAGATGTATTAAAATAATTTTTATTTTCGAGATGATGTTTTTTGATTTGTTACAGTAGATTCTGGTTTTAAGTCTTTCTTTTTTTCTTCATCTTTTTTGATTGGTATTAAACGTTCAACAATAGTTTTCTTTTGTTGATCATCTTCATCATCCATATCAGCACGATCAGCATATTCAGCTAGTTCAGGATCTTCTTCAGATTCTTCATCAGAACCTTTACTTGCAATGTCATCTTCAATTTCATTACGAATATCTTTTGCAATCATATCACGAAATGTATACTCTTCAGTTGTCCAAAAACCAGTATCGTCACCTGTTGATTTTTCATAGAATTTTTTTGTTTCTTCATCAGGTATAAATCCATTGGGTCTTGATGATGATGATGATGATGGCTGAGGATGTCGATTATGATTTGATCGATTTTTATTCTTATAGGATTCACTAGTAATACCATATGAAGATTGAGGAGGAGATCGAGATCGAGATCGATTAGAACGTTTGTTCTCAGACTAAAATAGAGAAACAATGCAATCTAATGTCTTATCTCAAAATTTATTCTATATAAATTAATCGTAATTAAACAATAAATATCATTTACCCTTTAAGTTACATTAATATTTAAAGAAAAATAATTACACCCACACTACAATATCATAAGGTGTTGTATATATTAGTTTTATGATGAAACAAGACTGAAGGACACAACTGAATTTAATATAAGTCAATAATATCTGGAGGGAATGTAAACTTTTGTCCTCATCAGACAAAATCATTATCTCGATTATACGAAAAACTCCTTATAAATGATTGTCGTTACCTTGATCACGATTTTTTTTCTGATATAACTTAAATCTAAAAATAAACAGTAGAACTTACTCGATCTTTGTAATCATTATCAGATTTATCCCAACGCGAATATGATCGATGACTCATTATATTATAATATGAAATAATCTTTAAAAATAAATATATTTTTATATGAAGTTAGAGCTGAATTTAAGATAATATTTTTTTCTTTATATAAAATAGTCTCATTTTTTAGCTGAGCATTATTTGATTAATTAAAAAAAAAACAAAAACAAAATACAATAGACCATTATTTGAAAACAAAAAAAAAACGAATAAATAAAATTACAGTACACTAAAGGAAAGGAATAGGACACTAAGAATTTGCACACGAAGTTTTCTTTTCATTATTTTATCCATTTTGTAAATATAATTTCATCTAAATAGATTGATTCCATCAAGTCAACAAGAATATATGACTAGTAAATAAAAATATAAATGAAAATTGCACGAATAAACATTGGATTTCTTTGTTTTGTCTACCATAATTGTGTAAAGTCAACACCTGCCCAATGTTCTTCACGCTTTTTCCAATAAAAATCTGATGAATCGTCGTCACGAATAAGTACATATGAGTCACCTTGAGGTTTAAACCATTTTGGACCAGCTGCTGATCCAGAACGCGTTCGTTGAGCTTCTTCAATACGAGCTTTTTCAGTTTCAGCAACTTCAGCTTGACCTGCTTCGAGATAACTAATAAAATAAAAAGAAAATAATTGAAATAATCGAAATAAAATTAAACTAACCGTTGATCAGGTCGAAAACGTGTATCAGTTGGTGGTAATTGATGACGAAGTTCATCATCAAGTTCATTTAATTCAATTGCAAAACGTGTAAAACCATAATATTGTTTCGAATTTTCTGGTACAGCACCTATAAATATTTATAATAGTGTAAATTTTCGATAGAAGATTATTTAGAAAAATCTACACATTCTTACTTTGTCGCCAAATACATTTTGCTGTTTGATCATTTCCACAAAAAACTTCTTCATGCCAATGGCCAAATATTTTATGTACTACTTTTCCATTAACATCTTCAATATCACCGGCAATATTATTCAAACGTGTACGATAATCACTCTAGAAATTAACAGAAAAATCTTATTGATATTTTAATTAAAATAAAAATACAAACTTGTATAAAACTAATTCGAGCTTTCGTTCCTAATGTACTTTCAACAAGGACATCACCGTAATGATCAATCCATCGTTCATTTGATAAAACACTATGTATGCACATTTTACATTTATTCCATGTTATTGTTTCATTATATTTCGGAAAAACTAATGTATTCAATGAATCAGGAAATATTTCTATTTATGAAAAATAATTAAATATAATTTAGTTTTATTTAGTCAAATAATAATATACCCATTGATTTGCCCCAGAATTTAATTTTAGCTTGTAATTCTAAAGAAGAAGAAAAAAAATATAAATGAATTTTTCTTTGACAAATTCAAATACTTTGTGACAATGTAAAATTTGGTGAATCACAGGTACAAACACTAATTGGAGGATGATGACTGACCTAAAATAAATTTAAAAACAAAAAAGTTTTAAATTTTAATAGTTCTATTGTTATGTTACTTGTTCAGCAATAAATTTCCATCCTTTATCTTCTCGTATACATTCGTATGTTTCACCTAATAATGGATTAAAATTTTTTCTTCCAGTTCGATAATAATTTGCTGAATATGTCGAAACAATAAATGTAGCAACATAAACAAGACGTAAATGCATGTCATCGGTTTGTGATGCACGATCAAGTAAATCCGAATATTCCATTTCTTCACATAATTTTTGTAATAAACCTAATGGTTCATTTAATATAACTGGTAATGCTATACGAGATAGATCTTTGCCAATTGCTTTACGCATTATATTCCATAAACCAACATTAGCTGTATCTGGAGCACTTGCTGGTAATGATGAACGACGCCATTTCATTTTTGGTGGTTCTACAAAAAACAAATAAATTGATATATAATATTTTAATAAACTAAATGATTCAAATATATTTATTTACTTAATTGAGGTGGAACAGATAATTGTCGATCAATATCACCGGGATGATTTTCATCATCACCATCACTTGATGCTTCGGAATCTGACTATAAAAAAATAAGAAATGAGAGATATAATGTAAGTATTTAGGAATAATTTTTCTATTCTACTAAGTAAATCATATCTTCTAACGAGAGAACAGTTCTCTCTATTTAGAAAATATAAAATTCTCAACTTCTATTTGTTTTTTTGTCTTCTTTTTATATTCGTTCATAGTCATATTAATACACAATACAGAATAAAAGATTTGACTTACAATTTTTCCCATGTCATCTTTAGTTTCATCTAGATATATTGTATTAAGAGCTTCTGGTGCATCATAGAAAATTGATCCTTCTCTTGACATAGTCCTTGTCGATGAAATTGAATGATAGATGTGTTCATTTTCTGCCGTCGTTGAATTATTCTAATAAAATATGACGAAATTTATCTTCTTTTGAAATAAAAAAAAAAGCAGAAAAACAAATACATTATTATTGAGTGTTTGTTGTTGTTCGACAGCAACAGCCGATAAACGTTTACAAAGATTATTTAAATTATCAAAAACTAAAACAAATCAATTAATTTGAATTTATTTTTCTAGAATTATTTTACTAACCTTTTTTAGCTGTATCATAATAATCTTGTCGTTGAAGATCAACTAATGTAAATGAATTTATACTACTTATACTAGCTGATGGTGTATGACCACTTGATTTAGTTCCATCCTTAGATAATTTCTTAATAAATTTTATCTATTTCAAATGAAAACTTACTGTTGATTTTGCTGATCCACTAGGTGCAGCTATCGTATTACTTGCGTGTATTTTAATACGTTCAAGAATATCCGATAAACTTCCTAGTTGTAATTGAATATCAGAAAATTCTGTTTGACAAAAAAAACAAACGAAAAATATTATTGAAATTATTTTTTTGAAATAAAATATCTACCATTATGAAACAGACGATTAATCGGTGATAAAGCACTATAAAAAAAACAAGAAAGTATTTTAATTACTTTTTTCTTTACTAATTTACCTATTCGATGAAATATTTTCATTAGTATTTTGTGTATTATCATTATTTAATATTGGACTTCGTTGTTCCAATTGTTTTTGTCTATAAGTTCTATGTAATGCAATTTGTTCAAGCCATTGTTCAAAAAGTTTTTTTTCTTTTATTTTTAAATGATAAACACAATTTGTTTCATCAATATTTATTCGTTGTGATTCACGAATAAATGTTACAATACATAAACCAATATCACATTTACCATTTAATCGACCGCGTTGAACCTAAAAGAACAAAAAAAAAACGAACTGCGAAGAAAAATGAAATAAAATATTTACACTCTGTTCAGATTTTCCATATATCATAGAACCATTTTCTAACTGAAAATAACGTTTATGCCAACCTTGATATGGCCATTTACGTCTTTTCATTATATAATTAGCCAATTTAATCATAGGTTTTGATGGATCTTCATCGAATACCATTGGTAAAATTTCAGCTGTATATGCCTATAAAATCAATTAAGAGAAAAATATATCTCACAATTGGCATTACCTTTCGTTGTTTGGGTCGTTTTTGACCTGCTGTTGTTGTTGTTGTTGTTTTCGATTTATCATTCGTTCCTCCTGGCATATCATCATCCGATTCATCACCATTATCCGAATCCGTAAGATTCTATACAAAAAAATTATATTAAAAATCATATTTAAATAAAAAAAGAATTGTTTTGCTAAAAAATACTTGATCATCAACATCATGCTCATCATCTTCATTAGGTGTAGTTGGAGCACTAGATTTACTATGTGTTGATCGACGTTTACGTGGAAAAAGATGGATTTCATAAACAGTATCATTCTTTATTTCATTAAATGTTTTTAATCGTAGTGCTCCTTTACTTTTTTCGTCACTCATCGTTAGGTCACACGAGTTAAGGAATAATCAAATGTTATTTTTGTGTGTTTTTTTTTCGATGATGAATGTATAATGTGAGAACAAAAAAATATTTTTCTTTTCGTGCGTGCGTTCGTCCTTTTGCGGGGTATTCTAGTTGAAAGTAAACGAAGAAAAAAAGAAAAAGCAAACATATTCATTTCTCTCGAAGGACACAGATGAGTAAATGTATTTTTTTTTTCATCAAAACGAGCAATTTTGTTTTGTTTCTTAACGATTGTTGAAGACATTAAGCTATTTACATTTATTTCGTTTAATAATGTATGTCCTTTTCGAGTTAAGGTCACCAATAATCATTTGATAAAAAGTGGCGGAAAATATTATTTAGATTGTTAAATATTAACATATGAGCCTATATTTAATGTAAGGATTAAAGAGGAGAAAGAAAAAAAATCGAAGAATTAATATAAAAGTTTTTTTTTGTAAAAATCGGTTCTAGTTTGTATACTCACATTTGTTATATAAAATCGTATAAGAAACATTAGAAAAATATTCAAATAACAGAGGATTATTAGGTACCAAAGGAAACAATACAAATTCAGCTTTTTTTTTAATCGACAAGACTTTCATCATAATAATCATTTTAATATTGAGCTGAATAGAAAACAAACTTTCTAATCTAAGAATCATCGTCATTCGAGAGAGAGAAAGAAAACACTCATAAAATTACTTTTTCTAATCTAAATACTAAACTATATAGAAACCTTTGAAATGTTTACAATAGAGTTTTAATCATTAAAGACTTTTTCTCTTTCACCTGATCATTATTTATTGGAATCGGAATTCGTACATTTGAATCACGAGCAAATGGACGAACAAAAGAATCAAATATAGTTAATAATGGTGTTGCAGTCTGTATATTATCTTCCATATCGGAATTAATTATTACATGATTAATACTTAGAAATACTGAGCGAAGATGTTCGAGAGCAAAAAAAAATTGATATAAAAGAAAAACGAGAAATAAAGAAAAAAAAAGAAATGAGTTCAACTTCCTTTTTACCATTCTGCCGGAAAACAAAACCCATAGTTCATTAGATGACTATTATAGAAAAACAGTGCCACAACACCGAAATAAAGTAATGTCACTATGATTTTTCCGCTTTTCTCTTAGCATAATAATAAGTAATCATTAACTTACGGAACGCGTCTTTTGATTCTTGTCTGTCGAACCAAGTGAAATTGATGTCACTGTTTTATGCATCTTTAAGTTCTCTTGTTACAATTGTAATAAATTATTTGTTATTTAATCCATTGATATATTCAAGCGTAAAGAATGAAATAAATAGAGTGACATGCAAAAAAAATACTCTTATGAAAGATTAAGAATAATCAAAAAGAAAGAAAGAAAGAAAAAGAGTAATACTATAAACAAACTATTAAATGATTATTTCCGGAATAAAAGTAGTTAGCGAATCATGAAAATTGGTTGTTGTTGATGTCTTTCTTTCGAATGGATGGATATAAAATAGAACCAATCTAGACCAATACTTGAACGAAGCCTTTATCAAAGATGTCGCTTAGATAGTAGTATCAAAAGAAATTAATAATTAATTATTTCTAAGAATAAAATATTCATCTAAAGAATTTCTAATAAAAACCTTTTTTGATAATTATTATATCAATTTCAATATGGTTTTTACATTTGAATTATTTATATTTTTACTGTATGAAGCATATGCTTCGTAATCTATATTACAGAACGAATAGTTTTTTTTTATACGTTGTTTTTGTCTAAGACAAGCACTTTATGTTATTTCTATAGAGACTACTTTTCATGTCTACATTTTTGTTGATTATTCTACCTTGTGTCGAGACTGGGGAGAACACTTTATATATTTACCAATTATATTTTTTGTTTATTGACATTGTATAGACTCAGAATGTTAGAAAAAAAACATCATCGAAACTTCCAAAACAATATTCGTGTTTTTTTCCTTCGAATTAATCGAAAAATTCATTATTTTTTCAAGTTCATATTTTTCAATATATAACATACCTATAAATAAAATAGAATATTCTCGTTTTAATTCTACAGATTTTTTTTCTCTTTTCAAGTATCACGATTAATTTCCATTCATCATTAATAATATTTCTTACATTTCATTAGATATTAATAACATACAGGTATTATTTTGTTAATCAATATAGACATGCACTTTACACTAGATAAAATTTATCCGTCTTTTTGCCCTATAATACCATTATTATAAAATAAATATAATTTTTTTTCTTCTATTAATATATCTGTCGATATCTATATCTTTTAGTAGTATGCATTGTATTTTTTTATATAAGAATTTTTCCATGTAGTACTTGTGTAATAAAAGAATGTACAAATAAAAGAACGGTAATAAACTTTGTACAAATAACCAAGAGAAAAAATGAAAATATACAATCCAGACACACAAAAACGTCATGAAGAGAGAAAATGAAATGAATTGTTTAGGAAAAGTAAGGGTTTTTCTATCTGACATATACACTCGCACTTAAACATGGAAAAAGCAAAACCTGAGAAAAACAAAACGTTTAACTGAATGTTCTTAAGTATATCGATATTTTCGTATTGAATCTGTTGTTAAATCAACACAAAATACACATCCATCACGTGTGGTAGCTAATGAACATGGTCGTCGTAAACGTTGAGTATATGAATCAATAATACGTAATAAATGACCTTGATTATCATAAATTTCAATACGTGCAAAACCATCTTTTTCACATTTTCCAGCTAATAAAAGACCATTTTTATCTACACAAAGTGCTGTATAAAATCCTTTAAAAGAAATATTGATATATAATTATATTATTACTATTATTAAAGAATTCTTTACCTCCTTTTGCTGTTAAAATATTAGTTGATTTTGAATGTGGAGGAAGTGATATTGATGATTGTAATTGTTTATGATATGATGGAATAAGATCTGGTGGTTGATGAGCAATATGTACATCAACATCAACAATTTGTTGTTGTGTTAATGATGAGATTTGTCGTAAATACTTTCCTTCATAAGATAGAATATGTATACGATGATCACCAACAATAATTTCATCTTGTAAACCAATTGTAAAACCTTTTATTGTTTTAATACCAAATAAACGTGTATCTATCTTATTTATTAAATCACCTGTACGACTATCAATAATTAAGAATGTATTATTGTCACATATAAGTAAAGAATTTTGATGTTGTTCAAATACAGCTATTTGAACTGGTTCATTAAATGATGAACATGTTATTTGATGATGTATAGTAATCTGACTATTTTCATTTGATGATGAATCTGAATTTACGATAGAAAATTCTGTTATGAGTTTACTTTTCCAATCAAGTAGATAAAATTTCGATGTGGAAGAACGATATGCAAGACCAGTACTTGTAGATTCAAGAAGAGTATCTGTTACTAAAAACAAAAAATGAAAATAGAAAATAAGAAAAATTTATTTATTCTCACCAAGATGTCCAATAAATTTTCCATTCAATGTCAAACATTTGATTCGACTATTTCCCGGATCAAGTACATATACTTGTTCTCGTTCTGCACTATCATCAGCAATAACACTCACCGGCATTGATAATTCATTATCACCACGACCACGTTTACCTATTTCATTTTATTTTATTTAAAGATCGATTCATATTTTATTTTATTCTTACCAAATGACCACAATGGATTATTATGTTTAGTTACATCGATAATAAATGGTGAACCTGATATTGGTCGATCAAATATTCGTATATCAATTTTATGATTTCCACTTATTAATGGACGAAATATAATTGTATATGTTCCACTTTGTTTATCATGAAAATTATATTCACATAATTTTCCATATGGATCCCAAATATTAACCGTTAATGGATCTCCACCATCGATACGTACATTTCCATTATAATCAACTGTTTCGATATGAATAGCACATTGAAGATTAGCAACAGCTGGTTCAATCTTAGCTCGACATAATGGTGGATAAGTGGATGATACACGTATACGACCAACACTATTTAATGAACGTGCTAAATCTTGTAAAGCTTGATTATGTCGAAATTCAAATTTCATAAATGAATTTTCACGTGGTTCACCTAATACTGACATACGTTCAATACGATCATTTAATTCTTGAATACGTTGTGTTAAGATATGAATATCACAAGCTTCCTGAAATATAGCACATTCTTGTTCAATTTTACTTTTTTCATCTAAATAAAATTTCAATAAATAATAAAAAAAGAATATTTTAGCAAAAAAAAAAGATTTACTTAATATAAGATTTAACTGATCATTAAGAATTTTTAATTTATGATCTTGAGTTGTTTTAAGAGATTGTAATAAATTATGTCGACGATTTTCTACATAACTTTTAATTTCATTAAAAGATCGATTAATAGCTTCAGCTAAAAAATAAAATTGTATTGTAGAAAATAAGATATTTTTATTTGTTTCTTTTCTATAACAAATTACCAGCTTTTTCCATACTACTATCAAGTCGTATTATTTCATTATTAACAGCTTCAAATGCATGATCTAAACAGCTGATCGCTAGAAAATAAAATAAATAATTTTTTGAAAAAAATCATAATCTAATTATTTACGAAGAAGTCTATCGAGTCAGATTTATTCAATGTCTCTGAAACTTAGATATCTGATTAATTTAATCTATTCGGATACAAACTTTTTTATACTATCAATCAAATTGTCTCCGTCGAAATCTGATGAGTTTCTTTCTTCACTTAGTTGGAACGATAATCAAAACATTCCACGTATCTTTTAGAAAACTTCTTACTACCAATCTTCTAATAATTAAATTATAGTTAGCTTTCATTCATCACTAGAATATAGATGAATAAAATGAATGTAAATAACAACAAGTCTATTTCATTTGAAGTAGTTTGTTTTCGCACAGATGACTTTATTTCTCTACTCAACCAGCTCAGAAACAAACAAATCAAGTCAAGCATTTATTTTATTCTCAAGAATTAAAATAGAATGATCTTACTCTACTTTTGAATATATATATGAATGTAATATCAATATTCATTGAATTAGATGATAATAGATTCTACGTCAATATACAACATTTTAATTGAATATCAAAGGTTTTTCTTACTTTTCGATGCTTTAAAAAATAATATTTCATTCATGCGTTTAATAGCTAATGAAAATGGTACAACAGTATGTTCAGCTGATATTTGATGTTGATCACATAGCTGACAGAAAATTTTATCGCATGTTTCACAAAATAATAATTCTTCGTTTGTATGTAAACTACATTTTGGAATAACATCACGTCGTAATTGAACCATTAAATCAAGTAATTGATTAACAATAAATGATGGTGGAAAAGAAGTAACACCTCCTAAAATGTTGAATGATGTCTGTTGATTTTTTTTTTGTTCTATTAGAAAATGACTTATCTATTTACCTCTAGGTAATAGAATATGTTCACGGCAAATTGGACCTGTTTTTATAAGGAAGAAGTAGATTAAAAAAGAATTATTTGATTTTCTTTTACATACATTTAATAGCATCTGATCTTGGTTGGGAATTAACAATACGTTCTAAACATTGACGACAAACTGTATGTGAACATGGTAATAATTTTGGTTGATGTTCAATAGAATCAGACGAAAATTGATTAATACATGTTGAGCAGGTTAAAAAATGTTCAGTAAAATCTTTGGCATTTATATTAATTGTTTCAACTAATGTTGAACCCATTTGTTTTTTATTAATTGATTTCTTTTATACGGATATATGATTCCTGTTTATATATATATTTCCTTGTCACATCACATCTGAAAGTTATATACATATATATATATATATCTATATGATCAACATAAATTGACATTGATGCATGATCCGACAAGAAAAAGAGAAAGACAAAATAAACTTACGGCAAGGACACATATAACCTTGTCTTTAGCCCGTTAATACTGTTTTATTATAGTCTGTTGTAGTCGTTAACAAACTCAAATTAGATACATATAACTAGAGACGATGAGCAAAGATCAGGCAACTATCATATTATTGATATGATAGAAACTAACTGAATCTCAAGGAGAGAAAAAAAAAGAAATATGTATGTTCCGTATCTCTCTAAGGAGATTTGACGTATTCAAGGACTTTAATTAAGATAAGAATTAGTAGAATAATGTATTCGTTATATATTTCAATATAAACACAATAGTCTAGTCTCTTCTTATATGCTATTCGAAATTAGTTCTGTATTATATAGCATTAACTACTGCTAATTGTCTAAAAGATTTCTCAGAAGACTCGTTAAATGAAAAAAACTAGATTATTATTATGTTTATTCATATATATATATACATCTGTTTCAAAATTAGATTAAATCTTATAAATAAAAAAAGATTGATAAAAACCAGTAGTCTATATATATATATAACCTTCCAGATGAATTGTATTAACTTTATATTTGCGCAGTTCTAAAGATAGAAAGATCAATACTATTAGACTAAAATATTCTAGAAAAACAAATATTTTTTTCTATCTAAAAACTTACAAAAATATCTTGATGAATATATCTTCAACTCATCTGAATATTTCTTATCGAAAAGTGTCAGTTGTCAGTTTAACTAAAAATACTTCATATCTTTATCATAAAATGTAACTAAACATTGATTTATTCATCGAAAACAATGATTAATCAATGTAAACATATTTATCAGATTTACTGTTGTCCTTGTAAAGTATGGCGTGAGCAAAATCTACTCTATTTATATCCCAAAAAAAACAAAGTTTAATCGTTCTATATTTGAAAATGACAGAAGAAAAAAAAAATATGTTTCTTTCCGTTGGATCAAATAACAAAAAAAATGCAGTTTGACCTATATGATATATTCTTATATGAATTAATTTTTTTACTGTACTATTCTTACTTCGATATAAGAATGGATGAATGTTAAATAAGTTTGTCATGGAATTCATTCAGTCACTCCCACTACGATTGAATGACGTTTATGTTACTGGTAATGATGCTGACTTATTTATATCAGAATGGCGCATGTGAGAAAAAACGAGGAGAAAAATAGGAAAAAGAAAAGGAACGACGAACATGACGACAGGCGTCGATTAGTTTTTTTTCCTCCTTTCGTTTCGTTTATTCTGCGCAAATTGCTTACAGATGATCATCTCATCTGTTTGCTCTAGTGCGTAGTTATTATAGACCTGCTGATGATATATGGAAAAATAGAACGAAAAGAGAGAAAAAGAAAAAAGTAAACGCGTCGCCCGAGCAGGGGCTCGAACCCTGGACATTGTGGTTAAAAGCCACACGCTCTACCGACTGAGCTACCCGGGCCACGTTACTTTGTGCTAAGAATTATCTAATCTTTTTGATTTTGTTGAAAGATTGAATCTGATTTACGATTTATCATCAGAGATTTTTCTTTTGATAGTATGAAAATCATAATTTTAAAGGTTGGAGTTTCTTTGAAAACAATCTTTATTACAACATTTAATCGCGTGTGCATGCCAGGGTCATAATAGACGGCATAAGTAAAAGATCGACCTTGCGTCATGTCATTTATTTCGTTACTCGAATATTTATCTCATCTTGAGACTGTCTTAAAGAATGATCAAGACGATTTATCGTCATTTCTCAAGGTTTGATTATATAGCTCAGAAAAAAGCAAATAAAAGAAAGATTTATTTAATATCATGTAATAACAAATATGACATAAGCTATATATATGTTATTCATCATATCAGACAACATATATATTCATTTGATCAGTCATTTATTTTCTTTTTCAATAAACAAAAGAATGTATGTATTTGTTAGAAAAGATCTTTTGATTTCCATTAGAGACTATTGATAGCTCATCTTTCTTTTCTCTAGTTTTGATAACCTTTTTGTTTCGTATGAGAACTACTGTCTACAAATTATGGTAACAACAAATCTATTTTAATCCAGATGTGAAATTCTTCTTCTATAAATGTTATATGATAACAACAGAATATATATATTGATAGACGCAATTCTAGAGAGAAAAAAAACTTATGTAACTGAAAGTGAAAAAATGATTAATCAATCTTCGAAAAATATAAAATAATAACTTACTCGAAATCTTTTGAATAAAATATTTTAGTATATCACCATCTGATGTCGCTTGAACTGCCTACTAACATAGTCATTTTCAATCTATTCTTTTCTTTCTCTCTCTCTTTGTCTTTCTCTACTTGTTGTTCTACACCTATGTATACGACATAATGTTCATTTTTTTTCTATTTCGGTCTCGCTCTTCTCTTGGCCTAGTTGATCGATCACGCATTGAAGAACATATGCAAAGATATACAACAATATATTCAAATGAGACTCAACTCCTCCTCGTTCTCTTCTACCGTTACTAAATAATAATCATATCAATAAAAGAACATATACACGCATAGAAAGAGAATAAATGTCCTCTCACCACTATTGATTGTGCAAACGAGAGAACGAGTACGATTATCCCTCATCATGTCAAACTATATACTTTGCATAAACACAACCTAGTGTTTAAAGTAAAAAGAAAAGAAATTAAAGCTCTCACAACAAATTATCATAATGATAATCAATAATTCACACACTACAAAACAATGATTGATGATATATACATTGTACAAAATAGAAATTACGAGAAAGAACAAAAAAAACGAAACTAATATTAAGTCTATTTCAATATTTTTTAGTATATAAATTATACAATGAAAGAGATAACGACACATGTCAAAATCCATTGATGACTAACATATAGATAAATCTCATTTATCAAGTAGATCTCTTTTTAGATTGCGAACTAAGATTATAATAAACAAATTTTAAATTGATTTTGTCTCGGATAATAGATCAAATAGTCTTTTGTTTATTTAATCGATTCATTTATTATGAACACGAACAATAGTAATTTAGTTTTCTTTTTACTTGAATACGTTCATTGAATATACTACTCCAACCCTCTATTTTTTCTACTACTGTTGATTCTTGAAGAGGGTATAAACGATTAAATTGAAATTTTTTATTGAATACTGAATATTTTAAGTTATCATATATGCATTTGAAGAGAAAACTGTAAATTGAACTTACTAGAAAAAAATTCATTCTTCTACAGAAATGACATCGAGTGTTTTACGGTTGTTATATAACTTTATTGAACTGAACTCGTTATATATTTTGAACAATTACAAAATATCATCTTAGAAATAGTTTCGAGTTTCTTTTTAACATGAATGAAATTTTGAAAGTTACAATATAATTAAAAAAACGTTATTTTGTTAAATAAATTTTATCTATTTTATTTAATGTAATGGGAAAGTATTAGAAAAGAAAAAGTCAATGTTTCTAAAAGATAAACGGGTATATACGAAATAATGGATATAGAAACAAAAATATTGAAATCAACTAAAAAGATCATCCACTGTTTGACGATTTCTATAAAAAAAAATAATTATAAATTAAATGTAATTAATTTCGTGATTTTTCTTACTGTTAATATATGTTCATGAGCTTTAGCTAATGTTAATGGTTGAGAATGAACATATGGTGAACGAAAATCATTTTGACAATTACCATATCCCATTCCTAAACCGATACCAGTACCCAAGAAAACAGGCCATGGACGACCTAATTTTAAGAAGGAAAATATTCTAAATTTTGATTTTAATCTTAAGATAAAAAACGTATTTACGTTTGAATAGAACAGCTGAGAATACAATACCCAAAGCAAGACCCGAAGCTAAAATAATGAGAATTAATATTGAGATATATTTATAATACATTCAAACCTGCTTTAACCATAGTATCTGTCATGCATCGATCCCATTTTTCACCATAGACTTCTTCTGATGCTAATGGACGATTTGGTGTTGTCATCTGAAATAATTCACATATTATAGTTACCTCAATAATATATCTTATTCACGAATAAAATACATATTTTTCGTAGTCTATAGTGCAAAAGATATTGATTGGATTTATTATTCAACAAATCATATATAATTTCGCTACTGCAGTTGTCTTTCATATTATTGTCTCCTTTCCTTTCTTTCTGTAGTGAAGCAAGACGCTCGATTTCTATGACAGGTCTATTCTAATAACCAATCCAATTTAAAGAATTTACCTAATATCTGGTTTTTATTTCTTCATTGATTCGAAAAATTTACTATTCAATTTTGCTGCTGATTAATTCTGTGACAGATAATAATCATGAATGTCGATGAACTTTTAAGTTATCAAGTAGAATTTTGTTTTTCTTTTTTAAAATTCTTTAATTTTTTTTCTTTTATTAAAGCCAGAAAAACCTGCAGTTTCATCAGCGAATGCATCAGCAAATAAACGAACAAATGATGCATCAATTGCATATACTGCTGGATTACCTAAACGAGCTAAACGTCCAATATTAGATGATGTTCCTGTACAATCAAATAGTTCATCAATTAGTAATGCAAATCTTGCATCATTAAGTCGTGATGAACGTGATAGACTTTTACAAATGCTTGAACAAGAATCATCAGTATATATAATATTTCACAAAATCTTTATTTCAATAAATAAATGGATATATATTTTATATTTAATAGACTGATGAACTTGATGAAACGTCCTTGAAACGAATGCTTTCACAACTTGAAAAACGTATTTCAAAAAATCAAGAAATGCGTATTAAATATCCTGATCATCCTGAAAAGTACTTTTCCTTTCGTTAATATCTTTCTTTACAAAGAAAAATTCATTTTAGATTTATGGATTCAGAAATTGAATTAAATGATGCTGTACAAGAATTACATGCAATTGCAACACAATCGGATCTTTATCATGTACTTGTTAATATGAATGGAATATCATTATTAATGAGTTTATTAACACATGAAAATACTGATATTAGTATTGCTGTTATTAGTCTTATACAAGAATTAACTGATGTTGATACATTAACTGAAAGTGAACAACAAGCAACATTTTTAATCGATGCACTCGTTAGTTTATCTATTATCATATGAATATATATAGAATTTGAATTTTCCTAGGCTGAACAACAAATTGTCTCATTATTAGTTCAAAATATGGATAGACTTGATGAAAATGTTAAAGAAGAAGCAGATGGTATTCATAATTCACTTGGTAAAATAAGAATTCGAATTGAATTTATAATAATTAATTTTTATTCTTATAGCTATTGTAGAAAATATGACAGAATTTCGACCATCTCTATGTGTTGATGCATGTAAACAAGGTTTATTAGCATGTTTACTTAAACGTTTAAAAGTAGATAGAAAGAAAGACTTATAATTAATGAAAAAATAATTTTTTCTTTTCATACTAGATTAAATCTCCATTTAATTCAATTCGTCTATACTGTTCAGAATTAATGTCAATTCTATTACAAAATCATGATGAAAATAGACAAATGCTTGGTGAATTAGAAGGAATTGATATACTTTTACAACAACTTGCTGTAAGTTTTTTTTCAAATTCTAAAATTAAAAATTATAATTCGCCAATTTATTATTAGTATTACAAACGGCATGATCCTCAAACAAGTGAAGAATTTGAATATATGGAAAATTTATTCAGTTGTTTATGTTCATCAATTATGTTTCCTTCGAATCGACAACGATTTCTAAAAGGTGAAGGTCCTCATCTTATGAATATTATGTTAAAGTAAAACAAACATTTTAGCTTATTATTCAATATATATATATTTTATTTTAATTATAGAGAAAGAAAAGCGTCACGTAATGGTGCATTAAAAACTTTAGATTTTGCTATGACTGGTATTGAAGGAAAAGATAATTGTCAAAAAATTGTTGATATACTTGGTTTACGCACATTATTTCCATTATTTATGAAACCACCGAAAGGAAATAAACGTTCGGGAGAAACTAGAGCGGAAAATGAAGGTATTATTAATTATTTAAAATTTATTTTTCTATGTTTTGTTGATTTTAGAACGTGTTATATCATGTATTGCTTCATTGATAAGAAATTGTACTGGTTCAAATCGTCAACGTGTATTAAATAAATTTACTGAAAATGATCATGAAAAAGTAGAAAGAATTTTCTTTTTTTTAATTTTATTTAATTTCTATTTTAGGTTGATCGTTTAATGGAACTTCATTTTGATTATTTTCAACGTGTACAAGCAGCTAATAATAATATTGAACGTGATGAAGACGAAGAAGAAGATGAAGATGAAAAATATTTTGGACGATTAGATGCTGGATTATTTACTTTACAATTGATTGATTATATTCTTATTGAAATTGCATCATCAACTACAAGTATTCCATCAATACGACAACGTGTTTTACAAATTCTTAATTTAAGAAATAGTTCACCTGATATGATCAAAACAATCGTACGCGGTAAGAAAATAATATACATATATATGGGCATCTCTATTTAATAATAAATAAATATTGATTGAATTTTTAGAATATGCAAATAATTTGGGAAATACAAAGAAACCAAATGGCATTGATCATACGTCAACAGATGGAACAAGTAATGGACATAGTGACGATTCACATAAACAATATTTGTTAGATTTAATTGAAAAATTCTAAAAAAAAACTTCTATGTCTTTCTTTTTTTGTCTATTCTTTTCTGTATCGTATATATATATATATGTATGTGACGTTGTGACGTCATAGTATTCTTCTACTAAATCTTTATATCTATTGTTAGAGGAATGAACAATAGATATGTCATACATATATTTATCTTTTTAAAATCGACGGCCGATATGCTTCTGAAAGATAAAGAATCAGATTATGTATTGTTTACATTTCTTTTTTCTTTGATTCGATATGTCATGCCTTCCATATGATTTGATTTTTCTATCTTTTCTCTTTCACTCACACTACTAACAACAGATATCAATGCAACAACAAGTCGTATCGTCAATGAATCTTCGTAATGATGATGATAATAAGATTGATTGTTTTAGTTATATTGGAAAACAATGCCATTTTTATATTAAACGTATTAATATAGTTGTTAAGAAAGTCTTATGTGAACCATGGCCTATAATAATATCAAAACAATCAATAGAAAAAGAAAAGAAACAAGTAAATATTTTAAATATTATTTTTTTTTCTTCTTCTTCTTCTAATATATTCTTTAAAGAAATTTCCCACTTATGAGTATTTGCTCATCTCAACTATTTACTATTCCAAATACATCATCGTATTAGTTATTCGTAAATAAATATAATTCAATAGGCTAAAACATTGTCTATGCATATTAAATACCAACATTGAAAGCTTATCACTTTATTTTATCATATTGATTTAATAGAAATCACGATCATATATGAAAATATGTCATCTATGAAAGTAATATTGTTTTCTTAATAATCTTTAACAAATTTCTAACATATCTTTTGAAGTATTCGCTTAGTTAACATACACGAAATCCTTTATCAGCTATTTTTACAATTAATTGTTGTATATGTTAACATCTTATACTAATTTATTAAAGATTTTGCTTGTTGTTAATAATTGTTTTATTATTTTTGTAAGTGTACTTATAATACAATATATTATTGTTTTGTTATTTAAACGAAAAAGAAATATTTGTGAATATATATAGTCAGATTTGATTAAAAAAAACGAGAATATGAGATACAAAAGCAGCTGAAGTTTTCTTTTCTCGTGCATTCAATTGTCAATCAATTTCTATGAAGACACATTGTTGACATTGCGTGGGTTGTTGCATATTCATCTGCAATACAATTTATCTTTTCATTCTTCTATTTATAGTCTTGATCGATCATTCTCGTTGTTCGTCTGCATATTTGATGAATACAAATATATTTTGCTTTTATTTTTTTCTAAAGAATATGGAAATTGAAGGATAGATATTCTTAGAAAAAGAGCTATTTTTGCTTTTTAATAATATTTGCATGTCTTTTCCTATTGTCTGTACTAGCTCAATGATAGGCAGACAGAAAAAGGTGCTTCTATTCTATCATTTAGAAATAGATAGAAAAAAAAAACGGTTTTCTTGTGCTTAAAGGCGATTATCACAAGTGTCACTCTTTCTTTTTTTTCCATTTTTTTTCTTACGTCTTGTATTCCCATATGCTACATACCGTGCACATAACGCCTACTCAAAAAACGATCAGTCGTCGTCGGTAATTACGAATTTTTTTCCTTCTTTCTTTCGAACACTTTCTTTTCTCCGTTCTTTTTTTTACCCCTAAAAAAATGTCACTCAGGGTTCTGTTTTTTTCTGGTTCTCCTCCTCATCGTTCTGCGCTTTTAATTGGGTGACGTAGCAAAGCTAGATACCGAGTAGTAACAACACAGCACATTTTTTTTTCTCCATTTGGTTGTTCTTAATATAAGGATTTTTTTGTTTATTGCTTCTTACAGAGTATATCTTGTCTAGAAAACCTCTACAGATATCATTTTCCGATATATACAAAAGAATAGATCATTTATTATACTCAATATATATTATTGTTTTCTTTTATAGAAATCGTCGAATATTCGTAGTTGTGAAACAATTACTACAATCGATGTAATATCACTTTGTCAGTCAAATAATCATTGTCAACAACAATCGTTTACATTATCATCAACACATTCAAATTCATTAATTAAAACATCTAAATCACAAACCTCAAGACAATTACTAGAAAGTTTAATTACTGTAATTGATACTAACATGCCTTTAGCACAAAATTATAAAGATGATGTATCACTTTTGGAATCTGAAACGGCTCTTACAAAAGCAACAATGGGTTGTACTACGGACTCAAATTTTGGTATACGCCAAGAATTCAATACAAGACCTAATGTAAGTGAATAGTTTTTTTTATGGAAGCATTAACTATAGAATTTTGTTCTTTTATTTATTACCAAAAAAAAAGAAGCATTTTACTAATTGCCCTATGACATTAATATTAATTCTATGTTTCTTAATTTTTCATGAAATATTACTATTTTCTTTTTTGATGAAGTACACATTCATACTGTCATTAAGACATGGCTCGTTTGACAACAATTATTTATTCTATAGTCAACATATGCAGTAGCAAAAAAAATTCTTTTCATTGATTAAATTCTACCATGATATCTATCATCATATAGGAACACTCCAGGAAACTAAAACACATGACAAAGGAAATCATTTTTCTTCGAGAGATATATTTCTCAAAATACTTAAATATCCTAAGGAATGTAATCAATATATAATTTTCTATTTAATCTATGAGATCATTAGTTGTAGTTCGTTTTTGTTATTGAAATGAAAATTTTTCATATAGTAGTTATAACTTTAATAACCACAGATATTAAAAAAACATAGTATACTCTATCTTTCATATCTTATCTGTTTTTGAAATATATATTCTTTTGTTATCGCATGCTAATAAATATTATTTTTCTTTCTTTTGTTCTTTAATATTAATTATACATAAGTATAATAATAGAAATTATTTTTCTTTTCACATATTTCGTTATCGGCTCTTGTATATAATGAAGTGTATTCAAAATCATTCAATGGTTCGAATACAAATGAGAATGAAAAAAAAAAGTATTCTATATAAAATCTACGTCATATTGACATACTATGTTGATCAAAGTATATTATTATTATAGATAATCTTAAAAAATGATAGCATGCTTAACATATCCGGAAGAAGTCTCCGACTGTTAGAAATATTAGTAAATTTTATATTGAAATATTTTAACCAGATGACTTATTCATGCATTTTATTATATATCAGTAACAGGAATACTGCATCAAGTCAGATTGATAAATATAGCAAGTTCTCGTTTACCTAGGATTTCTTTATATTATTAATTAAGCATGTATGATCATTGACACATATACACATCGAACTAACCATGCGGAATGCATATCGATGTTGATATAAAAAAGAAACTGTGAAGTACAGTAACTTAATCTAATGTAGCTTTCTAGTCATATGTATATATAATTACATTGATTTTCTTCGTCTTATCGATAAATAAATGCATTCAATGATTAAAAATACAATGAAATAAACTCTTAGATATTTGTTATTCTTATCTCAATTGATGTGTCATTTACAATAGAGTAATATTGACATAGAAAGATAAATTCATATGGTTATAAGTGATTTAAGTGTGAGATTGTACTATATAATATAAGATAAAATCTTTCTTTTTTTGAAATAGATGTTTTAATCGAAATTTATTTCTTTACTTTGGAAAAGTATTTAATTAGTGAAATAAAATTTTTTTTGATTGATTTTAATAAGTTAATATTTATATTTACAAAACATGATTAAACAAGAAGTTCTCGTCATTGTTTAACACATAATCTATCATAATATTTGTAGATCATGTCTTTAAAGATAATAATTTCCTCCTCAATGAAATATAAAATTTATGATTCCATATTCTAAATTAAATTATTTCTTTTCCAATATTTATAATTTTTTTCTTATCCATTGACTAGTATTAATATTAGAAATAGAAATTATAGATATATGAACTTTAATCCTAATATTTTTAGCTTAGGTCCTGAAAACACATCTGAAAATTATCATATACAAACAAAAATAAATTGCATAAGTACAGAGTAGGCGTGCAATGATTAGTCAAAATTTTTAGTCTTATGAATCAATATAATAAATTACTTAATATGTGTGAAATATGTTATTTCATCATAAAATTTCGAAATAAAAATCAAAACATTGATAATTTTCTCATGGTAAATACTCTTTTGAAAATGGATTTCTTTGAAATTATTTTTAGTACAGTAATATATAAATTATATATTCCAACAAGGAATTTAGTTTTTCTTCGATATATTTCCGCCAATTGCGCTAATGATTTATTGATGTCAATATGACCTTTATGATTATATATGTAAATAAGAAAATTAACAATAAAATTATCATACTAATGCTGTAGATGATCGTTTCTTTTTTTCTCTCTATTTTTGAAAAACTAGCTGACATCAATAATCTAATTCAATTTCTTTTTTTGATTCAAGACAAAAAACATGTTAGAAAAGGAAATCTAAGCATTTTATCGTAGGCGTCTTCGTCAATAGAACTATCATTTCCGTTCGTAATGAAAAAAAAATGATCGATAAGATTATTCATTCAACAACTTCCAACGTAATTTCTCAAAACATGTTTTTTGACCTAGTGATTCATAGTTTTCAATTAATAATATTTTCCTTTTTTTTTCTTTATTTTAGCAAGGGCGTAATCTTGATAAAAATGGTTTTTCAAATGTTTCCATAGCAGCAACAACAACAGCAACAAATACAGCCCATAGCAATATGTTGGTGGATGATGATTTGCCTGACGTTGTTTCTAATGTAAGTACAATGAGTCAGTTTTTGACGAATTTTATTTTTATATGATATTATACGATCGTATATGATTACAGAGATCTACGATTACTAGCGGTTATGACACGGTAAATTATATAAAAATAAATCTATTGATTTTATTGTGTGCATTCTTTTTAATGCCGTCATTAATGATTCTTTTCTGATGATTATCTATTGCTCACGTTTGAATCACAAAAAATATCTAGAACATTCTCGTTCAAACTAGAAATGATTCATCGGTAATTTTATAAGTTTATAGTTAATCATACGAGATCTGACGTATATTAAATAGAAATTATAGTAATTGTTGATATTCCGCCTCGTCATTCGAAGGTGGATAAGTATTGGGATAAATATGAAAACAAACGGCATCATTTCTTTTTTTGTCCTTTCCTAGAAAACATGACGTCATCTGTTAATGTTAAATAAGCATGAGTAAATGTTCTTGCATTATACGATGACAGTATAGCAAGTATCGTTGATTTGTTCCTTAGCGTTATTGTCGTCGTCTGTATCATACATCTATTGTAAAGAAACGCAAGAGATTCTTTTTCTTTTTCTTTTTGCATCTAAAAAACTCGCTCTCCCACTCATTCTTCCCCTCCTCTTCTTCTTCTTCGTCTTCTCCCTATTATTTGTTCTCTTTCTTTTTTTTCCATATTTCGATTCTTTTCTTTCTCTTTTGTACATTATGTCATAAGTACGCGATGACCACAGTTAAAGGTTATATTACAATTTCTTCTTGTTTTCCGAGGTTAGATAACACTGTTTATATACTAATTTATGAAAGATATTCTATTATACGGTGACGTGTGTATGGATTTTCTTGAGCTTCCTCGTGCTGTCGATCATCGTACATTCTATTTAAGTTCATGTGAGTCAGGTGCTGGTATTGACATACATGACTCAAATATATCATCTCGGCGTTCGTCTTTATCATCAACTTCATCGTTAAATGTCGGCTTACCAACACCAATATCACCTGTTCATACAAATATTTTTTTAAATGTTCTCAGACGTCTACATTGTTCCATAGTTCCTCGTAAAAAACATGGCCGATATCGTTCACTTTCAACTTCATTACATCTTTTCTTTAAAAAAAATCATCGACGATCAATTGATTTAGATCAATCATCAATCGAATTTTGTAAATCACCATCTAGTCCAGAATTTTCAACGATCAAAGCAGATATTGAACAAATAAATTCATCAAAAAAAGGCAATGAAAGTTGTCGACAATTATATCTCACCGGTGCAAGTAAAGATAGAACTTCCAATAGTAAAAATAATGATTTTCAATCACGAAAATCATTATTACGACGTTTTAGAAAATCCGATAAGACAGTTAGTGAAGATAATAATACAAATACATTAAGCTCAGTCGATTTAGCTATAACACCACAATTACTTCCAACTCTATTAATTACAGAATCAACTTCATTAGTTACACCTGTACAGCAACTGACATGTTTCGATTTAAAACGTGTAAGTGATCTTTTTATTTTGTTTCAAATGAATGAGCATGTATCAATATTTTCTATCTTTTGTTAACAAACAACAAGTCATGTTTTGTCTAGACATTGATAAAATATCATGATTGTTATTCATTTTTCATAGTGATTTGTTTTCCACGATTGAGTATTGAAATAATTTCATTCTATCACATCGATAATTGTTTCTCATTTCCTTCCTCCTCCGTAGATTTGCTTTTTGACGTCTTTATTTATGCTGACATTACTATTATTAATGTTTCATATGATGAAATATGTCATTGTTGATAAAATATAGAGAATAGGAATTTCCCTTTTTTTTTTGTTTCTCAGAAGAAAAACAAAAGCAACATATGACTCAAGTTATTGATGTAATTCAAGCTTTATATTTTCTTTAGTTCCGAATTCGTTTTCTTTCATTAAATGATAAGACAACAAAAACAAAATTCATTTTTCATTTATCTAGAAATTCTGTTATAACCTAATGTATCATCATTTCTCTATTCTATAACATGTGTAGTTCCATGTCTATTTATATCTATATGTTATTATTTATTAGCTCTACTAGATATTTTTTCTATCACGACTGGTTTATGTGAATGATTAATAAAAAGAAGAAGAAGAAGAGAAAAACCAGTTGATTGCGTAGGAAGTTATTATGAAAGAGTGTTGTTTTGCACTTATATGTTCATTTTGACAAAACATAAAGGTGGAATATAAAATTGAGGAGAAGAAAAAAGAATATTAACAGCATGATGTTTTCTAATTATGAACATTTATATGACATTTATTGAAAAGAAGAATATTTTTGAAAGTCAGTCGATACCTTTCGTCGTCACATTTCTTGCGTTCTTTTTTTTTCTTTCTGTTTCTGTTATTTCTTATAATATTAGATGGCAACCAGTGTCGACCTTGTATTGCTCTAGTAGTGTTGTTGTTATGTTTTGCTGTTATTTCACCTTGGAAATATGCACCAATGTACAATTATACATATTGTGAAAATATTGGAAGTACATAACAACAAAAAAAAACCGAGTGCTAGAATGATTTATGAAGATAACGAAGAAGAAATGATGTTATGATATTTATAAATAGAAAAATTTGCTCATTTTCGTATTTACATCCATATATAAATGGGAAAAAAATATGAACAATTATCATAATAGTATAGATAGCCTTGCAATATGACGAGACAGACAAATATCAAAAGAAAGAATTTTATTGTCTATATTTGACTTTAGGGTCGTATCGTTTAATATTATTGACATCGACGAAAGTAATACAAAAGATAAAATTAACCTTGTTATCCTGCAGTCAGGTCTCTAACTGTCATTGTCATGATCGGAGCCCTTTCGTGATGTTGATGAGAGATTAGACAGAAAGAGACGATAGGCTTACAATAAAAAAAAATAAGAGAAATGAAGGAAAAAAAAAGAAGATTCAGATTTTTTGTTTTTTTTTTCGTCCTTTTAATATATACAGCCGATAAACGATACCTTTTCGTTTCAACACTCGTGTAATAAGATGATTTGATAGTGAGCATACATATGCAACACAGAATGCATCTAAAATATCAGGTATGCACCGTCTTACTCTTTTTCTCTTGCTTTTCGTTTACTCAACCGATTGATCAGATAATTAAAGTCTAAAATAGCAGATAACTTTTTATATTATTAACTCATGAATATTTCTCTTTCAACATTTGCATATTTATATTATAATATTCAATATTCAAATATTTGATTAATAAATAAACGATTTCTATCACAATCAAAGGATTTCAATAATCAAAGTGATATGTTACAGATTTTTTTTTTATTTGAATCGGGCTCGTGTGGCGAAAATAATAATTATCAACAATCATTAAAACTTAATGTATGATATTAATCAAAAACACTAATTATCAATATTAATGTCTTTATATATGTATATATACATAGTTTTTAAAAAGAAATTATTTTTCTATTTAGGATGAACCAAATAATAGTGAACATGAAATCGAAATTACTAATATTACAAAAGAAGGATGTGAACGTGCTGATGCATCACATTTTGAACTACTTCAAACACTCGGCGCTGGTTCATTTGGAAAAGTAAAAATTATTTAAAAATTTATATGTCAATATTAAAAATACGATTAATTTTTTTTTTTGCTAGGTTTTCCTTGTACGGAAAATTGTCGGTCCCGATTCAGGTTCACTTTATGCTATGAAAGTGCTCACTAAAGCAAGTCTCAAAGGTTAGTAAATATTTTTTTTCTATAAAAAAAAAGAAAAATCTGACCATTTAATTTATTTCTTATAAATAATAGTTCGTGATCGTCAACGAACAAAAATGGAACGAGATATTCTTGCACAAATCTGTCATCCATTTATAGTTAAACTTCATTATGCTTTTCAAACGGAAGGCAAAGTGTATTTGGTGCTTGACTTTTTACGTGGTGGAGATCTATTTACACGTTTATCAAAAGAAGGTATAAAATAATATGAAGAAAAAAAAACGACAACTAAATTTCATTTTTATTTAGTCATGTTTACTGAACGTGATGTTCAATTTTATTTGGCAGAATTGGCTTTAGCACTTGATCATTTACATTCACTTGGTATTGTATATCGTGATTTAAAACCAGAAAATATTCTTCTCGATACGGATGGTCATATTGCATTAACTGATTTTGGTTTATCAAAAGAATCAATTCCAACGCAAGATTCCAAAACATTTTCATTTTGTGGTACTGTTGAATATATGTCACCTGAAGTTGTTTCACGTAAAGGACATTCACATGTAGCTGATTGGTGGTCATTTGGTGTATTAGCATTTGAAATGATAACTGGACATTTACCATTTCATGGTGCCAATCGTAAAGAAACAATGAATATGATATTAAAAGCTAAATTAGCTATGCCAACGTATCCATCATTAGAAGCACAAAGTTTATTGCGAATGTTATTTAAACGTAATCCAGCTAATCGATTAGGTGCAGGACCAGATGGTTTTCGAAATATACAAAATCATCCATTTTTTGATTCAATCGATTGGGATAAATTATATAAAAGACAAGTTGAACCACCATTTATACCACCTATTCATTCCGATTATGCGCATTATTTTGACAAAGAATTTACATGTAAAACACCTACAGGTAAAAAATTTATTTTATTTTTATCTATGCTTATATGGTTATTTTTTTTTGCTAATATTTCTATAGATTCACCGGGTTTACCACCAAGTATTGATGCACATGATTCATTCCATGGTTTCAGTTATATTGCACCAGAATTAATAAGTGCTCGTCAAAATGATCCAACATATTCAAATAATGTTGAAAGACGTTTACGATCAATTGTTGGTGTTAAACTAACACCATTTCAAGATGAATATGATATTAAAGAAGCATTAGGACGTGGTAAAACATCAACATGTTATAGATGTATACATCGACAAACACGTCAAGAATATGCTGTCAAATTTATTAAAGATGCAGGTATTAATGATCCATCTGATGAAATTGAATTATTATTTCGTTATAATCAATTACAACATATTATTCGAGTATGTAAAAAACAAAATAATTGAAAAAGATTGTATATTGTTTAATTTAGATGCGAGATGCATTTTTCAATGCACCTAAAGTTTATATTGTAACAGAATTAATGCGTGGTGGAGAATTATTTGATAAAATTCGCCAAGAAAAATCTTTATCCGAACGTGAAAGTGCAAAAATTATGCATGTTATTATTAAAACTATTGAACAATTACATCGAAATTCGATTGGTAAGATCTATTCAATAAATTGCAAACGATAAAAATTTATGTTTAGTACATCGTGATCTTCAACCACGAAATATAATGTATGTGGATGAAAATCGTCAACCATCATCATTGCGTATAGTTGATTTGGGTTTTGCTAAACAACAACGTGCAGAAAATGGATTATTAATGACACCATGTTTCACGAAAGAATATGCTGCACCAGAAGTTTTATCAAGAAAAAAATATGATGAATCATGTGATATATGTATGTAAATTTTATTAAAATAAAATTTAATTCAATATTGTATCCATATCTCTCGTAGGGAGTCTGGGAATACTTCTATATACTCTACTAGCTGGTAATACACCATTTGCACTTGATCGAAACGATTCTCATGAACTTATTCTTGCACGAACAGCTGTTAAATTATCATTTACCGGACCAACTTGGGATCGAGTAACAGATAATGCAAAAGTAAATTTATTATTTTTTTTATCTTTAAAAAGATATTTATTTATGCTTATATTTAAGGCACTTGTAAGTGCAATGTTAGATGTAGATCCGAAGAAAAGACCAACTGCATTAGAACTTTGTAAACATCCATGGTTTATTAATATAGAAAGTCTTCCAAATGCAAAATTAAGTAATATACAAGACCATAATCTTGTTCGAGTAAGTTTATTTCTTTTCTAAAATTTATAATATAAGATATATATATATATTTTTTTTTTAGCATAATCTTGACGCTACATTTAATGCTATCAATGCAAATCCAAGTAAAAGTTTAACACTTGGTCCAATTGGTGATTCAAATTTATTTAAGCGACGTAATGAACGAGCTGCTCATCAACAGCAAACTGAAAAAGTGAAATAATTTTTACGTATCGTTTTGTTTATTTATTCTTTCTCAAACAACTGATATGTTTGTGTCTGTTTTTTTATCCGTTTATTTTTTGTTTCTTTCTCATTTGTTTTTCTTTCTCGGTGGTGTATATCTTTCTGTCATATTTCTTTTTTTTTCATATTCAGGATATGTATAACCTGAACAGTATCATCTTCTTTTTTGTCTCTTCTCGTTGTTGTTATTTATATGATTACTATTGTTGCTGTTGTTCGTTCCGTTCTTTATTTCTCAAACGCTAGTGCGATGCAATGTACAAGAGAAAAAAACATTTACAAACAGTATCGTTGGCTTTCATTCTTTTTGTTTTTGTGCATCTGCTATTTGTCAAATTATATGTTTCTCTCTTCTTAACGGTCAAGAAAAAGAGAACAACGAAGAAAGGTACATGAGAATTTCATGTTTCAAATATATATTTTTTAGAGTGAGCGGTTGTTTGTTTTGATTTTTTCTTCGTTCTGTTTTTTGTTTATTTTTGCCTATAAGACAAGGCTTGTATACCACACTGGCTGTTTGATAAACGAAGCAGCAGTGAAGAATAAAAGAGAAAAAAACAAATGTTTTATTTAAAATATTGATTATAGGAATGAAAACAAGAGTACTGTCGTTATCACTTCTAGACCTTGTATATCTCTTACTACTAATAGAATCTTTTTAACAGTATAAATAAAAGACAAACAACTAATTCAAAACGTTATCTATTTTTATTCTCATATCTCTTGTTAAGATAGATATATATATATATTCATGTAGATTGTTGTATAATAAGTCTTCTTTTTTCATTGTGTAGATATTTTGCGTATATCAGTTAACCATGATGAGAACGTTGGTTTCTTCGATGGTTACTTTCATTTTACTAGGAACTATTGTTTCGAATGTATGTGCATATAAATCGTATTCAAAACATCAATTATGGCGTTTACATGTTGAAAATAATGAACAAGTAGCTAAATTATTAGAATTTAGTCGTATAGCACATTTACATGATATTAATTTTTGGTCAGAAGAATTTCGTATGAATATGCCAGTAAGTTAGTTTTCTTTTTGATTGGCAAGCTATAAACATCATATTATTTTGTCTAATTAGATTGACATTAGTATACCACCTGAAGCAATTGATAGTTTTTCTGAATATTTATCATCAAATGATGATAAAATAAAATATGATGTTGTCATGAATGATATTGGTGCAGTTATTGATCGACAAAAATTATTACATAAATTACGTCCATCAACTTTTAATGCTGATGATTTTGCTTATGATAAATATCATACACTTGAAGATATACATGCATGGATCGATAAAATGGTTCAAACTTATCCAACATTAGCTTCAACATTTACCGTTGGTCAATCGTATGAAAAACGTGATATGAAAGGTTTAAAAATATCATCAAGTAAACTAGCAACTAAACGTGATGGTACTCCAGTAAATCAGAAAAAAGCTGTCTGGTGGGATGGAGGTAATTTATTACTTGTTGTGTTTTTTTTCTTCATTAAAAAACTTTTTCTTTTTGTTTCTCTTTAAGGTATTCATGCTCGAGAATGGATTAGTCCAGCAACAAATATTTTTATTGCTCATACACTTTTATCAAACTATAGCAAAGATCCAACAATTACACATTTAGTCGATCAATTTGATTATTATATTTTACCTGTATTTAATGTAGATGGTTATGCATATACATGGTCAAAAGGTAGAATATATTATATTAAAATGAATATTTAGAAGCAGAAAAAAATATTTTTTTCTATTTACAGATCGTTTATGGCGTAAGACTCGAAGTAAAACAATAATTCCACTTTGTTTTGGTGCTGATCCAAATCGTAATTGGGATTATAAATGGTGTGAAGGTAGATACATATACATACATATGCATTTATTTCAAGAAAATTATTTTTATTATTAGGTGGTGCTTCACGTGATCCATGTTCTGATACATATTGTGGTGGTAAACCATTTTCTGAAATTGAAACCGTACAAGTTTCTAAATTTATTGGTGCTCATAATGATACTATTGTACATTATATTAACTTTCATTCATATTCACAATTATGGATGACACCATGGGGTAAATATGATAGGAAAAAATGATATTGTATCTGTTAATATAATCTCTCATTTTTTTAGGTTATACAACAAAAAAACCAGATCAATTCAAATTACAAGATGATGGTTCAGCTGCAGCTGTTGATGCTCTTGGTGCTGTTTTTGGTTCGTTTATAACATAAATTTTTCTTTAATTATTTTTGATATCCTTAGGTACTCAGTATGTACATGGTAATATTGGCGCAACTATCTATGTTGCATCTGGTAATACAGTTGACTGGACATCTGGTACAGCTAATGTAACATTTAGTTATGCTGTTGAACTTCGTGATACTGGTGAATATGGATTTTTATTACCAGAAGATCAAATTATTCCAACTGGTCAAGAAACACTAGCTGGTGAATTAGCTTTATTGAAATACATCGAAGGACATGTTTATGCATAATCAAAAATGAACTAATTTTTCAAGACATTTTTTTTCTTTTTCTTCTTTATTTGCCTTTTGATGACATTAATGTGTGTTCGAGAAAGAACAGAGTTTCCATTATTTTGATAATAATTCTTTCAATATTTGTTTTTTTCCAAATTAATTGTCTTTCAAATCTTTAGAATACTAAATACTACATATGACAATGCTTTATTAAAAAATTCTTTGAAAAGTGTCTTAATGATAAACTTAAGGAATTTATTTCATATTGAATAATTCAATAGATTTAAACCTGTACAATTGATATAATCTAGTTCATTTTTTGCTCAAGATTAATAAAAGGTGATAGTGGCAATTCGCAACATCATTTAGACCAAGACAAAATAAGACCAACTCCCACCCATTACAATGCCTATTGGATCTAGTGCATGCCCGATTGTATCACTCATCCCAGCTCTAGTGACCACTATAATCATAATAGTTCCTGCTGTCGAATCCATACCAGCAGTACCAAGGGCGGTAATGATCGTATTTGTTGTCAGGATGAGTGTGGGTATGGGTGTCGGAATGAGTGTAGACATAGACGAGCGAAGAATACAATACCTACACACACACCCAAAACTTCTCAAGATGAATGTATTTTATTTAGTAAAAGAGTTTCATGAATAAATAAATGAAGCATATATAAAATAGAAACGAAGACGGTAACTGTCTGTCATAAAATCATGATGATTTTGGAATTAAAGAAACAGCGACAGTAACATCTGTCGTAGTCGTTGTATTCTCTTCTATATGTTCATCGGTCTTTACAACAGTAGGTGATGTTACATTTCTTGTAACATTGTTCGACCTGGGTTGAGATGGTAATGGAGGGCTCAAATGGATCGTTTCTACTATCAAAAAAAACTCGATATATCGCGATTAAATCGTGAAAAGTCGCCAAATTGGTCGATTTTATCGCGATAAATCTCACAATTAATGAGGTATTAAATCGTCGATTTTGTCCCGACTTTGACGACATGGAAATAAGACTTTTATTGAAAACTTTGTAAAATACAATAGAGAAGTAGTTCACCGAAGATATTGTCTTGCATGGTGTATGACAGACTCGAAAAATACAGTCAACGTCTATTTCAGGAAGATAGATTCGATGTCTCTTGAAACTTCTGTTTTAAGTCGTTGTCGCAGTACTTGACGAAAGCCTTTCCATTTTATCTACACGACTTCTTTATGTTTTTCAATGGATATCAAGTTTTCTATCGTATTGAAGTGTAGAATGGTTATCTAAAGTACAACACAAATTTCTACTTATAATCGATAGAAACTAATCGTTGTATTAGGAATTACAGGAAAATCAAGAGAATTGGGTGTGAGTGTGGGTATGAGTAGGGATATAAAAAGAAAATCAAACCATACCTACACGCCCGCACCTTTAGTTGAAAAGGAAGTTTAACTAAATGAGATTTATGATGATGATTATGCACATTAGTAAGAAGAATAATCACTCCATCTATTTCAATTTTCATTGATTTATAATCGAAATTGTCAATCCGATTATTATTATAGAATTTTTGATTAGCAAAATTTTCCATTGAGGAAGGTATGTAGAGTTTTTATTCGCATCTCGGTAACGCGTTATACGAGTTTATTATTGAAATCAAAATGAGATGAATAAAGATACTTCATTGTCGTTGTTTTGCTGTTAAAGATGTTCTTCTCAGTAAGGAAATTTTCATAAATATATTTCTTTCACCTTTTAAATGAATGTGACAATGAATTTTCTTTCATCCAGAAATTATTTCCTAATGTATATATCTGCTGGAATAAGTGAACAAATATATTGATAAAGTAGTTATTAATGAATTTGTTAATTTTTTAGATAAAAATGGATCCTTCAAAAAGCAAAACAATAGAAGACATATCAAATTTACAAATAAATATAGTTAAAATTATTCCTGTTGTAGAAAAAGCAGAACATGATTTATCAAAATAATCATAATGGAATATACTATGGTGGCTTCTGTTGCTTCAGATAGTTGTCGTATCGATATATCCACAATTGATATCTATTATTAACGAGCAGGCTTGTAAAAAGTGACTACAATGTGATTTAAATGATATATAGCATTCAATATTTGTTTGTTTTTTTTTGTAAATTTCGACGATAATAATCAGTAAATCAGTAGAATATACGGTCAATGACATAAATTAATTCATATACTGAAGTTTTTGTATAAATACAATAGTTGGACGATATTTTATCAATGTTGGAACAATCGAAAGTGAAGACATTGAAACACTTCAACTTTTCATACGTTCTTTTACACAGTATCGCAGAAGATATGCGATGTTGAAACTTATGTCGTTGAAGTATGGTAAAAAAAAGATGTCTTCTTTCTGGGGTGGAGTAAACCATAGTGCTTTTGTTACGCAATTATTAAGAAAACATAACCAATTGTTCTATTCTTGTGCAGAGTTTAGTAGTGATTAGCTTTTTACAATAAAATATTTATTTACATTCCATTATTAATCGTTGATTGCAATACATGTGAATACGTTATATTAAATCACATAAAAATTCTTGCAATTTCTTTCGTTTAAATCTATGATTTATTCGTTTTTATTGATAATAATAATAATTAAATTGTTTACCTTTAAAAACTGATAGAATAATTGAAAATTTTAGTGCAGAATATTAAATGTAGATGGTTTGTTCTATACCGATTAGGGGAAAGAGTTTTTATTCATTACCATCGTCATTCTCACAGTTAGAGTGGCTACATAACGAGATTAGGTTTCATCATCATCAAGTTTTTTTCAAATAACTACCATGTTATGTATTATTCAATGAACAAAAAAACAAGATAATGTTTCATCGTCAACACATATGCATTACTTTTTACCTATTAGTGCATGTGCTTCTATATTGAAATGATAACTTTTCATTGGGCTTACCTTTATCAATAAACGTCAGTGTTACCTTTTTATGGTTGTGTTTGTTGTTTCTTTGGACGAAAAAACCCACATGTAACTTTTTTATTTTTTCCTTTCGTTGGGTAAAAATATTTACATGCACATTCATCGGCTCATTTTTATCTGAATAAAGTAAAAAAACAATTCGTGACAAACAAGTTATTTGCAAGCAACAACTCAGTTTTAGTGGGAAGTGAGTATATCATGCACTATGAAAATGTTATTACTTCTCATTTTGAATTAGACTAAATTGTATTTTCTCTCTAAATCAATTTCGATGAATCATATAGTTTAATAGATGAACTAATTTCAATTCCGAAGTTGTAGTTGTTGAAATTACAATAATTATTCTAGGCTGAATAAATTTGTATATATTATCATAAAATAAAAATATAATTGCAGCCTTTCACGATCATAACTCAACAAGTTCGATCAATCTAGACCAAGCTTGCGAATTTTTATTACTGTATCTTTATGTAGATCGACTAGAATTCGTGAAGTAGATCCGAATTAGACATACTGCTATTATAAGTGCAGTAGAATTAATAGAAGATCATCATCTAGATTGACGTAGAGATATGTCGAGTATGCTAATCCTCGAAAACGGGTGTTGGTTCCCCTGCAACAAATGTTTAGTAAACTCAACGTCGATCTAGATATTTTGGTTCGGATAGACTATCAGATTAATAATACAACTTATTTCAAAAAAATGATATATAATGGTAAATAGCTCACATACAGCTTAAAACAATAATTATAAGTTAAATTATTTTGTTAATAATCCGTAATCTATCCCTTACGGAGATTTTCTAAACCTTTTAAGTCTGCATCTAATAAGAAGATACGAACAAGAGTAAATGGCAGTATACTTATTCGTTGATCACCGTTTTGACGGACTGGAAACGTACATTGATCTTGTGCATAATTTTAATAGAATAGACTCTTTATTTCGATGCTTGTCCTTTGTTTGCTTTGAAACAAATTAGCACTAGCTAGAAAACTGTTACTTTCGTTAGTCTCAGCCGATATTAACATAACCTCTCAGTTTAAACAAATATTTTCTTATATTCTTTCTAGAGTAATGGCTTCATCAAACCATTGTTCATTTTGCAGAAAAAATCCAGGCATTTGTATTTGTTCTGGGTGTCGAGCATATTTTTGTGATGATCACTTTAAAGATCATCGTGGAATGTTAGCTAATGAATTAGATGGACTTACCACCGAAAGAGATGTTATTCAAGAAAAAATCAGCAAGGCTATTTCTCATCGGCAGTCCGCCGGTTCACTTCTTTCACGGATCGATGAATGGCAACGAACTACTATCGAGAAAGTAAAAGAAGCCGCCGCACAGGCTCGAGAACAGGCCTTTCAAATTATGAATTTAAAACGAGAAGAAATTACGAAACAATTTGAAATTATATCGCAAGAGTTGAAAGAACTAAGTGATACTAAATGTGTTCTTGAACAAGATTTAACACGGCTTAAACAGGATATTGATCAACTGAATCAAGATCTAGAACAACTTTCTCAACCACCACCGGCCAAACTAAATGTAAAACAAAGTGAACAAATTGTATGGCATCAAATGATCTATGTTGAACAACAATCCACAGATGCTGATCAACAACGCAGTCAATCAGGACAGCAAAGTAAGCATTTTAATACATGCTCTAAGAAAAGTTTTAGCTAGTGTAGTTTTTTCAAAACTGATAAGCAATACATTGAGAAAAAGAGTAATGGATATAGATACGATGAAACTGCATTATGACAAAAATTCGATGCGATAGAAGATAATAATTACTCTGGTATTTAGTGCAACATTTGGAACTTGCTGGCATGGATGCTGACTTAAACTTTCGCATAGCTTTAATAAAAATTCAACATTCACTTACGAATGAAGACCGTCAACAACTGAATTTTATATTCGGTGATGATATCCCACGTGTTTTACGTGAAAACGGTTCACTTGAAAATTCAATCAATGCATTACAGGCAACTTTCGATAGGTTGAAAATATCGAGAACTAATTATGAATACCTTGTTCAAGCATTGCAAGCTATTCAACGTCATGATTGTGCACAACGCTTAATTGGTAAAATTCTAAAATCTTTCAATACAATATAAATGAAGTACTATTTTTCTTAGATTATGCTAGGTTTAACCAAGAAATTATACCACCTTTATTAAATTGGCAACACCAACAAAATCAAGCTGAAACAACAATCGGATCGCGAATAAGTAAATCGCAAGTAGTTGCTTCAGAAATACTTGCGGATCTTGATGATGAAGATGATGATGAATGACGTTTCGTACCATCCTCTACGAACATCTGGCAGCATGACCGGGTGTTCGTAATCAACATTTTTTTGACGCTTTTTCGCAGGAGTTCGTAAAAGAAACTTTTTTAGAGATTTATGCTGAGAGTTTGGAAATAAATTTTATTTTTGAAGGTTATTGCGGATGTTCAGAAATACTGTTCTACAGAAGATCGTAATAGAAAAAGTAAGATACGTCTACCGAACCGATTCAAAGTTCAGAATAGAATGTTTTTTGTTGTGTCTGAGGGTGGGTATGGGTGTGAATGTGGATGTAAGTTAAGAGAAGATATATGCCTACCCACACCCTCGTAATAAAGACTAGTGCTCGATCATTGAATATCCGCATCTTATTTCACTAGATATCAAACTTGCAAATTGTTCTTATGTCGAACACTTTCTAAATGAAACAAAAACACATTTGCCGCATTTAACTGAATTAAAAGTCACTTCTATGAGTTTGAAATGGGTGACAGAAAATTTTACCATCTTGGGGGTGGGTGTGGGGGGGTGTGGGTGTGGATGTGTGTTGTGGGTGTGGGTGTTAGTAATGAACGCAAGGAATATTTCACACCCACACGCACACGCACACCCACCCACACCCTAGTTTTTTACAACCATAATGTGCATAAAACTTTTGTGCTTTAAAATTCTCTGAAAACACAGAGAGCCATATAGGTCGAGCAGAATAATGTTCTTCTAACCAAAGTAAAACGACATTGATTAACTGTTGACCAAATCCTTGATTTCTTTGTTCACGTCGCATGAAGAAACGATGGAGTAGCCCATCTTCATTTGAGCAAACATCAGGATGAGGAATATTATTACAAGGACCAACAAGAGCATAACCAATAAGATCATCATCCATTTTATCTTCTATCACCCAAGCAGCTCGTTTTGGATGTACCATTATATTAGCAAACCATTCTGGACTTGCCAATGAATGAGAAAATGACTGAAGATCTTTTTCCGGATACGGCATAGAAAAATCTTCCATAAATGTTTCTCGAAAAGTCTTTTGCGAAAGTTGAGACAATGCATTAACATCAGATAGATCAGCACGACGAATAACAATTTGATCATCCATCGAACTTACGAAGTACTATATTTTATTTAAAGTTTTAATTGAATAAATACTAAAAAGACTCTTTTCTAAAGAAGGATATCACTGTTAACTGTTGTTTCTTTATTTCAACTGAAAGATAAAATAAAATGATTATTTTTTTTGCCGTTCTTATCATTATTATTCCAACGCAACGAACCATCTCCCATGAATTACGCAGCAAACATGTTTCAATCATTTACTGCATATTAACCGAGATGTGGTCTATTTCAGTATTACTACAAGATGGCTAACATTATTTTAATCAAAAACAAAATACTGTTTAAATTCTGTGTATGACAGTGCTTGTCAATTCCTGATAGACGGCTGAATTTTTTTTATCAAATGCCATATATCAAAGAAGGGTGGATGTGGGTTTCCAGCTTCTCTAAGCCCACACCCACACTTTCAAGATTCATCATATCTGATTCTTTTTACAACAGCAAGTTCTTGTCTTTTTTTATGTTTAGCAATAATGATGTTAAGTTTCAAACGCAGTTAACTGTGACGACAGAACGCAAAAAAGAGAGATTTAATTGTTTTTCTTCGTGCTTGTACAGAACGCAAGAAAATGTCGGGATTGAAAGAGTTAAAAAGCAAATGAACAGTAATTATTTGTTTATAAAATTCTTTTTTTCTTATGTTTAGATCAATCTCAACAACAAAATAAACAACATGTGTTTTTTTATCAAAATAATCATTTTTTGTTTTGTTTAGACCACTTTTAACAACAAAATGAACGTTAAGTATTATTACGCAAAAAGGACGCATAAAAATGTGCGCTTTTACCATTTTATTTTCGTTCAAACTGCAACGCATTATTTTTTATTTTTTGTCTGACTATGCTTCACTATAACCATATTAGTCATTTTTTTTCTATTTATTCCAGCATTTATTTCTTCTTCGTACCTTTTTGAATTGCGACGTAAAAATAAACGATAATGTTACTCATTGCGTACAGGAAAAAACCAATATAAAACCCTCCGATGCGTATAAAAGACGTATAAGCTACCTATTAAAGATGTATAAACTGCGTATAAAGATAAAAAGCCAATCCCACGAAGAGAAACTGACTCATTACAGTATACATAAAGAGGAAGTGATTCATTATATTATACATAAAGAGGAAGTGATTCATTATACTGTATATGAATACTGCATATGACGCCAACGCAGGACATAGGATATATAAATAACGACGCATAGTATTCACGGAGCACTTATGTAATACACAGTCTTTATTGAACTACGTCGTCTGTATCGATTTATATGGCAATGAAATCAAAATTCGCAATTATCACACTTTGCCTTCTTCTCTTGCTAGCGATTGTCCAAGCGAGCTCTTCCATTGACTTGCTGAGGAAGAAGCGTACTGTTTGTGCTTTTGGGCAGCGACTCTGCGGTACACGTTGCTACGGCGGTTCACAACAATGTTTGGGAGGTAGTGTTGTTTGTGATTTTTCACAGCGACTCTGCGGTACACGTTGCTACGGCGGTTCACAACAATGCTTGGGAGGTACTGTTGTTTGTGATTTTGCACAGCGACTCTGCGGTACACGTTGCTACGGTGGTTCTCAACAATGCTTGGGAGGTGGTGTTGTTTGTGACTTTGGACAACGACTCTGCGGTACACAATGCTATAGCGGTTCACAACAGTGTTTCAATGGGTGAATTCTTTGTGGCTAAGCGTGTCTCCATTTAATTAAGATAGCATTTCTTCTGAATCATTATTACTCCTGATTAATATATTTTAAATAAAGCTTCTTCATCATGTTTATTTACTGTTTTTAAACTTTATTATGCATTTTTATGTTGTAAGCAATGAACAAATAGTATTTTTTGAGAGAAGTATAGTTTCCTGGAATATACGATCCGGTATAACCTCAAAAATGTGAAATGCGAGAAGATGTATAGGATGTTTAACTCATGGACTCATAAAGAGTACTAGCAAAAAAAGAATTGGCTCACGAAATTCTTTTTAAAATTGCTTTTTTAGGCGCAGTATTTATTTATATCTCTCCATTCGTTTTACTGCGTATTTACTCATCTACGATATAACGACTTCAGCGAGTGTAACGTGATGACGTTTTGGCCACATTTTTATTAACTTTTCTCGATAATCAGATTCGTATCTTGAGAACGAGTGTGGATGTGGGTGTGAAATGAATAGAATACGCACACGCGCATTCATACCTACACCCTTGTTATAGAAAAAATAAAAATCTTGTTTTCTGTAATACAATTTTTATTTTTTAGCTGAAGCTATTAATCGATCATTTAATGAAATAAAAAGTTATGTAGAAAATCGTCGACATAATTTATTACAATCTCTTAAAACAACTCAAGATCATAAATTAAAAATTCTTAATGATCAATTAAATCTTATATTAAGTAAATCTTTTTTTTTGCTAAAATATTCTTTTTTTATTATTTATTAAAATTTTATTTAGATGAAAAAAGTAAAATTGAACAAGAATGTGCTATATTTCAGGAAGCTTGTGATATTCACATATTAACACAACGTATTCAAGAATTAAATGATCGTATTGAACGTATGTCAGTATTAGGTGAACCACGTGAAAATTCATTTATGAAATTTGAATTTCGACATAATCAAGCTTTGCAAGATTTAGCACGTTCATTAAATAGTGTTGGTCGTATACGTGTATCATCCACTTATCCACCATTATGTCGAGCGAAGATTGAACCAGCTGTTGCTAATCTTCAATGTGCTATTCATATCGAAACAGTTGATTATAATGGAAATGTACGTATCGATGGTGGTGATCCATTAACAGTTAATATTTGGGATCCATATGGAAAATTATGTGAATATAATTTTCATGATAAACAAAGTGGAACATATACAATTATATTTCGTCCATTGATAAGTGGAAATCATAAAATTGATATACGAATATTTGATCGACCAATATCAGGTTCACCATTTACTATCGATGTAACTAAACATAATAATCCATTGTGGTCATTTGGTAAGAATAAACTAAAATATGAATTGATTTTTAAATAAATAAAATAGGTAAACGTGGTCGTGGTGACAATGAATTATCAATGCCGGTGAGTGTTATTGTTGATGATAGTGCAGAACGAGAACAAGTATATGTACTTGATCCGGGAAATAGTCGAATCAAATGTTTGACATTGAATGGAAAATTTATTGAACATCTTGATGAGAATAAATAAATTTTTCTTATTTTCTATTTTTATTTTTTGTTTATAGTAACAGATACTCTTCTTGAATCTACAAGTACTGGTCTTGCATATCGTTCTTCCACATCTAAATTTTATCTACTTGATTGGAAAAGTAAACTCATAACAGAATTTTCTATCGCAAATTCAGATTCATCATCAAATGAAAATAGTCAGATTACTATACATCATCAAATAACATGTTCATCATTTAATGAACCAGTTCAAATAGCTGTATGTGAACAACATCAAAATTCTTTACTTATATGTGACAATAATACATTCTTAATTGTTGATAGTCGTACAGGTGATTTAATAAATAAGATAGATACACGTTTATTTGGTATTAAAACAATAAAAGGTTTTACAATTGGTTTACAAGATGAAATTATTGTTGGTGATCATCGTATACATATTCTATCTTATGAAGGAAAATATTTACGACAAATATCATCATTAACACAACAATAAATTGTTGATGTTGATGTACATATTGCTCATCAACCACCAGATCTTATTCCATCATATCACAAACAATTACAGTCATCAATATCACTTCCTCCACATTCAAAATCAACTAATATTTTAACAGCAAAAGGAGGTAAAGAATTCTTTAATAATAGTAATATTATAAACAAATAGACCTCGAAAGGAAAGAATGATAACATACACTTCTATCGGCGTTGTTCTCTGTAGAATCGAAATAAAAAAAAAGATGTGAATATAACTATATAGTCCTGAGCATGGGCGGCGCGCTAGCAAGCAACGAGTTAGCAAATACATGCCCTAAAAAAATTTGGGTATGCAATAAATTTTTTTTGCATCTCCAGATCTTTTCTGTTGTCTTTGTAAATTGGAGTAAAACTGTCTAATTCAGTATACATATATTTAATACAATCTCTTAGTTAATATACGAATGTTGATCAATATTCTCTTATGAATCTATATTTTATTATTTTGATGTATGTATTCCACAACCTACATATCCGACATCTATTTTCATCGAAAGAACTGAAGTTATATTAAATAGTAAATAATTGGTGGAGCATAATGACTAAACTTTTTCTGCTTCTTATTTCCAATAAAATTCAGTTTTTCGTTGTTTGTTTTTCGTGAAACTTAATTTATTTCAAAATATTTTTTTTTCTTCGTCTTTTCTTGATATAAAATCGACTACAAATGATAAGAACGATTATCATCTTTAGCATTAATAAATGTAGAAAAAGATTATCAAATCGATATTGATACCATTGTAATCCATTTTATATTAAAAAAAGATGAAAGAAAAAAAGTATTTTAAAATTAAACAAAAAAGAAATGTGTATTTTTCTTGAGCAAAAATTGATTTTTTCTACTATTAATGCATATTTATTAACCCTAACAACCATTAGAAGAGTTAAAAATGAAAGAAGATTCTTGTACTTATAGTTCTTTCGAGAAGAAACAGCTGTTAAAATATTCAGAAAACTTTTATGTGAGTATCAAGTCTTGCACTAAATGGTCAGTGAACGAAGGCAGTTAGAAAACAAACATGGGTCTTTGCTAACTCGTTTTGAGTAAATTTGTTTTCAAGAAAAAACGTTAGCCTGTTATAAGACTCTTAATTAACTCTGTGATGAAGTGGTATGCAAAGTTTCAGCGCTATGACTTTGAAAAACTAAGTTTATAAAAAAAAGCTTCTACTGCACTGCAAAACTGATCAGTATGTGGAAGCGTGTACAGTATGCAGCCTTATTTAAAAGTTTATTGCATACCCTAAAAAATTGAAGCTGCGTCGCCCATGGTCCATATTCATTTACAAACTTATTCGTCCACCTTAACCTCTTGTTTTTCTCTTTTTAGATTGAATCATGAAACGAATATTCTACGATTATCGAGTACAAGTAAAAAAAACCATTTAATAATTCAAATTAATTTTAATCTTTTTTAGATTAAAAATTGTTTAAAGCAACTAGTAATGGATTTTAACCATTTAGATGATCTGAAAAACAATAAAAATAAAGCAAAACCATTCATTATTCCTCAAATTTTGCACAGGTCCATCACGTGCAATTTTTGATCAACAACATAGTGAATTTAGCACAGGTCCACCACCCCCATTTCGTACACAACAAAATACTCAATTTTCACAAGGTCCACCACATTCATTTCCTGCACAAGAAGAAGGTCAAATCGAGCGTCAAATAGTGGTACTACGTAAAAGAATTAGATTAGCAATTAAAACTATGGTCGCTATTAGTGACGAGGGTGCGGATGTGGGTATGAATACTGTATTCACCTAACACCCACCGACGCCTACACCCTTACTCACATCCAAACACGGTGGGAAGGGACGCTCGGTTGTAGCCGTTTTAGATGGTCTGAATGATCGATCTGGATAGCTCTATATCCGGTGTACATTCACTGAGTGCACCACGTCAAGGTAATCAACTACATCTATCTACGATTGAACCAGCCGAAACAACAGATGTCATTAATAAAATTATATGCATAGTAGAAGAAAACATAGAACTGGCTATTGAAACGCTAGTTGCAATTGATGAGCAATTCGGTGAGCTATATAAAATATTAAAATTCTTTTTAATTTTCTAGTTTTAGATATAGACAGGCCAAATGTATAAAACTTTTTTTTAATTTTAAAATAAAATAAAAATTTGACATAGAGTTGTTCATTTTTTCTATTAATTCAACTAAATCTAAGATCTCTGTCTTTCTGATATAACAATATCATGATCACATTTGAATTCAAAGTGGAAAAATGTTTTTTTGTTAAAAAGATTAGAATAAATTCGTTTAACTAATTAAAATAGATTGATCAAAATAACACATTTATTAACATTAGAAATATGAAATAAAAAAATCAATAGAACTAGTCAATTACATCTGTAAAATAACTATAACAAGCATTTGAATCAGTAAACAACGATTTAAGTAAATAGATAAACAAATAATGAATAAACAACATGCATTTCAGATAAAAATAGTCGTAGTGGTACTCAGTTGAGGATATGGTCAGTTCCTAGCAGAACAATTGCGCGCGAACATTCGCTCGTATGGACGGTTTCTTCAAAAGATACTTGCTCGCCAGGGTGTGTGTATTCTATTCGTCCAGCACCCACTCTCATGTTGTTCAATACATAATAGTTTGTCTCCACTATAATAGTATTCTATCTCTTTTCTTTCCATATGTGTGTCATTTATTTCTCTGCTCATATGGCTTTTACTAGACTGCAGAGACGAAGTTCGTCTAAGTCTCCCCTCTTCCCCTCTTGATACTATACATTTCTCCTGTTTCATAAATAAAGCAGTATACTACTAGTACATGGTTATTCGTTCATATATATTCTTCTCATATTTTCGTTATTTCTAGATTATCCGAAGACGACGATTTCAGAAGTAGTATTCTGTGAATTCCCAACTGGAATTCGCTGGAAGAATCCATGGCCGGATCCCTCTACCAGAACACTGCTACCATGAAATCTTTAGAATTATCTAAAACCGACCGTTTGCGGGCCGGATTGTTCGACTTGGATTATCATGTTGTTAACGGCATATAAACATTACCGAATACAAGTAAAAAAGAATAACAAATATCCAATTAATTTCAGTCTTTTTTAGATGAGAAATACGTTAAACAAGATAATCATCGATTTCAACTATCTGAAGAATCTGGAAAAAGATAAAAAAAATAACATTCAATATTCTTCAAACTGTTACAGATGAACAAAATCAAATTTTTACAGATGGACAAGGTCAAATTTGTTACACATCATCTTGAGGGTGTGGGTGTGAGTGTAAGAGAATAAGAAATATCCACATCCTTAAGAAATTTAACTGCTATGCAGGAGGGAAATAGCTAAAGATAAGATTCCAACACGTTTCACTCTTATCTCCAATCCCATTACCACTCGTTCTTCGAGTATATATACTTAATACGCATATGTATTCAGTTGTCAAAAAGTACTGCTAATAATAAGATTCGGCAAGTTAATCTTTACATTTGATTCTCGTCTATTCATTTCACCTACTATAACTGTGAGATATGAATCAGCTTAAAATTTTTAGTTAAAATAAAGTAAAAATGGTAAGTCTTTCACGTCCATTAAATGCATTTCTCTTCTATAAGAATTGATGGAGCTTTATAATTTCAGGTATAATGAGCTCAGCTTATTCATCTGTATCCAATGTAATATCCAGCGACAGCAGTGGTACAAGTGTCGAATCCGATCCATCATCCATTGAACGCAGTGGTGTAAGTGATGATTTAAGTGCCAGATCCAGAAATCCACACCCACACCCACACCCTTCATTAACTAATGTTAAGTCAGCACGTAAAGATCTAAATGATCCAATTGCTCAACGTAAAAAAATTATGGAAATACAAAAAAAAATTGAATCACTTGAAAACAAAATTATGTTAGAAATAAGCGCAATGATTGAACTTGACCAACAACTAGGTAATTAATATAACATATTAAAAATATTTTTAATTTTCTAATTTTAGTACGAGATTTGGCACAAATGTAAAACTCTTCTTTTTTTTTAAAATAAAAGTATTATAATAGCTATACACTAATTTCAGTTCGAATTCAAAGCTTGAAATTGATGCATATCTACTGCTTTATATTCAATAGAAGAAAGTATGAAAACAGTTGTCTCGTCAGAATAATCTACAATACTATTTTTTTAACGTAATGCAACAAATAGATAAGACGATATGAACAACTCACTTTTGATACGAGATATTATCTCTCCAAATGGCTGACATTTCTTGCACCTAGACATACACCAAACCCATACTGTTTCGGAGTTTGGATATTGATTAAATCTCGCAATTAGACATAAATTACACCAAATCATATTCTTTTTTTTAATCTCGAGTGTTGACTGTAGGTTTCGGTGTTGAGTTTAAATTAGATATCGAAAACTTCGACGCCTAAGCTATACAAAAATATAAATTCCCAAGCTCATACTCAAACAGTTTGGGGTTTGGTGCATGTTTATCTGTTCCATCCTTGAATTTGATCGTGTAAGAAGAACTACAGTTTACATTGGAGATTTTTATTCAAATCATTTTTTTACAAAATTAAACTAATAACGAAGGAAAATAACGATACATATTGTTTGTATATTCTATTGTATTATCAACAACTAATCGTTTCACTCCCGCACAATTACGACGCATTTCATCTTTTGTAAAGTTTTCTGTCACCCGTTCCAAACTCATATAAGTGACTTTTAATTCAGTTAAATGCGGCAAACGTGTCTTTGTTTCATTGAGAAATTCTTCGACATAAGAAGAATTTGCAAGTTCGACATCAAGCGAAATAAGATGCGGATATTCAATGATCGAACACCAGTCTTTACCACGTACATGATAACTTTCACCAAGAAATGATGGTATAATATTGTCAATTGATAAATTTTTAAGAAATGGAAAAGCTCGAGTAAGTCGAATGAAAAATTCATATCTGAATGGATCTTTGTCCCATAAGCGTAAATGAGTAACGGAATTGAATATAATGTTCGGAATGTTATTTCCAATTTGCTCGAGAAGATGAAATTGAAATGGAAGTGAAAAAACACGATATATCATTTCGTAAGGCTCGAAATTATCTACCATACAAGCTACTTGCCATCGTCCTGAATTTTTAAAAGTATGTTCAATATCCGAATGAAGTAAACGATTATCTGAAACATCCATGCCATTTTCAGAAGCTATATAAAATGTAAAACTATGAAGTTGTGACATATGAATAACAATTTCATTATCAAGATAAGTGCCATAGATGAATGATGATTCACCATAAAGATGAAGATACAAAGTTAATTCTTCGAGATGTTGCATTCGATGAAGAAGATGTACAATTAGATTATCACATCCTTCGTAAATAGCATGACACGTTAATGAAAAATGTTTTAAATTGGGAAGATCATTCTGAAAAATAGAAAAATATTTATAAATTGATCTTTATTATTTTAGTTAAAAAGTTTACATCAGCTATTAACATATCAATATTAGTTACTTTTAAAATATTCTTTTGACATCTTTCATATATTCTATCCGATCATTCAATAACCACAAGGACTAAGCAATAACTTTCACATGAGTTATGATTGATTATGAATTCGAAATAACGTCAAATTATTACAAAAAATCTATTCCGAATCAATTTCCTAATAATCAAAATTCAAACATTAATAAACTTCATCTTATCTTCAATGTCAAAATATTCATGAGGAAACGAGAATAATATGTAGCATAAACTCACCCTATTGTAAGATATTGCTCTTCGATCGATATGTTTAATTTGGACAATAAGTGTAGCTAATTGTTTGAGTCGACCATCAAGCAAAGCATATACGTCATTCAAATCATATACATTAATGGATAATTTAGTAAGTGTTGAAGAGGAAAATATATGTAGTGGTAGGTTCTGCAATAACAAACATGGATAATTGTCGACAGATGATTGTGCGACAATTGTCAGATGTTTCAAGTTTTGAAAGAAACTTAAGATAACTGCATAGACATTCTTGGTATATTCTGTTCTTATTGTTTTAATATCTTCATTTATGTAAAGAATAAGATCAGTTGTTTGTTGTTTGAAAATATGTTGAAAAGGAGTACCATCTAAACAAAAAGTATAGATATTGTTAAATCTAAATCTTTCACTTTCTTTTTTCTATGTCAATTTCTTACCTATGAAATAATGTGACACAGTTGCTTCGTTAAAATTGAAAATTTCAAGATTTGTAAGATTAGGATAATAAGCAGCACGAAGAATACATGCCATAGAATAGGAATCAAGAATAAGAGATTTGATATCTCTATGAATTCTTGGTAATATTGAAAAACAAAAGCGATTGAGTGTCGAATTAGAAATTGATGAAATTTCATTAATTGGTTGTGACATGACAAAATTAAGTTTAGTGGTGAAGATTTTATCTTGTGCTATAATATCAAGTCGTTGGTTGTTTACATCAAGTAGAGAGTAAAGAACTTCGATATTGTTAAGTTTTTTCAAAATGAAAAATAATATTTCAGTAGGAAGATCAAGAAGACTGATATTATGTTTATTCATATTTCAATGTGATTGTAATGCGCATCATAAGACGATATATATACCTAGATATCAATGCTTTGTTCACAAACATTCTCATTGGAGGAAAATGATTGACTTTTTTTCTATAGCCGAATATTTTCGCAGACGGGTTCTTTTTCTTTCGTTTTTGTTTATTCTAAGGTGAAGCGATAGTATCTATCTATAGAAACAAATAAAAGAGGCATCCATTAAATAAAATGGAAAATCTACAAATGAAAATATATCTAAATAATAAATTTTTTGTTTCGTTCATTCAGCAGTTCTCTACGTCATTTTGGCACACATAACAGAGTGTTCGATGTAATTATCTGAAATATGAAAGCAAAAATTAAAGTAATTGACTTTGATGGATCTAAATCAAGTTAGAATCTAAAAACGTTTTTTTAAATCTTAAGTGTGAGTGTATAAGTAATTCTTCTCTCGTACTACGCAGATACACCCACACGCACTTCTATTACAGCTTTTGATAATTATTGTTTTATATCAATGAAACAATAAAATATTGTCTTTGAAATAATTTTATATTCTATAAATGATTTTATTATAAATCTGGTTCAGAAGGTCCAGCATCGTGTTAATTTTAAATTGAGTTATGCTTTTTTTTGAAGTTCTTCTTATGACATATGAAATATTTATTTTTTATCAACATAATTTGATCCAAAACTTAATCAAAGAAAAAATACCAGATGAACAAATGTATTAAAACTTATGTCATCCGAGCATATAATTAGTTTAAAGTATTGACGTACAAAAGTCAATAACTCTGCGATCGATCGTATTTACTTATTATCGTCTAAGAAAAAAAATAAAATTACTTGTATTAATAGCAAACAAATCGATCACAATGTACTTATTCTTTATATATTGTGTCACCTCGATGTTTTCTTTCATTTAAATCAAAATCATCTTTAATATTTATAACTTCGAAATTATATTTTAAAGAAAATATCTTCATACATTGAATTCTTATTTTTAAAGGGTAGATAAAACACATCTGTTTTGAAGACATCAGTCATCATATAGTTTATCTTTACGAGAAACATGGTTGCTATAGAAAAACAACATTTTATTAAACCATGGTAAGTACTATGATTGTTATGTGTCACATGATTTTGATACCTTTTTATTTATAACATTATCAAGCACATAGTTATATTTAAAAGTATATATACATCAAATCTTTATTCTTTCTTTCTTACTTTTTGTCTTCATTCTTATCATTCACATCTGTGTCCTTGTAAGGAAACTTGTCTTTTTATTGTTTTACGAAATACATTTTTCTTTTCATCATCTTATCATCATCATTTCTTGTCAATAGGATGACATCTGACAAAATACCAATGATTAAGCCACATTTTTCTGATGGATATTTACCACCTTTAAAATCAATTGGTGAACATGAAAATACAGATAAACAAATGTTACAAATACAACCTAAACTTCATAATCCATTACTTTTTCCACCAACTGCACGTAGTACTACGTCAAAATCAGGAATAACAGATCGTAGTATGGAATCACCATCATCACCGCTGGTAAACAGTTCGCCCATTCGTGAAACAGATTACCGTTCTGTTTTACGAAATAGCTTGTCATCTATAGTGACTTCACGATCTCCAAGTGTACACACAGAAAGTAGTATACGTCCTAAACGAACATCACTTTATGATTATATTCGACCAAAGATCAATACTGGCCTAATGCCACGTATAGAAAGTTCAATTCGAAGAGAAAATAATACTCATCAATTAGGACCAAGTCGTCCATTAAAGTGGAATTTATTAAGGCAAGGACTTGAACAAGATATAGAAATACGTGCACAAACAAAACGATTACAATTTAATTCGGGTATTACATATACACAACAATTAAAAAAATTGGGAGATCTTATTCGATCAAAAGCTAAATCTCATGTATCATTAATGACGAATCAAATTGAAGAACGTTATAAAATTGTTGTTCAACTTACTGTTTTTCAAACAAAAACTGGTGGATTACATGTTTCATCAAGATGTTTATGGAATTCACAAACTGATAATTCAATTACATTTAAGATGTATGGTGTCGATTGTGATATTCTTGTTATTATTTTTCTATGCTATACAGAATTGGGATCTATATAAATTTTATTTTCCTTTTTTTTGTGCTGCTTGTTTTATACATAGATAATACTTTTAATAAACTTGATTTTTTTTGAAAATTATTGTTTGAAGTACTGACATCTATTCTAAAACGGTTATTTTTATTCCTTTTGAAACTATCATTGACATTATTCAAATCCGAAGATATTAATGATAAAGCAGTAGTTTTTTTTGCATCACGTATTTGTCATCTTGTTGTACGACATCAAAATCCAGTAGAATTGAACCGTTTTCCATCATTACGATCATTAACATCAAAACTTCCTCAAAATCGACAACTATGTGGTGTAAAATCAAAACATTCACCAAATTCAACTCATACATCAACATTGTATTTTATTAAATTCCTGTTCAAATTTGAAGCATTTGCAAGTATGATAACAAATATCTTATTTCTATTCATCTATAGTACAAACATAATGTATTTACTTAGTTATAACAGTTGTTTCGCTTTCAATTATATATATTCAAACTAATTATATCATATATCTTAAGGATGAATGGATAAATAAGAATTAATCGAAAGTTATTTCGAGCAATCTATAATAGATTTATCATATATATATCTTTATATGCAAAAGTTCCCAGTAAACCTGCTCAACATTTATTAGTTAAACGACGTAATGTTCCGTTTATTCGTGATGATCCAGATTGGACAAAAAACTTGATCAATTACTATCATTATTACCGAATATTAAACAATTATTCCTTAATACATGCTCTTGGAATTCCAGTTAAATGGAATAATGTATAATCATATCATCCACTTTTCAAAAATAATTGTCGATGTGGTGGATTAAAAATATATTTAAATGGTAAAAAGAAAATGAATGGTTAAATTTAACTATATATAGTTATTGTATAAAAAAATTTGTCTTTTGTTTTGCGTATTATAATAAGTTGAACTTTAATAGTAGATTTTAAATATATAAATATTTAGTGAATTATGAAATAAGAAAGTACATAATCATAAATACATGATAATTATTAAAATCTTATAAGTCAACTTCAATTGTATTGAAACAGATTGATTACAGAAATAGTTTCTAATCAAAGATTTATATCATTCTGAATATATATGAAACATATATCAATCATAGAAAAATGTTTACTGATACTCTTCTAATCGTTCGTCTTGTTCTATAATCGATTAGGATATCCTTGATATTTCTACTTTCGACGAGTTTATGAGTACACTCTGGTACTTGGTTTGTTATTCTTTATCTTGTCTGTTTCTGGCTTCTATTATATAAATACTATTACGAATTTATAGACATCAGAATCAGCAAAATAAAATAAAATGGCATTGTTTTATTCTACATTAAATTGACTTATCAATTGATTACAATGATTATTTTCAAAATGAAATTGTCCATTACATATACATTGATTTGGTATTTCATTATATTTAAAATGATTAAATTTTAATGCAAATTGACAATGAATATCTATACAAAGAAAAGAAAATTATTAAAATAAAATATTTACATTTTCATTTCACCTGATTTACATAAAGATTTTAAATTAACAGAATCTTTAGTTAATAATCCATTTGAATATGAACATGACATATGTAATAGTGGTTCCTTTGAAGAAATAAATAATATAAAAGATTTAATAGAAAATTTTAATAACTATACTTTATAGCACGAACATTGTCGATTGGATATAATCGAACATAAACGTTGACTAATAAGAAAAAAATCTTTTCCAGATTCTATATAACCTTTAGATGATGACATGATTGTTTCACTTTGATTATCTCCATGATCAAGACCAAATAAATGCCCGAGTTCATGTAGATAAGCACCAATTGAATAGAATAAAGATTCAGCTCTGATAAATAAAAAAACGAGATTATATAATATAGATATTCATTTCTTACTTAATTGTTTTAAGATTTTCATAGAATTCATCAAATGATGATGGAAGATGACAAAATTGTTCAGGTAAATTGAAAACAATCATATTATTAAATGCTTTAAATAGATAGGAGAAAATATATTAATATCTCATACGAAGAAAATCTAACTAACTGAAAGCAAATTTCAATGATGGTGCAATTGATGAATTGATAATAAGTTTAACAGATGAATTTTGAACAAAATCCATTGCATATATTTGACGATAGATTTCTTTAAATATTTCCTTATCAATTATTTTATTTTCAAAATTGTTTTTTAACATTGATACATGATGAATTTTCTTTTCAATATCAAATATTAATGAACGTTTATATCGCATTTGTTTATGAAGAATTTCATCGAATGTACATCGAACAAGTTTAGTTAGAAAAACAAATTGTTTACATATATGTTCTATATTATTGTTTGTTTCATCAGGAAATGATATATAGATAAGACGAACGATAATATTAGTTGTTTTTAATGGACAATAGATCAGTGTAAATGATAATTCAGATGTCAATGTTGATAGGTGAATTATATTTTCACCAGGATTAAGTTGAACATAGATCTATGAAATATATTTTCTTTTTGTTTATTATAAAATAAATAGGAAACGAAAAAAAATAGTTTACCTTAAAAAGACCTTGAGTAATTGGCCATTGATATTTATTATTTACGAAAATTATTTCATGATATATACTATCATAACCAAATAACTGAATAATTGGTTGATAAACAGTTTGTCCTGCTTGATAATTTATAATCCAAATACACATTTAAAATCTTAAATAAGTAGGAAAATATTTTCTAAAAATTCATTATCTTTTGTTTAGTTTAACGCCTATATAGTTTATTTATATTCAAAAACAAATCATTTACGTCTCAATAGTTTTATATTAAATACTTCCAGATATTCTTTGAGTCATAAACAACATATGTAAAAACGCAGTAGATATATTTATCAATATTCGTTTAGATAAATAATAACAAGAATTATAATGATACTCATTTTGATTAATCCGACATTTTCACCTCTGACATTATAAATAACAAGTACATACATATGTATCTTCGATAATTGAAGACAGTACTTAAAACAATCTTTTGTATTATTTTTCCTTTGACTTTTCTATTGATTCTAAACTAATCGATTATATGTTATCTTAAACACTGTCTATAAATGTGTACAAACATTCCATGCAAGCTATTGATCATCTCTTGAGAATGTCAAATAAATTTCTATTTCTATTGATATATATATATATATCAAAAACGTTATTAAATATTACGGTCAACTTAGTCAATCAAGCATTATCAAAATTATTATAATAAGTAATGTTTTCTGTTTTTGTACTTGTTGATGAGGTCTAAAAGGCATCGATAAAGATAAAAACGAATATAACATTGTTATTTCCTAAACGACAACGTGTGCAATGTAAAGAAAATGAGATCACAATAACAAATAACTCTGAATAACAACCATTCGCATAACAACAAACACCGAGCAACTACTCTCAACCGAAGTCGGTAAGCAGTTAGACAAGAAAGCAGACAGTCAAAGCATCGGACGATATTGCCAGATGAGAAAAATGTCATCCATCATGTCAATCAGTCGATCCCAAGTGGAAATAAAGATGGGCAGAGAAAAGGAGAAAGAAAAAAAAGAAAGAAAGAGAGACCTTGCTCTACGATACAAGATATACCTCAAATGTTCTTCCTATTCTTCTCTCTGAGAGAAAGACGATTATTGTAATCAACAGAATAACATCGTCGTCCTTTTCTCTATCTCTTATTTGTCGACCATTTCAATTGCACTATATTACTTGCTCATATCATCTTTTGTGTGCATATTTATAATCAATGGCATCAGAAGAAAGTACAACTGGTGTCACTTCTAATCAATCAAGTGATTCACGTAGTGGTCGAATTGATGTTGTTTCACTTATTGTTCTTGTATCTTATCCTAAACATTATCGTATATTTGCTGAAAAAGAACTTGTTAATGAAATACTTCCAAATGCATCTGATTCAGCTTTTGTCTGGTTCGGAAATTATTCAGCTGAAAAAGATGAACATCCACTTGTCTATATGGATGTTTTAAGTAAAATGGTTCGTTTAGGTTATCAAATATCAGCATCAACTGGTGGTGGTGGTAATCCAGCAATTGGAGATAATATGTCAACTCATACATCGCATTATATTTTAATTCGAAAACGAGATTAAATACAAATAAATAATATAAATGAACTATTTTCTTATTGTTCTATCGGTGTTCAAGTAGCAGAGATTTTTCTTTCTTTTCTTTTAACCTAGTACGTATTTTCATTTCTTTACAGTTTTGTTTATCGTTTTTATTTCAATAAAAAGTTTCCTAGTATGTCCACAACATTTTGAATATCAACTTTCATTTTTATTCTATATATATCTCTATCCTTTAACACCCGGACATAACTCATTTGTCATTTTTTTTTATTGTCAAAGAATAAGAGAAAAAAAAACGCTAGACCATATGATACTCATCAAACTATGCCACCGGCTTGTGTAATAAATAGATGATGAGAAAAAATCAAAGAACTTACACAACAGGAATAATATAATCGACAACCTTGGTTGATTCATATGGATGATAGTTATCAAAGAGAACATATGATAAAAATCATCAGGACATCACCGACAAAAATATAAATTTTGGAAAACAATAAAATATTGTTTTCGTAGTTAAGAAATAACCAATAAAATTTCTTCTTCCCACATACTCGAGTATTATATGATATGTCTTCATCGAATAGTTCATATACTAATATTTGTCCTTGTTTTTTGTTAAAAGATTAATTGACATTATCTATTATATTCTAATTACTTGAAATATTATCTTATTATATCATTAATAACTTGTTTAAGTAATGTAATATTAATTAGAAAAGTTTGGCATACAATGAATTTATTTATCCAATTTTATTGATTAACAGAATTATAGAAGTTCAAAGCCAAATACTTTAATTATTTAAACAAATAAATTATATCTTGAATAAATATATATATATTTCTCTGTACATGTTAGCTAGTTTATAAAATATACCATTCGAACAAAAAGAAAGAGCATAGTGATAGATTTCTATTATTCGCTAATATAATAAACAAGTCTGATGAAAACTTGATTTTTTTTGTGATAGATGGTGACTGTTATTTAGTCTATAATTTTTGATGGATAATGTTAGATGACAGTAGCTATCAAACGAGAATATCTATTGATTAAAAGAGTTTCTTAAATTGTATATATATGTCAAACTATTTGGAAGAAGGTTGATGCCAATCTAGTAGAAAAACAAATATGTTTGTTCTGTATTTGACAGTTTATAATGTCATCAGATAATAATATATTATCATACAAAACAAAATCATATACAACTATGACGATTTAAATGCTCCAATGAATAGTACAAAATTCTTTTTGTATCTGATAGTCTTATATATACTATATTTGATGTTCTATTCTACACATTAATAATTTGTCTAATAGAGTATTTATATCTAGAAAGGTTCAAAGTTTTTTAATATCGAGGAAATATTTTATTTTACTCTTTTACGCACTTTAAATATTGTTTAAAAAAACATATAAGAGTTTATACATTAATAACGACTGTAATTACAAATTGAGATGCAAAAAAAGAGAAAACAGATCGTTCAAGTTCTAAGTACGTATCAATTAACATCATGAGTTATCTGATATAACACTAAGCAAAACGTACTCAATTATGTCTCACAGGAAATCGTAGAAATGATAAGCACGATCCGCGACATCATGGGTGTGTGTGTTCTTGACTCGTGAATATTTATTTCATTATATTGATTATATACAGAATATAAATACATTGATCCCAAAAACAAAATATTTTCATATAAACTAGAAATGGAATACAAAGACAATAAGCAATGCACTGTATAATATCACGATCATTGAAGATATACTATTTTTGTATTGCTTATGTAAGTATTTTAATGATATTTTTTTTCTGTACTGGAAGAAGATGATAACAGTGCTTAATTGTTTTCAATATGAAGTGTACTATAGAAAGAGGAAAAGCATTACGTAATTATAGTCTTCCAAAAACAAACATCTGTATATATATAGATGTTAGTAAGTAATTATGAAAAAAAAAGTTCGTTTAATAGAGTATTGAACTCTTTAGAAACTAAATCTCTCAAAGAAATTTCCTGTCGTTTGATCATCAGTGCATAAGAATAAATTAAATTATTAATAAATTTAAATATAAATCAATGTTTCCGACTCCTACGCAAGAAAATATTATCAAATATTTACTAATATGCATAGTTTTATTTGCTTTAAATAGATAATCAGATTTAATTTTTAATATATTTGTTTTATAAACTATGATTCTTACTATTTTACTCTATCTATCTTTCTCACATGTTGATATAATTAATTCTATTCAAGTTGTTACCTTATAAAAGAAAAATGTCAACCGGATTTTATGCTTAGAATGCTCGCGTTTCCTTGATATAGTCTTAAGTAGACCTGGCATAGACAATATCACGTTCATAGAATTCATGCAATTATTGGACAAAGACTTAATTCGATAATGCGCGTTTAATTATAAAAGCACACTCATGAAATTATTACGATTCAATAAACAAACAAAAGTTTACAAAGTTAACATGACCAACATAATTCAGAAAAATTGGTTCATTGAACTTAATTCTGTAGGTAGTTATTGATAAACTAAACAAGATATGTATTTCATATAACTTTAATGAAACAAATTGTACGAAAATAAAAGATTCTTCTGGAAAATATACTTTCATCATTAGATCAATATTTCAATAAGATTAACATGACAATAGGAACTTGATCCTACTTGATTTAAAGAATTATATTATTACTACATAATACATTCTATAGTATTATAGTATAAGTGAACTTATTCTCTGTAATTTTTACTATGCAAAATGTCCTACTATTCTCTATTTTTAGACCAAAATAAATATGTATATTATATTTCCGAAGAATTTTATATAATTTGTACGCAATTACGAATAAAATCGTATTAATGTTTTCTTCTTTTTTTTTTATTGTAAACATGAATAAAGAAACAAGAGAATAGTCAGATTGATTAGATCTCAGAACTACTATTTAAGAATGAGAGTATATTTATGTAGATTATCGAAGAATTGCTCAAGGTCAAATCAATAGAATCAAATTAGGAGACAAAATAAACGGAAGCACACTATCTAATATATTAACAATACGAAAATTATTTTAAATAAATTAATCATAAATCTATGTCATTTTATTCTTAACATTAATATCAAACTTTATCAATTTCGTTAATAAACAAAAAACAAAGATTAAAAGCAATAAATCAAAATAAATTGAATTTTGTCAAAGATTTTTCCCTAATTCTATCATCCTAAAACGAATTTTATATGATGATTTTATATGACAATGTCACAAAAGAAAAACTAGTTTCTAAGCCGATTTATGAAGTAGATTATGATGAATAAATGATCACGCACACCATATATTCTAGTTAATCCAGCATGTTTTTTTCGGCGAGCTTTCTCGATAGCCAGTTTTTTTTATCAAGTACACTCTCTGAGTGCACATTCCTCCGCATTCGAATATAATTAATTATAGCCGATGCGGCGACCTTTCGTCTATGCTGTTTTCCGATCATCGAGTGAAAATTCATTCGATTAGATATATGAACATCCTATAGAACGACAATATATATACGTTGCAACGATTTTTTTTATATTTTGTTTGAAGATGAATGATGATGACTGTTTTATGTTGTTGATTCGACGATTATAAATGAATATCGTTTGTATTTCCTGATATCCGTCATCATTCTGTCAACAAAACTAGTTTTCAAAATATATGCTTAGTTTCCTTACTAATAATATCGAAAGAATACTAGTTGATTTTATTTTATTGAAATACAAGAAAATGAGAAATCTTAGAAATTATAAGATACTTGTTGCTGTTCCGTTCTCTCTCTCTCTCTCTCTCTCCTTTTTTTATCTCTTTTCCTAGAGGCATTCAGAGACTTCTCGTTCATTTCTGCATGCAATTACATAAAAAACTCAATTGTGTTTGTCTGTGATGTTCAAATATAAAAAATGAGTAAAAGAATAGAAGAGAAGAAAATGAGACAACGACATTCAGCTTCATTGCCAATCATTATAAAAGAAAGGAAATGCGACAGACAGAACGATAGTCGAATAGAAATAGTAACCCTAACAAAATTAGTATCTGTAATAAGAAAAAAAGTAAAGAATAGATGTATATCTATATATATCTTCGAAAACACCACCAGAGAGAAAATGCACAACGATAAAGCAACTATTTCCGACTTGTATGTTCACTAGATTTTTGGTTAGATGAAATATAAATATACTTTCAATGACAGTGCACTCTTACTAATACTAGAGTTTATGATAATTAAGTAAGATATACATGTAAGTTAGTTTATTTAATCTATACTAATGTTTTCTTTTATAAGAATAAATAACAAATTTTTTGAATAATTATTTACTTAGAATCAAAATTGATCATTTATTCTCGTTTTCTTCATATTTACATTAATCATTTTAGATTGAATTACATTTTATTTGCTCTCCTCTTACTATTTCCGTGTTTTTTTTCCAAATAGACATGAAACCGGTGCTGTCGGTATTACTTATCTTTTTACTTGTCATTGGTAAGTTCTCTAATTTAATTACATCTCCATTATTCATTCTACTGTATATCGGAGTCTGATTTTTTTTCTAGTGGATTGGATTTCTTTTTCCATTATTTTTTTTTTAATTTCTATGACATGTTTATTTATTAGTTGTGGTTCATTATTCATCGGCATCCATCAACCATATTAACAAACGCTATTATTACGACACATGGGATACGAATAATGATGTTAGCAGCAATGGATATGATGAATCTATTAAAATCTTTCCTTTCCGTCAAAAAAGTTATAAAAAAGATGATCCATGTGCAAATAAACCATTATGGTATTTGAAATATCAAGCACGTCTTGGTAAATTATCACCATTCTATGATTGTCTTAGTATACATGGTTTATAAACACAAAATATAAATAAGAAAAAAATTTCGAATGTTTAGCAATAAATTCAAACTAAAAATGAAAATAACAATCTGTATTATTTATTTTTCTTTTTTTTTTGCAAGAAATATTTTATGAAAGAAAAAAACAGTTTAAGAAACATCAATGAGAGCAAATTTATTTTTAAAAATAAATATATATCAAGCAAGAAAACAACAATAGATAGATAGATAGATATATAAATATGTATATTTATTTATTTATTTATTTATTCTTTGAAATAAAAAATAAAATCAGATACATCACAACTATTAAAACACATTGAAACATATATAAATCACCATGATCACTGTTTAATTAAGCTCTAGATATCACAGAAGTATAACATAAAACAATAACTAGCTCGTTATTCTCCTATCATATAAATGTTCACGTATGCGCATACTATCGGCATTTGTTGTTTGCCAGACAGTTTCAAGATCAACTTCAAGATTTCTAAAGCAAAAATAAATCTAATTAAATTCTACAGATTATCCTTTTTTTTTAATTTACCGTTTTTCAGCATGAAGTTCATCTATGAGTATTTGTTTTTCATTTAATAAACTAACAAGTTGTTGAATACGTTGTTCATGTTCTAAACAACGTAATTTTAAATTATCCGATTGTTTTTTCCATCTAATTAAAAAACAGAGCAAAAGAGTACTTTAAAAAAACGAAGAAATTTATCTTGTCTTTTCTCTTACTGTTCTTGCGGTTCATTAGTACGTTCTTTATTTTTATTTTTATAATTTTCTAAACGTTCTTCAAGTTGAGCTAACTTTTCAGCTTCTTCATTCAATCGTATTTGTGTTTTATTCATTTCATCTTCTTTAGTTTTTGCCTTAAAATAAAAATATTATTTTATAATCATCATCATCTATACAGAGTGACCTAAAAGTCATTTTACCCTACAAAAAAAATTGCATAACTCTCTTGTGGTTCATGTGACAAGGCTGATTTTTTCTCTGTGTTATAGAAGCATGTTCACACTTTGTTTTGAATGAGGGAGGCGTAAAAAGAACATCTACGGAATACTAATATTGATCTTACGTAAAAGAGTTTATCTTATTAACAATGAATAGGATTAAAACGTGTTAAAGAGCTTATATCATGTCAATTACCAGCCTGCATTATAATAGAGTAATAAGACAAGAAAAGATGTAGGAACAAAAATTATGCAATTTTTTTGTACGATAAAGTGACTTTTGAGCCACTCTGTATAGATATCAATTTTATTTGTATATACCAATGTTAGATAAGTATCACGTTCAAGTTTTGTTTCTTCATAATCTTCAGTACTTTTTTCTAACATCGTTGTTATTCGTTGTTCTTTAATTTGTTGTAATTCAAGTTTTTTCTCATATGTTTGAACACGTAATTGTAATTTTTTATTTAATTTTTTTAATACTTTTATTTCACCTTTAAAACGTTCAATATCACTGCGATGTTCAGTTAATTTTAATTGACATATTCGTTTTGCTGCTTCAGCATCCTATTAATTAATATTTATATATCTAATTAAACTATTCTAATAAATTTTACCTGTACTCGACGAAGAAGTAATTGCATTTCATGAGCATGTTTTTCACTTAATTCATCTAGAATAAATTAATAAATATTTAAATAGACAAAAAGAATAATCAATACCTGTTAATCGTTTCATTTCACTTATTTCTTGCATATGTTCTTGAACATGTATTTTATGATTGCTATCAAGCATTAATTGATCATATTTTCGTTTTAAATCTTCATTTCTTATTCGAATTGTTTCAAGTATACGATCACTTTCCGTTTTCTCACTTTCAACAACCATTAAACGTCGAGTTAAATTCGAAACTAAATTAATAAAAGGTTATTTTTTATATATTTAATTATAGAAAATAAATTATGTTTACCTTCTTGAATTTGTGTTTTTTGTACATCGGTTAATCGATTAGTTTGTAAATTGAGTTGTTCCTGTAAAACTTTATTTTCTTCTAAGACGAGATAAGCTTGTCGTTTAATATGTTCACTAATAAAAAACAAAAAATTGCTAATATTTAAGTACGAAAAACGAAGCTATTTAATTTTACATATCAGATATATGTGGATCGTTTTTTTCCGATAGTGTTGATCGAGCAAGACGTTCATGTAATGAAATATTTTCATTTGTAATTATTTTAACTTGATCATGTAATTCATTAAGTTGTGTCTAAAAATATAGTATAAATTTTATTTTGTATAATCGTTTAATTATTTCTTACTTGAAGTTTTTTAATGAATGCATCTTTTTCAAATAATTTTTCATCATAACAAACAAAAAGTGGTGCAAGAAATTTTTGATTAAGCTAAAATGTATGAATATAATTCGAGATAAAATAAAAATATATTTCGACAAAAAAAACAAATCATACCAGCCAAATTGGTGATGGTCCTTTCATTGGTAGAGCTTGCATTTTACGTTGTTCTTTCTGTTAACATAAAAAAAAGTTATTTAAGAATATCTTCTAATTTAAACAGGATAAAAGTAGAATTTTTACACTTAGATTTAAGTCTTTGTCACCAATATTTAGCACTTACTGTGTACATGTAAAAATCAAAATTTGAATTATTTTTAAAAACAAACTTGTTATCAAAAATAATTTCTTAATGTTAGATCTCTCTCAAAGTTTCGTATAGATTCGAAGTTAAATACAAATCGAATCTGAATATAAATTAACGCATACAGTTGTCCACTGTCGAGCTTATTGTAGTCTGTAATAAATTCATATCTAAAGTAGTATATATATATGTAACCGAAGTTTCTTATTATATTATCTGTAATTAATAATTATTCTACATACTACAATAAAATCTAATTTAATTTAGTCAATTCTAAATACTGAAATTTCTACAACAAACTTGATATTTAAAAATAAATTGAATTTAGTAAGTTATTTACATAAACTACAGAATGAAATGTATAGAAGGCTTACCAATATATACAAATAAAACATTATTCATTCTTAATCGATAGTAAAATGCAATGATATAATCTTCGAAAGAAAAGAAGACAATGCCGAGAATATTGTATGACGTTTTTTTTTCGTTGCTTTTACAAAAACACTTGAATCGATTTAACTTTTTTCGATTGTTCATATACTCAATAACTTTTCTTTCATAATCAATATATTTTACATACGTATAAAATGAATCGAATTCTGACTCAATCTTTTTTCTTTTTTTTATAATTTTAATTAAATATACAATTACTTACATTCATATCTGTTTGTAAAGTTTTTGGTGGATGTGTCGTTTGATATTCACTTGAGGCAACATTCAAACGATGAATATAATCTTTAAGAAAATGATTTTCATTTTTAAGTTCTCGTGTATTCGAATGATTTTGATCTAAAAAATTAAATAGAATGTTTTATTTGATTTTTTTTAATAACAAACCTTGTGCATATCGATCTTTCATAGCAGTTAATTCATTTTGTAATTGATCACATCGATTTTGTAATGTTGTATTTAAATCTTCTAAACCTTTTGTTTGATCTAACGACAAATAAATAAATATAGATAATCAAATAAATATCAATTTACCACGTCCAGATTGTTTTAATAAATCACTTAATTCTCGTTGTGAAAGTTTTTGAGATGTTTGTAATCGATCAAGTAATTCTTCATATTGTTTTTGAAGATTCTAGATTTATTCTATGATTAATAGTATATTTTAAAAAATAAATATTCTATTTACTCGATTATTTGATCGAACTTGTTGAATTTCATCGTTTAATAATTGATTGCGATGTTCAAGGTCATTAACATTTTGTTGATAATCTTCAGGTGGTGGTAAAACTATTGAATTTTATATTAAAATAATTATAATAAAAATAATTAAAACAAGAAATACCAAGTTTATCTAATACAGATTTTCTATTAGTTTCAAGAACAGTTGTTGAATCTTGAGATTTCGATGATGGTGTTTCATCTTTTTCATAAGCCACTGGTTCTTTAAATGACACAGATCGAGCACTGACTGGTACACTTGTTGTATCATTAAGAGATGAACGTGCAGTTGTTATTGATTTTGATTCTGCACCAGGGTTCTTTAGAATAGATTAAATTTTTTTTTGAAAGATGAGATTAATTCAAAACGAGCTTACCATCGCACCAGTACCACCTCTACGTGAGTTTGGTTCTGCTTGACTTTGTACAGGACTGAAAACTAATGGAGAAATCGCTGTTCGTTTTGGAGTTTTTTCCTATTTATATAGACAAGGATTTTATTTGAATTTAGTTCAATATTTAACATACATCTACTGATCGTGATAATTCAGCAGTAAGTGCTTTTTTAGGATCTGAGTGAGCAGTGGTTGTTGATTCTATTGATTTACATGAGACAGAAGAAGAAAAAAATCCTATTCATTCTTTCAAGGACATTACCTTCATCATCATCATCATCAACATGACCAAACAATCGTTTTTCAGCGTCTGATAATGATGCTGATCGAGATGTATTCTACAAAATAAAATCTTTTACATATATAAAATATTTTGAAATTATAATTATTCTACTTTACATTTTTTACAAGAGAAGTACGAGATGATTTTCGATGTTTTTGTTTTTGTCCTTCTTCATCACTATAGAAAAATATAGTCATCAAATGAAAACTTATTAAAAATAATATATAGATACCTTTCATCCTCGTCGGTACTTGCATCCATACGTCCCAGAGTCGTTCTTGGCGAAGGACGAGGAGAAACATTTTCTTGTTTTCTATTAATAGTTGTTGATGGTTGAATAAGTAATTGATTTATAGAAGAAGCACGTAAAAGAGTTGATGCTAATGGACCCCATTCTTCATCTCCCTGACTTTTTTGTTGAGGAAAATATTGTGCAACAGATGGTACAGCGATAATACTTGCCGATGGAATGATTGCGGAAGCAATATGACTGTATAGTTGCTATGAATAAGATATCAAAACAAAATATTTTGAATTAATTTTGAAGAGTCTATTATTATACATACGGATTTTGTCTTTTTACCATCTTTTGTTTTCATATTTGATTTTAAGTGATTTGATAAAAAAAAGAAAAGAAAAATACTTTCTTTTCTTTGATAATGAAATAAAAACGATTCAGGCAGTCTATACCACAAGAGATTCTATTTGACGTTTCAACCATATTACTTACGGTTGCTAATAGAAATTAACAGATAGGCATAAAATTTATCTTGAAAATAATATGTTGATATAATTTTTTTAAATAAGAGTTGAAAGATAATATATATTTAAATGAATTTCTTTTTCAACGTGAATAATTATTATAATTTCTGTAGAGGTCGTTTGTAGTCATTTCAATTTGCGACATTAATAAAAATGCTATTACGATTAATCTTTCATAAGAATGTAATACATTAGTTGTGCTTGAAAAGAACATGATTCAAAAGAATTAATATTCGCCTTTAACTAGTATCATGTGATGAATGTTGCTGTTGTTCATAACCACCCTTAAGATGTGTAGATGCTTTCAGTTTAATGATTTGAATCTAATGATAAAATATATAGCAGAATTTCATGAGAAAAATCCAGATAAATCTAAAAAAAGTATAAATGACTAAATATCAAATATGAATATTTTTCAGATGATTAATAGTATAACTATAAAACATTACTGAATTTTTTCTGTTCAGATTTGATATGGAAAATATCATTCTACAAAGTTCTTTGTATCTTTAGGTTAATATATTTAGGTTATATGATCGGAAAAAGTAGATCTGAGTCAAATGAAGAGATGAATAAATTGATATAAACAGTTTTTGATTATAGTATCCTAATAACCTTTTGCTTTCACCTTCAACTTGATGAGAAGAAATTATGTCAGCTGTCTTCAAGTACTTTTTGAGCATAGTATCAAATAACACTTAGAACATGTCGATTGGTATCGTATTTAACATGATAAAATACATATTTGATTTTGAGTACTAGAAAATTCTAGTATTTGTCGATACATATAGATCAATAAACTCTTACAATAAGCATATGTATTCATCAGTTAAGCTGAGATTATATATGTCTATCAAATAAAGTAGAGTTAATTATATTGACATGATGATAACTATAGATAATCAAACGAAAAAAGATGATGACATGCACCAATTTATTTTGTTTTAAATAGTTGTCTTTAAAAATCTATTTCGTTACTAATATTTCAATGTCTATATTAATAGATTTATATTATAAAAAGAGGCTTTTAATATTATACGATTATATAAAAACTTATTTTTTCAATAATCAAGAGTTTAATCTTTACACTATACCACCCACTAACACTTATTTTACTCATTGTCTTAAAAATCGCTTGTTCTTTATAACAATAATAATTCTAGATTATTTTCCTAATTATACTTAGGATTAACTAAAAATTTTGATAACGATATTACTTAGCTGTATAGTAAATCTTAAGAAACTTTTTACCTTTATATAGTATACTGGAGAAAACAATCCTCTTTTTTCTATACTATTTAATCATACTTCACTTAATATTATAGTAATAAATTTTTGATAAGATCTATTTTTCTACAGTATGTGGCAGTTATACTAATAGTTATTGAGTAAATCCATCGTTTTAAAAAGACGATACAGATGAATCAAATCGTCTATTATGCGTTTTCCTTAGTATATTGTCTTAGTTTTGTTTAATCAATTATGCAAAAAATTGTTTTTTTACACAAGCTACCACCGAAGATTACTTAGAGCTTCGATCAGAATATTCATACCTCTAGAGTAATTAATTCAAAACAAACGAATCTCCCATAGTTCTATAGGTCTTCCATTGGCGACTTGAATACATATTTGACAATTGAGAATTTGGTATAAATAACTTATAGAGTAGTTTTGTTTACAAAAGGATCGATTGAAAGTTTTTAAAAATTCATACCGCCAATCTATAATAAAAGATTCAATACACCTGTATTACCTCTTTCGAACGATGCAAATTGCAGTTCTCTATCTTTTTTCTATCAAAAAAATATTTACTTAATGAACATTATTATAACTGGTACATATCATATGAAAACAGATTTTATCAAAAATTTACTACTGTAACATTAGGTGAAGCATGACCAAATAGTATGAAGAAAGTTTCATAAGACTTACTATACGGATAAGTAATATAGCTGCTATTAAAACTTTCGATCAGCCCTAAATAAATATATTAAAATCGAGTATATTATTTATTCGCTCATACTTGAATAAAAAACAAACTTCATTATGAATGTTTTTTCCAACTTTAACTATATTGATTAACATAAATGTCAGATCTATACTTCAATACATGAATATAAAAATGTACTCAAAATGCATATATAAAAAAGTAAAAAGATATCATCAATTATGTAAACAGTTCTTTTTATACTTACTTATAGAATTTTAAAAGCAATGACGAAGCAAAAATCAATTTTTTTTCGAATACCTTGCGTGTTTAAACTCATGATCAAACGTCTTTCTTTGACTGATTAAATTCATCATGAATTCTTGTTCTAATTTTACCGTTAAGTATTCATTTTTTATTATTTTTTCGTCTTACTAAGTTTTCATTATCATACACTTGACAGTATTTAAAAAACAAAGTAAACATAAACTTATTTTCGAAGTATTGCGTTGTTTATTAACTAGAGAAGACCTGTACCGAATTATATTTTTTTTCGGGTACCCACTCATGAGGTTATATAAAGGTCATCTATAATGAGAATCATCGTTACTTATGTTTACTTAAAATTTTGTGATGAAAATCAAACTTTCGTTAAATACATAAGAACTGTTGCGAAAGAAAACTTATCTTAAACTCAACAACAACTTATACTACAAAGTGTATTAAATGAAGGTTTACAGCATTTAGAAAAAACAGTCTTACTTTCAATGATTGCAAAAACTCTGATTCTGAATAAAAATAATAGTTACATTCCAGAACTAGATAATTGCGATTTTTTTTATTGACTGCAGAAATTTTATTAAAAAAATTTGCATTAGAATATTTTTTATTTTTATCATTTTATTTGCGACAGAAAATTAGATGAAGCCACTGAAATAATCTATCAATATTGAATTATTTCTTATTTCAATTAATTTTACTTTTATTAATTCTCTATGAATAAACATAATTATTCGATTCGAAAGAATGCGAATGTTGAAATATCACAAAAATATTCATGACGAAAAGATGAACTTTGGTTTCATTACTCTTATTTCTTTTTCATAATATAAAATGAATCATTAGAATCAGTAATATGAAAAAAAATATTTATCTTCATTTTTTAAAATACTTCATACATGAAGAAGAAAAATAATATGTACGAAAAAGATTTCAATCAAACAAAACATTGATGGCGTCGTATTGTTTTTTTTACCTCGAAATTTTTTGATCCGTACATGTTTTTCTTCGTTCTTACTGTACATATAAGTTAAAGTTAACCCTTCAAATAGAAACATTATTACATTTTTTAATGTCAAATTTCAAAAAAAGCATCACATGATTTGGGTTCATGTAAAAAAAGTACATCTTGTGCAATATTATCAATAATATTTAAAAAAAAAGTCTTGCAACTGCACTGTTTTTTGTAAGAGTTCAATAATAAACAAAAGTTAATTTCGACGAATAAATAGAGATGATTTATTAAAGGAAGCATTGAAAAAGCACAGTATTGATCTTTATTTATTAGAAAAGCGCATATTCTAGAATTCAAAAATCAACGCAATAAATATTCTAAAATCAATATGCAAGCTAGTTACTTATACTAATTCAGATGAAAATAAATAAATATCTCAGATAAAATGTATAAATGTACTCAAATTACGCATATATATCATTTTTTATTTGTAAATGTATTAAAAATATTCCAAGAACATCTATGTCATTCATTTCAAAACAATCATTATGAAAAAAAAATGTTTTTCTACTTTTGAATTTTTTTGTAGATATTCGTATTTTTTTACTTGGAATCTTAAAGCAAAAAACAACAAGTGAATACTTTTGAATTATGTGTATTTTACAGTTGTTTTTGAACATACTTAATTCGCAAAAAAATACAAAATAAAAAAAGTAAAAGACATATAAGTGCTTTTTAATAAAATTGTAAGTTCGAGACGCCTCCTACATGAAAAAAAGGGAGAGAGAGAGAGAGAAAGAAGAAAACAATAGTAGCAAGGTATATAAATTCAAGTAAACTTTCATATTGATAGCTTTAGTTAAACAGGGGAGTTCAAGAACATTACATTCGTAATGTTTCAATCCAAAAGTTTTATTACGGCGGTTATTCTGCTATCGCTTACAGCAGAATTAACAAGTATGTTCTAGTTTAAAGTATTATTTATTCTTAATTATTATTCTATTATAGATAGTCAAACATGTTCATACATGTGGGACCCAGTTTTCGAAGCAAATTCGGCCAATCCTCCAACAATGTGTCCCGGTAAGAATATTTTAGATTATATTACGAGAATATTTTAAACCATATGTTTTTTTTTCAATAGTGACTACTACAAGTGGCTCGACATGTGTTTTTCCATTCGGTTATAACGGAGTAAGTTATATAAATGAAATATATTCCAACTCGAAAAGATACGGAGATGAAATATTGATCTTCTTTAATAAAAAAATCATGCATTGAGTATTTAAACTAATAAAAAGTTTTAAAATATCTGACATGATCTGGATTTCTATAGATTTATTTAAAATCTTTTCTGCTAGTATTATATATATTTAGAATTTACAAGTTTACGAGTAAAACGTCATTCTTTGAGGGAGTGTTGAAATATTGATTTTTACTCTGAATACAGAACGATTCCTTAGGATAGCTATTTATTTGAATAAAAAGTGACTCTATTAATGAGTTTATGTCTGAAAGTGAGTTTGTAATGCCATATATTATTAGTCTACAAATAATATTTTTTCTAGAATAAATCGTTGACTAGCAATCTCTTTTGTTGTTTTGAAATACAATCTTTATAACACATTTTAATTTACTTGTATATTTTCTTGAGTACAATATCGATATATGTATATTAGTAGTTATTTATACAAGACTTTATTTTGTATTCATCTTACTTATTCAATATATATATTGTAGGTTACATATACAACCTGTACCGTTCAAGGACCAAATAATGCTAACTACCAACCACAATGTGCTATTGCTATTGATTCCAATAACAATGCAAGTGCATGGTCGTTCTGTAATGGTAAGATAATTAATCTACGCAAGATTATACATGTATATGTATATATATTAATTTTTTTTCTTTAGTACCTACTGATGCTATGGTTACTTATGCAACCGTTCGCAAAGCTGGTTATTATGGACAGAATGGCGGTAGTACACAAGGTGGTACTTTAGTATGGATCTATGGTAATCGATTTGCAGAAAACAGTTTCAGTTCAGTTCCAGCATCATCAAGTGCAAACACAGTACAATTAGTTGATGGTTATACAGTATATGATTGTGAAATGCATAACGATAAAACAACAACTACACAATTAACTTGTTATGCACCAGTTTTACCTGAAAGTGTTTATCAAATTCGAGTTTATGTCAATGGTAATTTAATTCCACTCTATCAATATTATGATCCAACTCATGCTATCTTTGCATCAATGCCAAGTCAAACACCAACTATTACTGGTATTACACCACAAACAGGAACACCAAATTCATTAGTTACATTAACTGGTAATTTCGAAACAGCATGTTATTCACGAGATGTTGTTGGTTGTGCTCAAGATGACAATGCACTTATTTCTCGGTAAATATTACTTGTTTTTTTTCTATATATTGGTCAAATTATTTACATATCTCTTTAGTATCTATATGGGTGGTCATCTCTGTAATGTTATCAATCAAAATACTGGCGTTATGTAAGTCTTTTATTTAGAGATTTTTGACTAGAATATTTTCTTTTCTTTTTCTAAAATTAATTAGCTATGCAGCAGTAAACGATACAGGACTTGAATGTAATTTTGAAGGAACAGAAGTTGGTATGTAATAAAAATTTTTGTCTTCTTCTTACGTATTAACTATAAAAAATGAATAAAAATAGGTTTATTCAATGTCAGTATGCTTGTTACAAATGAATTTGGTCGTGCATTAGTTGATCCAAGTTTATATCGAGTATCAGCAGATGAAACTTTCTACACATTTCAAAGCTATGCTGGTTTGTTTATTTCATATATTATAAATTGAAAATAAAATTCTTTTTTTTAGTTATTTCAAGTGTATCCCCAAGCACGGGTAGTACAGCTGGTGGTACAACAGTAACAATTAATGGTAATTATTTCAGTGATAGTACACAATATCCAATAGAGGTCAACGTCGGTGGACAACCATGTACAGTTCTTGGTTCAACACAAACAACAATTCAATGTCAAACACCAGCTGCACCAACAGGAAGTCAAAGTCGATATCAAGGTTTGATTGAAATTGAATAAAATTGTGTTTTTTTCACTTCAATTTTTATTTGTATTTAGGTGGTCGTGGTTTACAACTCTATTCTACATCAGGTTCTAATTCACAGGTAAATAATTTTTTTTTCTCATCTAAACAATTTTATTTATTTTCTATATTTAGGCTACATTATCAAGTGGAAGTCCACCAACACCAACTGGTAGTCCCACTTGGACTGATGATGCTTTATATGTATCAAGTTCATTATCAGCTGAAACAGCTTGGCTTATCGGTTTTGTTCGCGTACTTAAAACAGCTAATTTTACATTTATTTTGGATACAAATGGTGCTGGTGCTTTATATGTTAGTTCAGATGATAATCCAACTAATAAATTACTTATTGCTTCAGCAACTAGTAATCAATCAGCAACAATCTTATTAAATAACAATACCAAGTAAGAACTATTAAAATAAAGATAAATAATTTCAATATTTAATTTTCTTTTTCAATAGTTATTATTTATTTGCTGTTGGTTCACGACCAAATGGAAACTTACGATTAGGTGTTCAAGCACGTATGCATGAAACAAAATTAACAGCATCACCATCAAGTTTAGTATTAAATGAAATTCAACGTATTACTGTTGATTCTAGTGCTATATCTGAACAACAGGTATAAGGGAATAATATTTATTTTGAAATAAAAAATTTTTTTTTCTTTTAAAAATTTAGCAAATTGCTTTCACAGTAAGTCCAACAAGTGGAGTATCTGAAGTTCAATCAGTACAAGTTGATGTTTCAACATTTCAAATTGGTTTTCGTGGTGTTTATACAGGTATAAATATATATATATATACTTATTCGTTTTTTTTTATTAAACTATATTTAATGAATATTTAAGCTGTTCTAACTGGTCGACCATCAGCATCAGCTGTTCAAGCAGCATTGAATGATTTACCATCAATTTATCCATTATCAGTAACAGTTACAGCAACTAGTACACTTTATATAGTAACATTTCCAGATGTAATGGGTAATGTTCCATTGTTAACATGTGTATCAACATCAACCAATACACCAATTATAATTGAAACTACTCAAGGTGTTGATTCTGGCACATTAATGGCACTTGAATTAGACGGGCAATTAACAAACTATCTTAATTTTAGTGATGCATCTACAACACAAAATGTAGTTTCCAAAGAAATAAATAATTTATTTAGTATTCAATGTCCACCATCAATCAGTAATGCTACATACGATCAATCAGTTTTATACTTACAAGATTTTGAATCAAATTGTGTTTATGATGAAACACCAATAACAACAAGTGCATTCTGTGGAAAATGTTCATATAATGGTAATTCATTACTTTATGGAAATACACTAAATGGAAATTATTTATGTTTTGCATATCGTCTTACTAATACATATGTTACATCATTGGGTCTTGGTTTACAAACAAATGGTAATACATTAACAACAATCTGGGCATCAATACCAATTTCATTACAAGCTGATAAATTTTGGCATTATACATGTGTTGATCTTCAAGCAAATCTTTTATCACAAGGTATAATTGATTCAACTGTTTCGTCATTTATTATTACACAAGCATGGCTTGATAAAAATATTAGAAATGGAATATTTCTTGATGTTATCTCACTTCGTACAGCATTACCAAATGCTTATGAAAATACAGGTTCAACTTCAATTGATAAAACAGCTAATCCATCCTGTGTTTTTCCATTTTATTTTAATAATACAAGATTTTCAGCATGTACTTTAAATAATAATAATAATTTACCTGTTTGTGCTGATAGCAGTAATATTACATATCAATGTAATAGTTCATCAATTGAAGGTGTTCGAAGACTTTATCCTAATCATCAATTAGCATACAATACATTTCGAGTGACATATCCTGCTGGTAGTTCACCAATTACAGTTAGTTTTCGATATACTACTTGCGATAAACCAACAAAATTTGTACCATGGCCATCATCGGTAAATTTATTTTTCTTCTTATAATTAATAATAATTATATAATTTATATCATATAGGGTACAACAGTAACTCGTTTAGCAACAGCATCTGATGCTGCAAATGGAACATTTGATCTTGTATTTAATGGACTGACATATGCATCAATACCAGTTGATATTTTACCATTAGATTTAGCTAATCGATTACAATCATCATCTGATTTTGGATTTCTAAATATAAAACGTACAGGTGATTGTACAGGATATATATATACAATTGAATGGATTGCTAATGGTGGACAAAAAACAGCTATTTCAACTGCAAATGCTGGTTCGATTCTACCATCTGGTACAACAGTAACAGCATCAATTGTACAAGCTGGTGGTGTTCTTTTCAATCCATTATCAGGAGATTTAACACGTACCTATCAAACTAATCCACAAGTAAATAACATCAATTTTTAATGATAAAAATTTTTTATTAATAATTATTTTATTTCAAAGATTGAAGTTTTTGTTGGCGGTTATCCATCACATTGTACAGGTGCAAATACTTGTGATTACCAATGGTTACAAGCACAAACTCCAACGGTTACATCAATCACACAAAATACTATGACATTAACAATTACAGGTTCTGGTTTTAGTACAACACCAAGCGAAAATAATGTTACTATTGGAACATCTGGTACATGTACAGTTTTATCTGCTACAACATCATCTCTTACATGTACAATTGCTGCTGCTCCAGCAGGTGCTTATAGTGTTCAAGTTAATGTTGCTGCTAAAGGTTTAGCAACAGGTACATCAAGTTTTTCAGTAAATGTTCCACTTCAAGTTACATCAATTACTCCAATACAAGGAGGAGCAGGTCTGTCGAATTTTATCTATAAAATTAAATTAAAAAATATTAATTTTTATTAAATTTTAGGTGGTGGTATGACATTAAATGTAACTGGAATAGGATTTACATCATCTTCATCAGTTACAGTCGGTGGTAATTTATGTACAAATCCAATAGTATCTAGTTTTTCACTTATAACATGTACTGTACCACCTACAACAGCTGTTAGTAACATTCAAGCAGCAGTTGTTGTCACATCTGGTTCATCTACAGCAACATCAACAACTCAATTCACTTATGATGTTACTAATACACCTTCAATAACAACATCAAGTCCTAGTGTTGTAACAATGGCTAATGGTCAATTAACAATAACTGGTACAAATTTTGGTACTAGTTCAGTAGCCGTCTATATTGGTACAACAAAAGCAACTATTCAATCATTAACATCAACTCAAATTGTAGCTGTTTTACCATCATTAGCACCTGGTATTTATCCAGTTCAAGTTTCAACTGCATATGGTTATGCACGTCCAGCTATTCAAATTGAATATCGTTTCTATGTTCAAACTATTTCTCCACAAATTGGTTCATTATATGGTGGAAGTGATGTTTATGTACAAGGTGCAGGTTTTGATAGTTCAACTGGCGTTTCATTTACAGATGGTACAAATCAAATACCATGTGATATTGTATCTGTACAACCAAATCAAATTCATTGTCAAACAGAAGCTGCTGCTCCTCGCGTTATTATATCAGCAAATGGTGTTGATCCTACATATGGTAATGGTTTTGCATGGTCACCAATATATGCAACTGTACAACAAGGTGCAGTTGTTGAATGGCAATGGGGTTTATCAGCACTTTTATCATCATTATCTTATAAGGTTGTACAAGTTGCAAATGGTTCCACAATAGCACCATTAAGTGGTGGTTTCGATTCTGGCAATGCTACAGCATCTGGTAAAAGAAGCTTACTTTATAGTTAATAGTTGAAATATTTATATTTTATTTTAGGATCTTATATATATCAATTTCAAACCGTTGGAACATATTATTATTATACACCACCTGTTGATCAAGCTGGTTTAGTTTCTATGCGTGGTGTTATTAATGTTGTTGCTGCTGCACCACGAACACTTACAGTTAATGTAACATCTGGTTCATATACAGGTAAATTTTATTTTCTTTTTTAAAATAAATTATTTTATTTGAAATTTGTTTTAGCTCAATCATGTGCTTTTCCATTTACATTCAATTCAGTTGTATATACAGCATGTACAACAGTTAGTGATACTCAATTATGGTGTTCACCAACACCAACTTATACTGGTCAACGACTTTATTGTACACCAACAGGTATACATTTTTTAAGTTCATCAATAAATAATTGAGCTAATCTTTTTTTTCTTTATTTCTAATATTTAGCTACTGTACCAACACCATCATGTAGTTCAAGTTCATTAATTAATCCAAGTTCATGTTCACAAACAGTTCCATCAAATGCATTACAATTTTTATTTACACCATGTACAATTGGTACTGTAACATCAATTTCACCATCATATGGTCCATCAGGAACATCAATTACAGTTACTGGAACAGGTTTTAGTTCAACATCATGTGAAAATGAGATTCTTATCGGAACATATCAATGTCCAATATCAAGTGCAACATCAACACAACTTACTTGTCAAATTGGTCCAAATTCATTTCTTAATGCAAAATCAGATCAAAGTTTCAATGTCGGACAAGTTCGTCAAGGCTTTTTCAGCAATGATGGTCTTTTAGAATTTCAATTTCTAGCACAAATTACTGGTGTATCACCAACACAAGGTTGATTATTTTTTATATATAAGAAGAATTACTTTTTTAATAATTATTCTTTTGTTTTTTACTTATTTAGGTTCAACTTCTGGTGGTACTTTAGTAACAATAACTGGTGATGGTTTTACACCAGCTGATACACGTGTTATTGTTGGTTCTATTGAATATACTTCATCAGCAACAATTACTTATTCACAAATTCAATTTATAACTCAAGCACCACCATCAAATTATATCGATCAAACAATTCCTATCACAATATTAATTGGTTCAAACGAAGCTATATGCTCAGCAGGATCGTGTGGATTTACATGGGCACGAAGTGTAACACCATCTCTCGTATCAGTTAGTCCAGCATCAATATCAGCTCCACAAACAATCACTGTAAATGGTCAGAATTTAGATCCTACAAATATGGTATCTGTATCAGATGTTAATGTAACTATTAATGGTGAATCATGTACTGTAACATCAGTAACAAATTCAACAATTGCATGCAACATAGGTAGCATTCCAGCTGGAACATATCCAGTTGTTGCATCTATTAATGGTATAGTTTTGTTTTTAAAAATAAGAAAACAGAGATATTTTATTTGCTTTTCGAATTATTTTAGGTATCGGAAAAACTGTCTCATCAGCAAGTCTTATATCATCTGCAACTATTGCTAATGTTGCACCAACATCGGGCAGTATGTATGGTGGTGTTCCTATTACTATTACTGGTAATGGATTTGCTCGTTCAGCAAGCAATATGCAAATAACTGTTGGTTCAAGTCCATGTACAATTGTTTCAACAACACCAGGTCAAGTTCAATGTGTCGTTCCACCTAAAGGATCAAATGCATCACCAGCTACAATAAATATTGTTTCAAATGGTATAACATTTCCAACTTCAAATACATTTACATATAGTGCAGCTTCTACACCAACAATTTCATCTATTAGTCCATCATCAGGAACTGTTGGTCAAGCATTAACTATTTCTGGTTCAAATTTTATTGCTGGTCAAACAAGTGTTACAATTGGTGGTACAATATGTACAATTACTAGTGTTTCATCAACATCAATCGTATGTACAGTTAATTCAAGTCCAGCTGGAAGTCAACCAGTTATTGTTACTGTTTCATCAACTGGTGTATCCGCTTCTACTAATCAATTTCAATATAATTTACAAGTCAGTATTGCAACACCAGCACGAGGTAGTTTCGGTGGTGGTCAAGTAGTAACTGTCACTGGTGATGGTTTTAATACACCAAATATTAGTGTTACAGTATGCAATACAGCTTGTCAATCAGTATCTGTTGTATCTAATACACAATTAACTTGTGTGACACCAGCAGCAACATATCAAGTCGCTGATAAAGTATGCAGTTTAACAGTTACAGTTGGTAGCTTATCACAAAGTGCATCATATACTTATCAAGCTAGTTTAACAGCAAGTGTTACATCAGTTAGTCCAGCACGTGGTGGAACTGGTGGTGGTACAACATTGACAATTACAGGAACAAATTTTCCGTAAGATCTAACTAAAATTTAAAAAAGTAAATTTATGTTTTGTTTTTATCTGCAGATCAACAGCCAGTGGAGTAAACGTTAGTATTGCTGGTGTATCATGTATAGTTCAAACAGTTTCATCAACATCAATTACTTGTTTCACAGGTAGTTATAGTCAAACAACAATTCAAGCACCAGTCATTGTTAACGTGGTCAATGGTGGTAATGCTTTGGGATCAGCACAATTTCAATATATTGATCTTTGGTCAAGTCCATGGACATGGGGAGGTGATTCACCACCTGAACAAGGAACAATTGTTTCAATTGATAGTGGAAAAACAGTTTATTTTGATACAAATACACCAGTTCTTAAAGCTCTTATTGTTGATAATGCTACATTAATATTCGATGATAATCAAGATGTTAGTTTAAGTGCTGAATATATATTAGTTGTTAATGGTGGTCGTTTACAAGTTGGTACAGAAGCAAGTCCATTCCAACATAAAGCTATTATTACAATGTATGGTCAATTACGATCAATTGAATTACCAATATGTAAGATAATTTTTCTTTTTTTTAAATTTTATTTTGAAATAAAATAAAAATAAATTTATTGAATGTTTTTAGATGGAGCTAAAGTTTTGGCATTACGTGATGGTACTGTTGATATGCATGGAACAAATTTAGTTCGAACATGGACACGTTTAGGATCTACAGCTGCTGCTGGTGCTACACAAATTACTCTTAGTCAATATGTTGATTGGCCAGTAAATAGTCAAATAGTTATTGCAACAACAGGAGATTATGAAAGTCAAGGAGAAACTGAAACACGTACAATAACAGCTGTATCATCAAATGGACTTACATTAACATTAGATTCACCATTAACTTATCAACATTTGGGTGTAACACAAATTGTTGGTTCAACATCCGTTGAAGTTCGTGCTGAAGTTGGTCTTTTAACTCGTAATGTTGTCTTTCAAGGTTTGTTAGAAAATATTTTTTTTTTTTCGTTTTCAAAAAAATCATTTCACATCATTTGATTTGCATGATTAGGTTCACAGGATACAACATGGGACGCAACACCAATTGACCCATGCCCTGCTGGATTTAATCCAGGTGAATTTGCTACTCAAACATGTTTTCTTGGTCGATATGGTAATGAAATTGGTTCAGATCAATTTGGTGCAACAATTATGGCAAGTGCTAGTGCTGATAGTTCTGATGGTATTCAACGAGCTATTCTTCGTTTATCAAATATCGAAGTAAAATATTTCTTTTTCTTTAGTTATTTAATTTATTTTTATATTCTATTTTCATTAGGTAACTTATGCTGGTCAAGCTTTTCGTCTTGGTCGATATCCAGTTCATTTTCATATGAATGGAAATATGAGTTTATCATACATTAAATCATCATCTATTCATCAAACATTCAATCGAGCCGTCAATATTCATGCATCTAATTATCTTACTGTTTCAAATAATGTCATCTATGACGTTATGTAAGTGAAAGAAAATCTATAGAAAAAAACATCAAACTTATTTTTTTCATACTATATTTTAGGGGTGGAGCTGTATTTTTAGAAGATGGTGTTGAAACATTTAATACATTAAGCTATAATTTACTTGTATTTGTTCGAACAAGTTCAAGTTTACTCAATGAAGATGTTACACCAGCTGCCATTTGGGTAACTTTTAAAAAAAATATATATATTGTTAGTTTTTTTTATTTAAATATATTTATATTTGTTTAGGTTACTAATCCAAATAATATTGTTGAACATAATGCTGTTGCTGGTGGTACACATTTTGGTTATTGGTATCGATTACTTGAAACACCAGATGGACCATCGTTTGCAATGTATCCAAATTTCTGTCCACATCGTCAACAATTTGGTCGATTCTTTAATAATAGTGTTCATAGTGTTGGTCGTTTTGGTGTTTGGCTCTTTCCAGAATATTCACCAACTGTTTCTGGTAGTTGTATAACTGATAATCCATATCAAGCTATAATCGAAGGATTAATTTCATGGAAAAACAGTCGTGGTATTGAATGGGTTATGTCAAGTACAGTTCAAATAAAAAATGCACTCGTTTTTGATAATGATGATGCTGGTATTCGATGTGTTACAGCTATTAATAATCAACGAACGGATCTTCCCGTTCTTCGTAGTACATTCTACAATGAAAATACTGGTTCATCCGTTATTAATTCGATTATTATTGGTGATACTGGTGTATCTGGAACTCCTATTGTACCAGATGAAGGTGGTCTCATTGGTAAGTTAAATTAATAAGAAAAGAAAGAAAAACTGAAAATTTTACTAATTAATATTTATTATAGTTATGTGGGATCGTGGTTTAAGCGTACGAAATATTTCATTCATCAATTTTCCAAATGTAAATACACAAGCTATTTATGGTCCAACTATTGATGGTCGTTGTGTTGTTTATTGTGGAGGTATAGTAACAAATAAATAAATAAAGAAAATATTTGAATTCTTATTCTTATTTATATTAAAATTAGGTTGGTTAACTAAATTTTCTCAATTGAGATTTACAAATGTTTTAAATCGTGGTAATTTCCGTTGGGCATATGATGGTTTATATCAAGATGTAGATGGTTCATTAGCAAATGTACCTGGTGCCGTTATTCTTCCACCTGACGGACTTTGGAATACATCAAGTGCATGTTCACCAACACCAAATTTTGTTAATGCTATTACATGTCCATCATCAATGGGTACATGGATTCGATTTGCTTTTAATCAAGCTAATCTAGGACAAAATGGTGAAGAATTAAATATTTATGATGACTCAAATCATCATACAGTTGTACCTAATCTTCATAAACGACTTACGCATCCAGAAGGTTATATGATGAATTTATTAGCTAAAAAATCTTATCTACTCCAATTTGAAAATGCTAACGTAAAAAAAAATTTTATGATAATATTTTAAAATATTCTATATTTATTTTATTTTGAATTTTTATAGAGTTCAGTTAATATATCATATAGTGGTGTTGCTTATAGTTTAGCACCAGGTGATTATCTTATTATTCGTCATGGTGTTCAGTTTTTACCTGATCAAGTTAATACTGTTTCAAGTTTATCATTAGTTTCTGAATCAGCTTCACCACTTACAGCTGCAAGTAATAATGGTGACTGGTATTATGATAATACAACACAAGAATTTTCTTATATTGGTAATAAATTTTGATATAGACTATTTTTTTGTATATATAAATATGATTCAATATAATTTAGTTAAAAATCCATCAAACAATACCATAGCAGCGGATGTAACGGTTACTTTGAATGTTGTTAAATGTCGATATCCAAATTGTCAAATGCCAGCACAACCAGGTCTTGACTTACCAGCAACTGCTCGACCAGCTGATGCTTTATACTGGGGAAATGATTCAGATTGGTCTTTTGCACTACCTGGTTATGGTGGATACAGTATGTTCATAAAGATTATCTTTATTTTTTTGTTGTTTATTATAAAATAATATTTACTAGACTCTATCAAACCTGGTAATAATACAGACATTTATATTCCACGTGGTATCTGGCTTGTTGTTAATTGGCCATTACCTACTATTCTTTCATTACGTATTGATGGTGTACTTGAATTTGAACAAGTAAAAAACTTTGTTTTTGTTTTCTGTTATTTATTTAATAAAAATTTTTTTACTTCTATTTATTTTCTAGGGTATGAATAATACTCTTAATGTCAACAGTATTTTTATTAATGGTGGTCAATTAATTGTTGGTATGTATTAAGTTTTTGTTTATTTCTATCAATATATCTATATATAATCTTTATAGGTTGGCCCGATACTCCACTCACATCAAATGTTGATATTGTTATAACTGGTTCAGCAACAGTCGATGTTTTATTACCTAATGATGCTGGATCATTAGGACCACGAGTAATTGGTGTTTTAGGTGGTCTTGATTTACACGGTATTGCACATAATGTTTCTTGGACACGTCTTGCTACAACAGCAACTGCAGGTCAAATTGTTATTACATTAAGTGAAGCTGTAGATTGGTCTGTCGGTGATGAAATTCTTATAACAACAACTGATACAAGAATTGATCATCGAGAAAGATGTACAATTGCAAGTATTAGTGGAGCTGGTACCGTAATAACATTACAAAACCCTCTTGCTTATACACACATTGTTATTCATCAAGTATTTGCCAATGGTGAAATATATCATGTAGCTGCTGCTGTTGGTTTATTATCAAGAAATATCCGTGTTATTAGTACTAGTCCAGATACAGAAAAAATCGGTGTTCGTGTCTTAGTTACGGATTATTCAACAAATATTTATAATGCACCTACTTCAGAATATATCAATACATATTATAAAGGTTATGCAAGATTATCCAATACACAATTTATTGGTTTCGGTCAATTTATTGATGCTGAAGATGAAGATAAACGTGAAGGTATTCATTTATATAATCTTGGTGATTTTAATATATCACGACCAACTTATGTTAATGCATGTTCATTCGATACTGGTTTTTATTCAGCGTATGTATCTATTTAAAAAAAAATGATTTTTATTCTATGAATATATCTATATTATTTCATTATAGAATTGGTATTTGGGATACAAACGGAGTTCCAGTTCTAAATAATGTCGTTTATCGAGCATTTGAATCAGCTATTGTTGCTACAGGAATGAATAATCTCATACAGAAAAATCTTGTTTCAACTGTTTATTGGTCTGGTGAAGCTGAACCAGCTTATGCACCATTTGATATTAATAATGATGGTGCAATTATGTCTCGAGATGCAATTAGTGTAGTTATGAAGGTAAATTGATTTAATTTAATTAATTTAATTCTATAATAAATAATTTTTATCTAGGATAACTTAGTATCTGGTGCACAACGTCAAGCTTATCGTATACAAGGTAATTCATGTCCAGGAACTGTTCTACCAAATGATACTGTTAATGATTATGATAATAATGAAGCCCATTCAAGTATGGCTGGTGTTAATATGTGGCCAAATGATCAAGGTTTCAATTATGATACAGGTAAGCAATTGAAAGAAATATAATACTTAATTGAATATATATATATTTATTTAATATTCTATTAGATTGTGTATTAATAAAAGGATTCAAGTAAGTTTAAGAGTTCATTTTTGTTTTAGTTATTTCTAATTACTTTTCTTTTTATAGAACTTATAAAACATGGTACTACGGTTTATATATCAATACAGAACACAATATTATTATTGATTCATGTCAAATAGCCGATAGTAGTGTTGGTATTTTTACAATTGTTCTTGGTCCATTATGTAATTAACTTGAAAAAAAAACAGAATCTAAAATAATATCTTTAAAATTTCTTCATTTTTTAGCTACAACTCATGTCTTTGAGAACAGTTCAGTTATCATTCGAAATTCCTTAATTATTGGTGCTATAACTCCAAATGATTGTAGTGATATTCCAGATCCAAATACAATCAGCGCAATAAATAGTCCCACAGCTGTTCCTATTGTGGCAGGAGACTCATCACAAGGAAATCCAGGTAGTCGAGTAGGTATATCATTTCCACAGTTTTCACGTGATAATATGATTCCACGTCATCCATATACCGGTATTGATGCTTATCCATGCAGTAAGTTAATAAATAAAGTTTTTCTTATTATTATTATACATAATTTAATTTTTAATTTTTATAGTTGGTGGTATCATGATATTAACAAATGTAACATTTGCTTATTTTAATGACATGTGTGGCAGTCGTCATGATGTAGCTATTTCAGTTTCACAAAATAATGATGATGGTCAACATCCAGTAACAACAAGTGGTATATCTGTTTATAGTTCATCACCATCAAATTTAGTCTTTAATGGACGACCAAATTTGGATGTTGTTGATCCAGCTGATTGCGTTGGTAAGAAAATATTTATTTACATTTTACAAAGAATGTAATCAAATGCATGTGTATATATAGATATGGATTGTGATGGTTTGAAAACAAATTTACTTATTGATACTGATGGTACTTTATTCGGTCAACCATCGACTGTCTTTTCTCAAGCAGAATATCTTTGGGGTAATTTTAAATATTTAAAATTTGTTTTATAGTTCTTTCTTTTTAAATATCTATTCAGGTAATCAAGCTCATGGTGTCGGCGATTATCGTATTCCAAGTGCCGCATTAGCAGGTGCCAATGGTCAAATGATTAATATTAATAGTGTATATCCTTCTCGTGGTATAAGTCATCCATCAGCATGTACACTTCAAGCATCATCTGAAATGTACTTATGTCCAAATATAGTTGATTATCGAATGTTAATTATTGAAAGTATGGATGCTGATACTGAAACACGACGTCTTTCACCAGTTGCTGTTCTTTCTGATCTTGGTTTTATTAATTTAATCAATGGTCCACAAGATCATGGATGGTGTAATGGTTATACATGTCAAAAACGTCTATCAACATTTATGACATTAGTTGAATCCAATCGTCATTATGATATTTATCTATCAAGTACAACGCCAAATGATATGCGTTTTCGATTACTTAATGCTGATGCAACAATAAAGGTATCATTAGCTCTTTATTATACATCGTTACAACAAATTGATGTTTATGCTAATAATGTTTATGTTCCACCAACAAATATTGATACTAGTTATTCATATTTAATGTTAAAAGATATACCATCTGGTGTAACATATGGATCAGGAGCTGGTACAAACTATTTTAATAGGTATAAAAAAATATATTTATTTAAATGAATAAAATATACATACGTTTATTTTTGAATATTAGAACAACACAAACAGCATTATTTTTAATTGATGGCATCACTGTTATTGATTTGGAGATTTCACCATTAATTGTCCTTACATTTGGTTTACCAGCTACTACACCAGCAGCATTCTTTAGTACAAATTTAGTCGGAAATTTAGCTGCTTTACTTGGTGTTAGTGTTGATCAAATTCGACGTGTTAATATTATTTCAGCAAATACTGATTCGTAAGTATTTCAAAAATATTTTGCCTAAATTTATTCAATGCATACTTTCATTTATTAGTCGTGTTGTTCGTCGTGCAACAAGTGGAACAATTACTTTACGTGTTGAACTACGTAATGATCCACGACCATTTTACTCTATTCCTGATCAAGCATCAGTTGATGATATTAATAATATAACTTCTCGTATTATTAATGGTTATCAAGCGAATCAAACTCAACAACAATGGGCAGCTGCTGCAGGTGGTTCATATCCTCTTAGTTTAAGTGTACAAGAACCAGGAAGTTCAGAAACATCAGTATTGAGTGTTATTAGTGGCTTATTCTTAATAACTCCACCCTCATCATGCCGTTTACAATCACCATGTGATACTCAACCAAAACTTGTTGCACGTGATGCATCAGGTGCAATTATAGATAAATTAGGTTCAGAACAACAACCATGGCAAATTATCGCTGTTATTGTTGGACAATCAGGTGTTAGTCTTGTTGGTCCAATTGCTAATTATAGTGATGGTCAATCACAATATACAAATTTTGGTATAACAGCACTTGGTTCATATCAAGTTGAATTTCGACTTCTTACACCAAACGGTGTTAGCAGGTAGATATTTCTTTAGAAAAAGAGACAATTTTCATTCCTTTTTTTTAATGAAAATTTATAATATTCGTTTTATTTTTAGTCAATTCGTTGCAAGTGCTAGTTTTATCGTTAGTGCATCATCAATACAAGTTTCAGCTCCTATTTTAGCTGGAAAACAATGGAATGATATTGCTGTTGTTTCAGTCAATGAAACATTTAATATGTCAACTATTATCGTTGATAAACCATCGCAAATTAAAATTGGAGATATTCAATTGGGTAGCGGTCTTCAATGGACAGCAACAGCTTCATTTTATCCATTACAACATAAATGTAATGGTACATTAGTTCAAACACAATCATCAGCAGTTATTGTTGATTATACAGCAGGTACTATAACAGTAACAAATTTAGCAATTAATAACGTTGGAATGTATATTATCAATGTTGAATTAAAATCAACAAATAATCAATATACAATTGATTTAACATCGAATGGTATTTTAGTTAAGAAACCAAATGGTAAGTTTTATTCTATTTTATTTATTAAAACAAATTCATTAATACTTTATAGTTACTCTTGATACATATCCCGGCTATCCACCATCGAATATAACATATACAGCTGATTTTGATGCAATAAATGCAAGTGGTAAACTTGAAATAACACGAGCTGAAATTTATAATCTTTTGACATGTCAACTTCATATACCTATTACCAGTGATATTACTTTAAGAAAAGGTTAGTTATATTGAAAACTTACATTTTTTTAAAATATACTTCATATATTGCTATTTATAGGTAGTCTGATTGCTGGCTTTATGTTGGACGGTGATAGTATTGGCGATGCTGAAAACGCACAAGCTGGTGTTAATGAATTAATAACTAATCAAGTAAATGCTATAGATAATACAGTGCTTCAATCAGTAAATGCTAATAATGATGCAACATTTACGCCAAGTACCTCGTCTTCAACTAGTGGTCTTAGCGCAGGAGCGATTGCTGGTATTGTTGTTGCTGCTATTGTTGTTGTCGCCGCTGCTGCTGCTGGTTCAGCGTATGGTGTTCATAAAAATAGTGTTAATAAAGGTCAATCTCTTATGAATGAACAAGATGAAGAAGCTTCAATTTCAAATACTCAAAACACCACAAATGCATCACCATCAAATGATGATGGATCACATTTAACACGACGTTTATCTGCTACAGGGCCTACGTCATCGGTTACCAATAATAATCAAATACAATCATCATCTTCAGGTCAATCACGACCTTTATCATCAGGTGCTGCTAGTGTTACTGGAATAACATTCAACAATCCAGTATCAACATTAACACCCGTCGAATTTATTCCTCTCCATTGATTTTAACATTACTTATTTTAATCATTTTTCTCTAATGAACTATTCAAGACTTATTATATTCTTTTTACATTTCTCATTTAGTAGTGTCTCTTTTTAGTTCCTCAATTCTAGTTTTTCTCATTTCTTTTTTTTCCATAATCATTTCTCTTTTTTTCCATAATCATTTCTTTTTTTTTCATAATCATTTCTAAATAAATCCGTAGTTAGCCATAATATGTTTTATCTATTCAACATTTAAACAAAGATATATTTCATGATCAAGAAATTAAATTTTTCATTGAAAGATGTACTCAATAATGAAAATGTAAATAAAATAAAATAAAGACATTCATAATAAATATGAAACTTTTATATTATTTATTTCTCTCGATGATTAATTCGATTTCTGGTCGATCGTCGGAAACAATGCATAAATTTGTTCAAGTATCCATTATTTGCACCGGTACTTCGTTGTTTGAGTTTATTTATGGAAGAATATTGTGGAATTGACATGTATTTTTTGTTATTATCTAAAATCTCTAATATTTTCTTTTCTCCTTGTGCACTTTGAGGTCCTTCAATTACAAACAATGAAGAAATATTATCTAAATGAATTGAAAAACATGAATATAGCTAATAATATTCTAAAATCTTTAATAGATAATATAGTTTTATAAGTTTACTATTTTCTTTCATAGGATTATTTATTGAAGAAGACAGTTGATGTTCAGAATAGTTATCGTAATTAAAATCATCTGTTGAATATTGTTTATTTGATATAGAACTTGAGATATTTTTTTCCAGAGGAGTAATTTCTATGCGTTCTGTTGATGTTAAACGTTCTTTCCAATTTGTATTCAACATATTTTCACTGGAAGGAGTTTGATCATTGAATGTAAACATCATTGAAGAATCGATATTGTCAGACTAAAATAAAACATTTGAAAAAGTATTAAACATATATTTTAAGATAATCTTTTTAAATTAGAAACAAAAAATTGACTTACATGTGTTTCATAAGAGATTAGATTTTGATTTAGACTTTGTTTATCATTATTTTGTGTAATACTTAATACATTATTTGCTTTATCAATACCATTGATTGATGAATTTTCATATGATTGATGAGTATTTATTGATTTGTTGGATATTGGCGATAAACTATGATTACTTTCAGGTACAATCTTATATGTTGTCTTTGATGGAATTCGATATTCAGAAGTTTGAAAAGATAAAGGTGATGATAGATTACTTTTGCTATCATTTTCTTTATAGATATTTGATTGTAATTTTTGAACTAAACGAGAAGATGTTCGATGTAATTTATCAGGATCTGTTGTTGATGTTATAGGTAATTGTTCTGTATAAGAAGATGTCCCATGAGGAGTTATACGTCCATTGCTGTTCGATATTATCAAGCGATCTATTTAGAAGAAGAAAAAAAACAAATATTAGATCAACTGATATTCAAGATGCTATGTGAATAGAATGTATTTACCTTGTATAGAATGAAGTTTAATAGATTTATCAGTATCTGAATTAGTATTCGATAATGGTGAGAATTGTTCTGATTTAAGAAAAGATTGTTGTCGTTGTATAGATGCTTGATTACTAGGTGATCCTGCAGTCCATCCACGATTACTATCAAACTTTGCGTCTTTGTTCAAAAGCATATTTGATCCATATTTTTGTTTGGATATTTTACGAAATTTTTGTTTTATTTTACTCGATGATTTATGATCTCCAGTACGGTAACCTAATTTTTGACGAATATTTTCATCTTTAATACCATAGACTAATCCAAAAATATGATCTTTTTCATTTGTCTTTTTTATTTGTTCTAATATTGACCATTGTTCACACATATTACATCCATTACATGGTGATAAACATGTATTTGGTAATGTAGAATTTATACATGGAGTTATAGACGGTATCGATGATTGAAGATTCTTAAATTTTTACATTCTATTCAAATATGAATAAATTGCTAACCTACTTGTTGATGATTACATTTGTTGATGCTATCCATACAAGATTTCATAATTTTTTCTAGATTATATGATAATTGTGAATATTGAGTATTAGTTCCAATTTGTTGTTGTTGTTGTTCATTATCTAAAGAATGAATAAGAGTAGCAAGTTCATGAAGAATTGAGGAAATCGATGTAATATCAAGAATAGTTGAATTTATTCTATGTTCATAATTATTATTGATGTGTATGAGTAATGTTGAACGAAGTTGATAAACACGTTCAAAAACATCTTTTATTTTTTGTAACTGAAATTGAGATTGAAATTTCTCATATGAAATAATTGATGAAAGATAAAGTAAAAATTCATCAAGAAAATCAACTAATAGTTTAATAATATCTTGTTCATTATTACATGCTGAATTATTATATAATTGAATAGATGATGTACATTGATTATCTATGTTATTTGTTTTTGATCTGAAGAAAAGATTTTTCGAAAAAATAATCATTTGATTGCAACAATACACACGTGCTATTATTATCATCTATGTCTACAGGCTGATTATTACAATTAAGATTAGTTAATAATGAACCAAATGCTGTATTGTAAATATATTCTGGAAAACAATCATAATGTTTTTTTATTTTCATTCGATCAAGATGAAGAATTGGGTAGGAAGTATTCAAATTTGTTATAGATTTTCTACAACCATTAGGAGAATCTAAGATCGGAGACATTAATAAAATTATTGTTGATTCTTTACAGAATATTTTGATTATATATCTATCATTCAACTTCAAATTTTAATATTACATTATCAATCATTTCATCGTATTAGAATAACATTGAGAGAGAAAAAAAATGACGTAGAAAAATTATTTGGTTTTAAAATAAATAATCAAAAAAAAACTTGAAACTATGGTTATTGACGAAAACTCAAGGTTTTTTCTTTCGTATAACTAGTTGATAAATAGAAAAATGATCATTAGTTAAGTACAAAATTAATTTGATATGAAATATGACTTTTCTATATTTATTCCAGATGTATATAGTTATTTTAAGAACTAAGAACATCTGATTCTTGACGGGAATAAAAAAAAAGAGGATGATTATTTTTGAAAAACAAGAACATAAATACGGATATTTGCTTTTTATTGTATTTACATTCTAATCTATACTGATTTCATCGGTTTTATGAGATTTTGACAAAGTTCCATTATTATCAGGTTCAGAATTTACACTATTCAGTGCAACTATTTTAATATTTGCTCTCGACAGAACATTTTTGACTTACAAGATTTGTACGTCACAAATTTTTATAAGAGTATAGAAAAAGTATTCTTGAGTATACAGTGGGTTGTAGTCTATTTTATTAATATATCCTAATGAGATCTATTCAGTACCACCTGCATAACTATGAAAAGTATTTCCGTTGACTGCTTTGCGTAGGCTTTGATAATTATGCCAAGAAAATGAGTTACATCATTGTTATTGTGCTCTTTTATCTTTTACTTTGTTATAAATACTTTCTAAACATAGTGTAGTTTCATTATTATAAGACGGTATATTAAAAAAGAACTTATTTGTGCTAACAGAACATTGATAAGTAGACATGAATAAAGTCGGTTCTTTTTTTTTATAGTTCGAAACGAGAACATAAATTTTTCTTTTTCGGATTAATATCACAGCTGCTGTCCGTAATTAGTAAGTAATTATAAATTTTATATATAGATCAATGAATGAAACGTGTCGTATACTAAACAAATCTGACGCCATCTGTTCTTGTTTTCATCGACTCATTATTTATATTAATGTGTAATATACTGAATTCAATGATTATAGAAAGGTAAAACTATGAAAATATATCGATCATTTTTTATTTTGGTGATTATCAAAGTTAGAATCGATTCTCTCGACTAGTAAATATTACAAAATTCTCCTTTACATATCTGAAATTACATTTTCACATGACAAATAATCACAGCTTATTTGTCATTATTACATTATACTAACCTATTTACATATTTATAGACTGCTACATAGATATAATGAATGATATTTTGTACTGTTGAATTGTTAAAATACTTTGTCATGTATTTGAAGTTCTAATAGTAGACATTCAGTAGGTGTACTATTAAAAAGAATCTTCAACGTATTTACTACAGCAGAATATATTTTATTGTCTCTTTATTTCAAATAAATATGAATAGGAAATTGATTTTCCATTGGAGTAAGTTGAAACAATAGATATAAAATATAATCAGTTCTAAGAAAATTAAATGAAATCTTATTATATTTACAGTCGAGAGATATTCTTTTGAAATATTGTATTAAAAATGTACCTGAAAAAAAATGAGGAAGTTCTTATTGTTTCGTTATGATGTGGAACAGTTTGGTTTTATTGTTTTTATTCCTTCAAGAAAAGAAATCGTTTATAATCATATTTGATTATATTTTTTTGTATATATGTTCCTGAATAATTAATCGATACGGCAAGTTTCCTTTTTTGTTCGAGCATATAGCAATAAATCATAGAGAAAATGTCCTCAAAGGAATGTTTTGGTATTTTGTAATCGCGAGACACCATAAACAATTCTAGACATTTTTATCGTATAACCCTAAGCAAAAGTCTGTCGGCAGTATTTTAGTTTTGATCTTAAATGCACAGTAAATCTATTCTAAAGTAGTTCAATACGTACATATAATTTTTTTTGTAATTTATACGAAGTATTGAAAAATGATTTTGACCTAGAAAGAAATTAATGTGTATAATAGTATTCTTTTTCTTATTATAATACGATTCTATAGTTAGCTATATATTAATTGAGTTATACATATCTATACTTCAGATTAAAGATATTTGTAAACAAATCTTAATAATGTTAAATTTTGTAGAAGTATTTTCCTTTAGAATATTATAATCTGATATTTTATTTCAAATTTAATCATTCATAATGATAGAATTACACTGGTAGACATCGTTTAAGGAAGTATCTGTCTAGAAGAAACGGAAATCATATGACGATTATCAAGTTTCTGTTATCATGACCTTATCTAGCATTCTCTACTGTGAGAGAGCAACAATTTCGATGTTTTTCAAAAGAAAAAAAAGTCTATTTCCGCCATACATTTTTTGCGTGCCACACAATCTACTAATTTAGACTGTCATCTATTACATGCAACAGCTTAAAATATAGGGTATTATTACATTTCGAGACGAACAGCTATTTGTCTCGACATCTTCTATTTGCTAAAATCAAGATTTTACAGAGGAAGTCTGTATTTTCTTTCAATAACTATTATCAAGAGAATAGTTTGTGAAATTTTCTTTTATTTACGTAGGAAAGTTTTTCCATAGTAATTTTGTATGTTTCATATCAATTACTACAATTATTCGAATCTAGTTCATTAAATAAGAACGTTTATCGTATGTAACAATGTGTTCTAGTTTTTTTTTTCTATAACCTTAAGTAATATTTCACGAGAGAAATGTAGTCTTTTCAATGCTATAGATTAGTCGAAAGCGACAATGTCGTTCAATTTTGAATCAATACAGAAATTGCTTAACAATAAGTATTTTAGAAGAGGAGAGAATACAATAGCAGCCATTTAGAATTTACTTTCTTTTTTTTTATTATTATTTTTTTTCCACATACTCTAGTCATTGAATGTGTTTCATTTATTTCATAATTAACTATTACAAATATAGCAACTTAATATTGTCTAGTGCCTTTCTTCGACTTGAATACTAATAAATCACGAAAGAACTCTTCAGTAAAAAAATATAAATAACTCGCATGTTAGTTGACAAAAATAGATGGATTAATCGCTTTAAAATAAATTCTTCAAATATGTATATATTTATTTTAAGTTCTTTTAGTAATTAATAAATTTATAGACAAGTCTAGTATGTAAAGAATATCCTTAAAATTCTTGTGCTAAATTAATAATTCAAGTTCACTAGATATTGTCTTGCTTCAATTCTCTACAGATTTCCCATAGTTAATAAGAGAAGTGCTACATTCATTTTAGCAAATATTTCAAAGCAAAAAAAAAATTATCATTTTCGCTATGTAAAATATTATTTACACGGTTTAGTACGTTGTATATATATCAAGTTTGATCGCATGGCGAACATTCTTGTTTTCTATGGCTTACATAAAAAATATTTATTAGAAGAAAATTCTACCAATTTACATAACACTCATGCTTCCGACACAAAGTAATGAAGTTTATTGACAGGTTTTCTCTCTTTTTTCTTCCTATATTTGTATTTAGAATAACTAATTATTTATGTGTAGAATAAGTTCATAGGATAGATAGCTTTTATTATTGATAGATAAAAATATATTGTGTTATGTTTATAAGAGAAACAGATGTATAGTTATGAATTTTTTATGCTTATATTTGATCTTTATCATATTATTTTCCAATTCATTATGAGAATATGATCATCATAAGATACATTGAAATAAAATTATGACTATATTAATATGATTCAATTGATTGATCTATTTTAATTGTAGAATATTAAATATTCATTAGTTTTTATTAATGTAAATATTATTTATATATCATGGTTACTTCAAATTCATCAACAACATTGATAATGTATAATGAAACAAATAGTTCAATGAATTATACAACTGAGTGTACATTTAATGTACAATTATTTCTTCAATATATCGGTACACCTGTTATTATATTTGGTTTTATTGGAAACTTTTTATCGATATTAGTATTCAGTCGAAAAACACTTCGATCTCGTTCTTGTTCGATTTATTTTCTTGCATTGAGTGTTAGCGATGTTATTGTATTATTTGGTTATACAGTTGAAAATCTTCTTTATCATGGATATAGTATTCAGTTATTATCAAATTCATTTATGTGTAAATTAACTATTTTTCTTATTTATGCATCAACAGATATATCAAAATATCTTTTAACATTAGCTGCTATTGATCGTTGTGTTCTTATTTCAACTTATTCAAAACGTTATCGTTTTTGTCGTAAATCAACAGCTAAATTAATGATAGTATTTGTTATTACAGTATTTAGTCTTGTAAATAGTCATATTCTATTTGGTTTTGATGTTGATGAATATGGTGCATGTTTACCAACATCAGAAAAATATAAATATTTTTATACGAATCATTATGATTCATATATAGATTTATTTAAAACTGTTCTTATACCATTTATAGCAATATTTATTTGTAATGCATTTATTATAATTAAATATTCACATCGAAAATATTCCTTACCATCGAATGCTTCATTAAGACGAAAAAGTCGTCGTCGGAGAGAAAAAGATCGTCAATTAACATGGTTTTTATTATCAACATCAATCTTATTTATAATTTTATCATCGCCATCAGAAATCAATGATTTTGTTCGTTCATATTTAAGTCAAAATTTTCGAGATACATATTCTTGTCAATTATGGGCTTATACAGCAATATTTATTCTTATGCATCAAACAAATCATGCATCACATTTTTATATTTATACATTAACTGGACCAATATTTCGAAAAGAATTTCAAAAATTAATATGTCCTTATCCAAAACAAACAAATAAAAAATTCGTATTCCATTATTCAAAACGACAATCGATCACAATAAATGATTGTCCACATGATGATATTCATAATCATCCGATAATAATATATTCAGACAAAGACGTTCACTAATACATAAAAAAAAATTTCATTCAAATACTTGAAAAATAAATTAGAAATAAAAATAAACAATATATATAAAATATTTTGATGATATACATTGTTCAACGGCCACTTGGAAGAGAATGAACATATTCAGATACTTTTACAGTTCAATTCTCTTCAAGAGTGGTGATCGAAACGATGTGTTCAAATATAAAACAAAAAATATCATACTACTCTTAACCTGTACAATTATTCAAATGTTTCATTTGCTTTTTCACTTTCTTTTTCTCATCTATTCAACAAAATCATTCAAGCATAACAAATTGACAAACGAAGACGACAGATGATCAATACAGTAGAAATGTGACAAGCGCATGTATGCATTTATTTCAAAATGAGCAAACGACGATACATATATAGATATATTTCGCTTTCATATGTGTGCACTCATCGAAACGATTTAATGGTTAAACGAAAAAAATAAATTATAGGATGACAATAGACAGATATATAATGATAGACGTAAAAAAAAGTATGACAAGTTATTATCATCGTCAACGATGATTGCCCTTTAACCTATGAAACTTTGTCGAAATAGAATGTACTTATTCGTTTATTTTGTTTGATTTTTTTTTCTTTTCAAAACTAAATCGATTTTTTTCAAGTTTCTTTTTATGTGAGTAGCTGATCATGTGAACTTAGATGTCGTTCGTTTATATTCTTTGTTGATAAAAGATATCACTGTTTCGACGTGAACGGCAATTAACTAATTGTTAATTATACAAAGACTACGACTAATATCTCTTTTTTCTAAATTTCGTTCTCTATTATTGCTTTGATTAGAATGAAGAACGAGATATAAACTAAAACAAATATTTTAATGATTTGTTTACATAAACTCATACTTATAATTCAATTTACAATGTCAACTAATCTAAAAATAATTTATAAATAAACCAATGAATACTCATTTATTATTCACCTATTTGTTTTAAATATTCTAAAAGAAATATTTCATTACATTGATCCGTTGCACACGCACCTAAATTTGTCGTTTAAGATGAATAAAAAGAATACTTATTATTTTACGATGTTTTCTACGTTACTGAATTTTATAAAGAAGAACTATGTGATCAGAAATAAATATATACGATAGTCGTGTACGACAACCATCTGTTTTGAACTCATTCAATCTGGGATCTTTGCGAAAGAAAAACAAAATATTAGTCAGCCAGTAGATTTATCTAGTTTATATAGATTTATTGTCGAAAATTTCAGAAAAATAGCTTGAAACAGGGCATAATATATTTGTATCTATTTGGTAAGCAAATATCTACGGACGAAAAATAATGAGTCATCGTAAGCCTACCATTTTTTTATCCGTGTACCGGCATTTATGGACCAACCTAGTCGATCTGGGTACTATCTCGGCTACGAGTTTTAATCTACAGAATAATTAGTTTTAAAAATAGTCATAAACTAATTAAACAGTTAATTAATGAGATCTAAGTTATTTATTAAATAGTTAACTGATAAAATGTCTGTCACGATCTGTAATCTCTGCTGCATCTAAGGTACGAGGAAGGAGGAGAGTGCAAATCTCTACCCTTAAATATTTCAACATTTTCTTTTAGATCATGTTTCACAACATTATTTTTAATGTGAAACTGGAGCAAGATAGATTATATAGTCAAAAAGTAACAAGTAATACTATTTTCTACATTATGTCATTATGTCCGTAGACATAAAGATGCGAGATTATTGCGTAAATTTATGAAATTAATAAGTGCATATTTTATGACTTGCTCAAGTATTTATGAAGTTTTTGCTTTTGATTAATGCTAGTTCAACTGAATTCGTTCATAAAAATATCAAATCTATTTTTCCAATTAAAATTTTCAAAATAGTTAAAAGAATAGTAGCGATTTGTCCGATGAGTTTTCTTTTAATTAATAATAAAAGAAATTTTTTAAAACATAGATTGCTTAAGAAATACAATGCCGAACTATCGTTGTCCTCTTCGATACTGAATTATCTATATACAGAAAGTAGCATCAAAATGTTTGCTCTATATATAGAGCAGCTACGTAATATCATATATAAAATTAATTCCAAGTTGTTCTCTCGATATTTCGTTTGATTAACATATGTCTAGAGAGGGTGTCTATGATTAGTTCTATGCGATCTATTTACGTTACTTCACTCAACAAAAATTTTTCAAATAATATCATATGTCCATACATGACAATGCAATTTAAAACAATGAAATCAAAATCTATCGTATCTATTTTTTTAATCAATGCAACAACAATTTAATAGTTTAACAAAATCATCATAAAGTAATACAAGATTATCCATTGATAATGGATACAAATTGTCATCTATCGGTTCAAAAAACATCGGTATTTCATCTAATATATTTAAATGTTCTGATAATCGATATCCATATGCTCGACGTATCAATAGAAGTATTTCATTACAATCCAAACAAGATGTTTCACCTATAAATATACAGAATTTATTAAAAATGAATAAGAAAAATCTTATTTTTATTCTTACGAAAATGAAATCCTTGATGAACACCAAATTCTACTAATGTAAAAACTTTTAATTGTTTTTCAATATGATATTTTAACATATAAACAATCGCTTCGATATATGATCCAAATAATTTAGCAAAAAATTTTAATTGCATATGAGTTTCTTGATAATTAATCTTAAAATAAATAAATAAATAGAGAAGATTTTCTTTTAATAATATTTTTACTCGATAGATTGGTTTTGTTGTTTCATAAATCTTATTCGGTATATCAGTTATTAGCATATCATCTTCATCATCATGATCAATAAATTCCTCTTCCATAACATCAACTTCATCATCATTATCATCACTCCATTCATGATCTGATAGAATAGTATCACAAAATTTCATTGATTTTTGAGAAATATGATCCTAAATATAATTTAACATTATCATTGATATTTAAATAGAAATTTTTTTCTACTGTAAGAATATAATGTCTTGATTGACAATGTTGAATTGTTTGTTGAATAATTTGATGAATATTTTGACATGAACGAATATTTAAATATTCTTTAGTACCAAATGTAAATAAAAGAAATACCATTTGATTAAACATTTCAAATTCATATATACGTGATCTATTATCAATATGTTGAATTTTTGATAGAATTGATAATGCTTATTTAAAAATAAATAAGAATTTATAAAATTTTGAGAAAAAATTAAATTACTTGCTAATATCTCAAGAAAATATTCTTTTCGTACAATTGAAATTAGTTTGAATTTCGAATTTTTATTATTATCGAATTTGAATTTGTATAATTCAATATCTTTTACAGTGATTTCATTCCATTTATGATTGTCTGCAATAATAAATGGACATGTTTTAAGAATCATTTGAAGTATATTACAAATTATCTCCACAGTTGCTGGTTCCTATGAAATAAAAAGATAGAAAAAATATCGATTTTATTAAAAAACGATAAATATACTTGATTGTTTGATATTTGACTTAATTCAATTGATGCAAGTATATGTTCAAATTCAATGGCTGTTGGAATGAGTTGATTCGAATCTACGAAAAATATGCTTAGTTTGAGTGATGTAATCAATACAGATGATAATAAAGTATTAGATTAGAAAAAATCTTTTCCTGTTATTTACATACCATATGCAAGATGTAGAAATATACAATCAATTAATTTATAAATAATAGTTTGTTCTTTAGTTTTTATTAGATCACAAAATTGTTTTTGAATATTCATTTTTTTAGTAAAGAATTCAACCATTTCCTATTTAATTTTTACTAGTAAAATTAAATGAAAAGAAACATATAGAATTTCGATTACTTTAAAAAGAAATGGTTGACTAAATGCTAAATATGATTTATTTAAACGAGTTGGAATAAAAACCATATCTGGTATTGATAAATCTAGAAATAGAATATACATAGAATATTAATAATTGTTAGATATTTTACTACCAAATCGAATTAAATCACACAGAAATGACATTAAATAATAATCAGACGATTTTGGTTTGTAAATAGTTGAATTATCAAAAAGAAAAATAATCGGTCCATTTTGTTGACATGTTTTTAAACAACGATAAATATACTAACAAATATATATATATATAATTTACCCGTCAATCAGCTTTACTTACACAAAACAGGTCCTTTTGATTTATATTTAAAACCGATAAATCAGTAAAACCAAGATAATTCATCATCATTCGTTCAAATATTGAATTTGTTCGAAATGAACAATTCGAAAAGATTTTTGTTGTTAATGGCCAATTCGATACGGTTATTAAATGACGAAATGCCCAAAATAATTGACGAAAATTATTATCTTCATTTACAAAACATATAAATATCGGTGAAATATTTGTCTAGATAGAAAATTTAAATATTTTGTATTTATAAATCTTTTAGAACATACTCCAAGTAAATATTGAAATGTTTTCAACGGTTGATTATGAACTTGAATTGATAATGAAAGACTTTGAGCTTTTCGATATGTATAATACATTTGAAATCTTAAAGATACTCTGTTTTATTTTTATTATATTTTCTATTATCCATTACTTTGTTATTAATCGATAAATAAAATTTGGAATAAATGATGTGAAAAAATGTTTTTTTATCATAATATCTTCATCAAGATTTGATAAGAATGATATAGATAAATCATCTAAATGATAGAAAATATTTTTCTAATAATATTGCCTTCAAATTCCTACCGTTATTATCCTGTTGACTAAAATATATAAAAGAATGTTTGATGAGATGATAGATTAATTATCTTCACTTACAAATCTGATAATTGTCCACGTTCATCCGATTGTTTCAATATAGTTTTATTTAAATAATAAACTAAAGCAGATACTGATCGTCTAAATATTATTTCTATATAAATCATTTAGAAATATAATTAATTACCCAGATAAATGAAAATCAAATAGATTTTTATCTCCTGATATATATGTATCAAACCATCGATATACAGTCTAAAAAAATTATTGGATTGTTGATTATCTTTTGAATAACTATCTAATCTTACATAACTATTTGTTGTACATATTTGACAACAACGAGAAAATCTTGTTAAACGTTGAGCATATTGACGAAGATCTTGGTCAATCAAATCATTTTTATATATATTTACCAAACGACCAATACGCTATGAAGTGTTCAAAATCAATGAAAATTTATTTTTTTAAAAAAGAATATAGATTAATCACTTCAGTTGAAATATTCGTATCTTCAGGTCGTATAGCCTGTGATTCATTATACAATTGACGCCAATTGATTGTTTCTTTCATCTTTGAAAATATTCAAAATAGTATAAAATATCACAGATCTTCGAATTTTTCTTAATGAATCTTTTATACAGAATAGTTATTTATAGTCATCGACACTATGAAAAGTGTACATTCATTATAATTTATATCTATTATACATTAAGTTTTATCTTATTTTTCTTCTTTAAAACTTAGCTATATTCCAACGTGTTTCTTTCCCTCTCTTTTGTCTCTCATGATTCATCATCATAAATATTTGACTACGACATCACAGATAAACCAATCAAAGTTTACTTTCGCTAGTTTGGAGGCCGCTATAATCGCTGCTATTGTGCCCCTCCAAAATCTATTTACGCGTGTAATTTACCAAAAATAGTATATATTTTTTTTTTCAAGCACTTGTAAGAGCTGACTGACGCAAAAGTTACGAGATGATGCAATAGTCGCCTTTTTATATCACATGATTAAATCATTTTGAATATATTTTTATTAATCTTTGTACTATATTATTTACTAGATGGCAACTTCAGCAGACGCTGTAGCAGAAGAAATCGGTGCAGTTTCTATTCGTTAGTATAATTTAGAATTATTAACTTATTTAATTTTAATATAATATAGAAGGAACGACCGTATATACATCGGAGAAACATGGTAGTGATGAAAATGGTGATGGATCAGAAGGTAAACCATTCAAAACACCATTACAAGTATTTATTAAATATTTAAACAAAATTCAAATATATTCATTGAATTTAATTTATTAGGCATATCGTAAACATGGAGATAATGCAACAGTTTATGTTGATGGAAAAGATGAAGCTAAGGTATATTTAAATATATATATATTGATATTTATTTAATATTTTTTCATTCAGGATAAATGGGAATTATTATCAAAGGCTCAATCAAAAAAAGTTAAAACTCTTTACGAATCTGAAAAACGTAAAGAAAAAGCCGCAGCCGAACGAGAAGTAAATTTCAAAAAATAAAATCGAGTAAAATAAATCTCATTGGAATTTTTTTAGGAAAAAGAACAACAACAGCGAGAAAAAAATTTAGAAGAAGCAAGAAAAATTATTATTACTGAAGATACATCATTAGCAAAAGCAAAAGCAGTATGTTAAATATAATATTTCAAAAAAAAAGTTGACAACTATATTTTAGCATAAAATCAAAGCATTAAAAAATCAACATGGTGAACGTGTGAAAGTATTTGGATGGGTACATCGTATTCGACGACAAGGTTTTATAAATAAATAAATAATTTATATTCGTATAGAATTTATTTTATTTAGGTAAAAATTTAATGTTTGTTATTTTACGAGATGGTACTGGATTTTTACAATGTGTTCTTGCGGAAAAATTAGTATGATAAATAGAATGTTTTATTTTGAAAAGAAAATATGTTTCTTATTATTTAGTGTCAAACATATGATGCCATTATTTTATCAACTGAAGCAACCATATGTGCTTATGGTGTTGTTCGTCCTATACCAGAAGGTCAAACTGCACCAGGCAATCAAGAATTAGTAGCTGATTATTTCGAAGTTATTGGACACTCACCACCAGGTGGTGCCGATACATTACTTAATGAAGTTTGTTTATTTTATATGATTTGGAAACATTTTTTTTTATAAAATTTTCTTTTTATCTGTTAGGAATCTCATCCAGATGTTCAACTAGACAACCGACATATGATGCTTCGAGGAGAAAATGTTAGTTTTTTTATTTTTGTCATTTTAACAGCAGATAAAAATATAATTCTATTTAGACATCAAAAATTTTACGTCTCCGTTCAATTGTTACACAATGTTTTCGTGATCATTACTTTGATCGAGGATATTATGAAGTAAATAAAAGTTTAAAAATAAGTTTCATTGATTATATTTTTTCTTCTTATAATTCAATTAGACATTTCCACCAACTCTCGTTCAAACACAAGTCGAAGGTGGTTCAACTCTTTTTGGTCTTAACTATTTCGGAGAACCTGCTTATTTAACTCAATCATCTCAACTTTATCTTGAAACAGCTTGTCCAGCATTAGGAGATGTATTTTGTATAGCTCAATCATATCGAGCTGAACAATCTCGTACACGTCGGCATTTAGCTGAGTAAGAATATGAAGAAAAAAAATCATATTCGATTAATGAAATGTTTTTTTTAAAGATATACACATGTTGAAGCTGAATGTGCATTTATATCGTTTGATGATTTATTAGATCGAATTGAAGATCTTGTTGTTGATGTTGTTGATCGGGTTTTAAAACATCCCGAAGCTCATCTCTTATTTGAAGTTAACCCAGTATGAACAAAAAAAACTGATTGAAAAGAAAAATTCATTGAATAAAATTAACTTGCTTTTTGTTTAGGGTTTCAAAGCACCGAAAAGACCATTTAAACGTATGAACTATAGTGATGGTATTGAATGGTTGAAAGCAAATGGAATTAAGAATGAAGAAACCGGTAAATTTTATGAATTTGGTGAAGATATACCTGAAATGCCTGAAAGAAAAATGACTGATCAAATCAATGAACCTATTTTATTCTGTCGATTTCCAGCAGAAATTAAATCATTTTATATGCAACGTGATCCAAAAGATAATCTACTAACAGAATCTGTAAATTTTATTTTTTTTATTCTCATATATACTCATTAGTTTTTAAATTAATCTTATAGGTTGATGTTTTAATGCCAGGTGTTGGTGAAATAGTTGGTGGTAGCATGAGGATGACAGATTTTGAAGATTTATCAGAAAGTTTCCGTAAAAATGGTCTTAAAACAGAACCATATTATTGGTATTTAGATCAAGTAAATTATCTTAATTAAAATTAATTGAAAAGATAATAACTAAAGATATTTATCTTTTTTTTCTAGCGTAAATATGGTACATTTCCTCATGGTGGTTATGGTCTTGGTCTTGATCGTTTTATGACATGGTTAACAAACCGTCATCATATTCGTGATGTTTGTTTCTATCCACGATTCATTGGTCGATGTAAACCATAAGCATAATATACAGCATCTATAAAAATAAAATATCAAGAACAACAAGAATTTTTCTTCCGTTTTCCATTGAATATTGTTTAAGTTTCGTTTTTGTTTTGTTTTATGGAAAAAAACTAAAAGAAAAATAAATATTTATGAAAACTTGTTCAACAAGATTGCTGCTTTTGTTTTTTTGAAATAAAAAAAAATAACATCACTACTTTAGATGGAATCTAATATTGATAATGAGAAAATATCATCTTTATCTGAAGACAATAAAGATGGATTATTACCAGGACTTCAAATTAATCCACTATCAATAATGACTTCAATAACTTCATTTAAACCTGTTGATGATAATCAAGAAAATACACTTGAAACAACATGCATTCCTAAATCACCATCTCAATCAAATGAAAATATGACATTACTATCAGATAAGTACGATCAAATGAATTTACAAAGTTCATCATCAACTATTCATATGGATGAACACTCAGTTGCTGCTTGGGTTCAATCGACAACAAATGAAACAGTAGTATCACCAATTGAAAGATCACCATCATTACCACCAACAATTATTGAACAAACACTAGCACGTAGTCGACGAAATTCAACTGTATCAACTCTATGTGATTCACAACAACAACAACAGCAAGCATCAATTTTTTCAGATACAGTGTCATCAACTATATCACAAAATCTATCGTTGTTAACTGATATTCAACGTAGTTATTCATTCCCTACAGTTGATCAACATAATAATATTGATGAAGAGAATGAAGATGATTTTTCACCACAGTTTCTTCCCGTACCTGATTCCGAAGATTCAGAAATTGATAAAAAAATAAAACCGGTTCCAGTATCAGAAAATTCATCTATATTTAATAGTCGTTCACCGTTGGAAGATCAACCAAAAAAATCACCCAATGTTTCATTTCATACTTCTGTTTCTTTTGAAGCTCGTCGTAAATTACTGTGTCATCGACGACAACGACATAATTCTTGGAATTTAAATAAAAACAAATCTCTATTATATCAACGATCTATATCACATAAAATACCAATGGTAAATGTTCAAACACCAAATAAACAATTTCTCACTATTTCTTCAATGCCAACTGGTATACAATCTTTTCCTAGTAATAAAACAACACAATCATCAAGTTTTTCTGATAATGTTTTTCTTTCAACATCAACAACAAATTCTCCTTCGTCATCTCGTCGTTTACAATTAACAAATACTGCTTCAGGTTGTCCAAAATTTTTATCTATGCCATCAACTACATCCATGATTTCATCAGGACGTCATACATCACATATATCTGATGCATCTGGTCAAAGTGGCATTGAATCATCAAATTTAAGAACAAGTCCATCTGAACCACCACATACAGCTAGTATAAATGAAGAAGAAGACGAAGAAGGAAAAGCAGATAGAAAAAATTTATTTTTTTTAAAACAACAACGCACTAGTTCAGTCTCAACGGGATCTTCAAGAACAGCAAGTACAGAAACTTTACCAACATCATCGAGTGAAGATGAATTCAATAATGTACATAAAAAACCTGATGCATTACAGAAAGTTGGTCAACATCCTAGAACACCTGCTGATCAACGATTAGATGTATTGAGAAAATTAACATGGTTACTTGAGAAAAGACCAACGATTCATCCTCGCTCAAATCTTGGACGTCGAAAACAAAATCACGAAACGGTATTAGTAACTAAAAAATTAATTTATTTTCATACAATGACCTTCTATAAAGATATTATTTAGTTATATCACAGGATTCAAAAAATTCTTGACACTTTTTTAGAGATACTAATCGGTTTCGAAAAGTAGATATGTCTTGCATACAAGAGTCCATATGAATTTTAGATAAACAATCAATGATTATATCAGAATTATAGAATGGTTAATAATTTTCATAGATATTTACTATTTTTGTTCTGTATAGGGTCGTTCATTATTTCGATCAAATAATACTATCAATGTCACACCACATATTGAATCTGATCTAGCAAATACATCTAAACCATCTTCACGACTTTTCTCAAGCTCTATTGAAAATTCTAGTCAAGTACATTCATTACCAATCAATTCTTATCGTCCACATTCACCATTACCTTCTCAAACATTAACATCAGTCACCGATCCTCTAAGTCTAAGTCATACATCTGTACGTAGTATCCATTCTGATTCAAGTCTTAATACTCCACTAATGAACAGCAAGGCAGCAGGACAAAGTTCAACTACTGGTGGTATTACATCACTTTCTTCTTCACTTCATTTACAACGAAGTACTCCTTCGAATACTAGTCAATCACAACGAAGACGAACAACACACAATCGTCGTAATCTTAGTGGTTTTGCTGCTGTTCATCGAGATCGTAAAAATTCAATGACTAAAACTAATACAAATAAAATAGATGAACAACAAAATATATCTCAAACTACACAACAACAACAACAAACAATACCACTAGTTCGTGATATAAAATTAATTCTTAATGAACATTTATCTATGATTAATGATTTACTTTTAAAACATTCATGTAATGCAAGTATAGAATATCCAACACACAATTCTTCTATTCGTGATTTTCTTTATACACGTTTAAGTGAATTATCATTAAAAAATCCAATGAAACAACGTTGTTCAAGAGTTGAAACAAAAGCTTTTATTGATTCTATAACAACTTATCATATGAATCGATCTCATCATTATCGTTTTTTAATTGATAGTGTTCGAGATTTATTAAAATCAAATATTGATCCTGTACGTTTATCAACTTGTTCAAGTGAAACTGAAGATGAACTAATACAAAATAATATTTATAAAACAGATAAGAATAGTTCAGATTCTACAATAACATCATTATCTCATTTAAAATTAACTGAACCAATAAATGATATAAAATCTTTTAAAGATCATCCATTACGTTTTTTTCGTAAATTATCTAAAGAATATATTCGTGATTGTGAACAAACAGAAAAAGATTTAACACAAAAATTATTTGATATAGCTGATAAACAACATATACTTTATTGTTTAAAACATGTTGATAGTGGTCATACAAATGATTTATTAGCTATATTTCATAGTCGACTTGATGCAATCTTTGTTTGGTATAATTTATATTATGAATTAACAATATCTGTAAAAAAATTAAGTGGTTTATTACGTTGTGATGATTGTGATGATTGGCCAAAATTACATTTTCGTTCACTTGCAACAGATCGTGAGCGTAAAGCTAAGCGAGCAGATGAAAGTGATAATTATTCAACAAGTGAAGATAGTGATGATGAAGATAATAATGAGATTAAAACAACAGAAGAAAGTGAAATAGAAAGTGAATCAGAACAAATACATAATGAAGATGATACTGATATTATACCTAAAGTATGTCAAAAATGAAAATATTTCAATATTATATAGTATCTTTATTCTTTTTATTTATATAGATATGTTGGTCCGATGAACCACTTGATCATTTTACCGATCTTAAAAGTAATATAGAATTTATTTTATAATACAAATATATATTGATCTTTTTCGTTCTTATCAAGTAGCTGATGATTCAACTGAATCGACAATGAATTCTACAACACATAAACTAGATAGAGATACTTGCTATCAGTAAATATAACAGTTATACATAGTATTAGTTTTAATGAATTATTTATAATTTAGAAATTTTGTTTATTATATGGATAAACGTTCTTATCAAGTTAAATATGATGGTTTAGCTAGAACATTAATTGAGCGTGTTGCACCTGTTCTAGTTAAAACTCGTCTTGCTTTATTACAGACAACTGATCGACGTAGAATTAATATAAAACAAGTACTTGCTGGATTATCTTTGTCTGATTTTTGTCTATCAGATATCAATACAAATAATTCAAAAACTAATGGTAATACAGATGATATTGATGATAAACTAGTTGATACTGATAATCCAGTTAACGATGATAGTACAACAAATATAAATATAGGTGAATTAACCATTGAAAAATGGTTACATCATGTATTAAAATCATGTTCAACAATAAAAACTATTTGTTCACATACGGATGATATATTAAAACACAATTGGCTTGAATTACATGAACAATTAGGTTTACCATCATTATTACCGTTATATTTTTTTATAATTAATGTTTTACTTGATGTTATGAATGAATGTTTAACTCTCTATATCAAACCATATATAAATAATGATATTATTGAAATAGATGCACTCTGTCGACAACAAGTAAAAAGAAAGAATGATAGTTTTTTTTGCTTTATTAAACTTTCTTCTTTTATTATAGCTTGTTCGTGAAGCAAAATTAGTTTTAAGGTTCATATTATAAGAAATTACTTTTTCTTTTAATTATTTTATCTATTTGAATAGAGACGCATTAGCAACACGTTTATATAGTGTTCGTATGATGGAACAATTTATTTCGAATCGTAAAATTGCTTATGAATTAGCAGATTTTGATGAAAATATTATTAATCTCTATATGGTTCGTATTTCCTTTTCTTTTGTTTTCATACTATTTTATTTTTCTTTACATATATATATTAGCATTACAAGCAATTTTTAAGTACAGTTTCAATCAATCGGTCATATGATATTCATGTTGATAATCATCAAATAGATGTAAATGAAAGAGATAGAGAACTTTATTATTATGTTGATGAAGAAACATCAGAATTAATTAAAGAATATTATTTTGCACGTGATCTTACATTAACATTAGGCAATCGAGATTTAATTCATGCATTAGGATTTCAATTCAAGTTTGTTAATTATATTTTCATATTTCTTCTTTTTCTTTTACAATGAAAATTATTTTTTTATTTAGTGATCTTGTTAGAGGCATATTAGCACAATTGAAGGAAGAATTATATGAAACAACAGAAACATATTATCAAGTATTTGCAGCAGATACAACTAATACATCTAATATTAGTGATGGAACTTATTCAGTTGAGTAAGTAGAGAAATAACTATACTACTAGTTCATTTAGATTTTATTCTATTGTTCTTTTCTAAAGAGCAATGCAAGAATGTACAAGACCACCTTACTATCATTCATCAACTAGTGTACCACCTGATTTTGCTCTATCTGAATTATCAATTTGTGATGCATCAGCTTCATTTTCAGAACAGAAAAAGTATTATTTAACAAAAAAAGATTTTTCTATAATATCAATTGTTTGATTCTATAAAATAGATGTGAAATAATCTATAGTACACGTGAATTTCGTCGAAGTTTTGATACAATTAAACAACGAACAATACGTATTTGTTCATTGGCTAAGACTCTTATCAATGTAAGTTTGTTTTACTATGACAAAGAAAAACAAAAACTGGAATTTCTTTTAGGATTTTTCAATTGCAGCAGAATTCAAATGTCATAGTTATGTTGATCTTTGGCATGAACTTCGAAAACATAATTATTCTCAAGTTAAACTTCATTTAGACACAAGTGTAAATAAACATCTATTTTTTCTCTCTAAAAGAAATAAATCTCTTACATTTTCAATTTTAGAATTCGAATGATTTCGATAGTTTTTATTTATTTGTTCCACCATGGTTATCAACAGATAAAAATCAAGTTGAACAATTACTTAGTATTATTTGTAGTCAACAATTATCAACAGATGAAATTAAAAAATCGAATAGTGATGTAAAACCATCATTTATGATATTTATACCGAAAAGAAATTCTCATTTACAAAATAATTCATGGACAGGTGATACTGTTCTTATTCGAGCAAGTGAAAGTACACAATTAGCATTAAATTCAACTGAATTAACATGTCTTCATTTGGTTGTAACACGATCTGATCATTGGCAAAATGCTATTGATTTATTTCAATATCATATGGGATTAAATAGCAATATTCAACTTATTAAAAGATTAGCTCGTGATGAAGATATTCGTTTAACATTCGATCAATTACCTGTTTGTTTTGATATTCATTTAAAAAAATAATTTTTTTCTTTTCTTTCTTCTATATAGGAATATATTGATAAATTGAGTAATCAATTAACACATCTTGTTCGAATATTCAATACGATATGGGATCAAGATTCAATAAAAATCTTTCTTACAGAAATAGTTAAATTTGATGAACGACAATTACGTACAATAGAATCAAAATTACTTGATCTTGTATTATATGTATATAATTCTGGATTTGAATTATTTCGTCTTCTATATGAACTTTTACCATCAATATCAATAAATGATGATAAAATTTTAAAAAAATTTGTTAGTACAATGAATGAATTCTTTTGTGAATGGTGTAAATGTGTTACAAAAAAATTTAAATATACATCAATTCAACAAGCTCGAACAGCAAAATATAAAGTTCTTAGGTAAATATAAATTCTAATGAATATGAAAAGACAACAATAAACATTATATATTTATTGTTTAGGCCAAGATGGTTTTCACCAGGAATGATATTTCTTGGTTTTTTAGCTAGATCTCCTCATTTACAATTATTAACTGAAGATGACTATAAAAAATTAATGACTGAAATGCCAGTTGCATTGAAAGCTTTACGTGGAAATACATTAGATAATCGAGATGTATTAACAATCAAAGGTAAATTGAATATACTAAAAAAATAAGTAAATAATTGTTATATTTATTCTGTATCTCTGTGAAAAGATGTTAGTTTTCTAAATGATCATCTATGTCGAAGTTTAAGTATTGGTAAGCAATGAGTGATATTTCAAATCTTTCTGGTATAATCTATAATAGAAATGTCAAGATTTATATTTAAATAATGTTAATGATAAATTCTAGAAAATTGATCTGTACTTATCATTGTTGATAGATATTGTATTACTCACAGAGTAATCGAAATCTATATTTAAATTTCGATACATTCTGTTTAATATTATCAGATATTGAATCTTGACATTTCTTTTTGGTAATATGTGTTATTACGTTTGGTCATATGGTGCTAGACTCTCATAATAATTTAATATCTTTAATTTATAATATCATATTATATTTTATAGCACGTTCAAATAGTGTTTCATCAACAGTTTCTACTCGACAACGTAATCGATCTAGTACAAGTAAATCAAAATATATATTCTTATAATCTCTTTTTTTCTCCTAGGTGGACATCGACGTATGGATAGTGGTGGTGGTTTTAATGATCTATTACCATTATTATCTACAAATCCTGTTGAACGTATTCAAAAAAGTATAGAAAATCGTGAAAATGAAATAGAACAGAAACTTCGCGAGAGAAAACAAATTGGTCGAATATATAATAATAATAATAGTACAACAACAACAAGTGGTTCTACATTAGATCCTGTTATATCATTAAAAACACGTAATATTGCTTTTCCTTGGCGTCGTGGTACACGCATTGGACAAGGTGGTGCAGGAGTAGCATTTCGTGCAATTAATAGTTCAAATGGTTCAATTGTATGTATGAAAGAAATTCAATTATCATCAATTGCATCGCGTTCATTACCAAGTACATATCCTGAGAAATTACGACGTATAGCAGAAGAAATAGACATGATTATGTCAATAAATCATCCAAATATCGTACGATATTTTGGTATTGAAAAATATAAGGTAGAAGAATATTATTCGAAACAAAAGAAAATTTTATTATTATTCCATTTAGCGAACAATTTATATTTGTATGGAATATTGTCTATCAACAGTAAATGAATTTTTAAATGATATTCGAGCATTTCAAAAACGTGCAGATAGTAGAAAATCGAATAGTGGAATATGGACAGATTCAAGTGATCAAGATGATGAAATTAATACAGATAATGTTCGTTTAGCACCATCCTTAAATGTTTATGAACTTGTTCGAGGCTTTGTTAAACAACTTTTACAAGCTTTATTAGCTTTACATGAACATTGTATTGTTCATTGTGATGTTAAAGGTGATAATATTTTTATTGCTAATGAAAATGGACATTATATTGTGAAATTAGGTGTAAGTTTACAAGAAAAATATTTATTAAAGAAAGTTGTTCATTTGTTTATTATTAGGATTTCAATTTATCTCATCGATTAGAATTAGAATCTCCTTCAGCAGATACTACTGATTCACGAAGTACACAATTTGGCACTTTATGTAAGTATTCTGTCATTTATAACAATATCTGATATTTTATCTTTGTATATCTATAATAGATTTTAAACCACCTGAACCAGAATATGTATATCAATCTGATATTTGGGCACTTGGCTGTACTATTATAGAAATGCTTACTGGCAAAGTACGTTATTGAATTGTTTTGAAAAAAAACAATTATCTTTTTTTTTGTATCGTTAAATTTCAGCATCCTTGGGCGAACGTTGCACGACCACATGAAGAACGTATATATATTCAAAACCAATTATTAGCCAAAAAAGGTCCACCTATACCTGATGAGTTAAGAGATCAACATGAAGCATATGATTTTATTCAGTTATGTTTAACACCCGATGTAAATGAGCGTCCATTAGCTAAAGCATTACTTGACCATCCATATCCTCGTGTTCGAACAGGTAAAGTTTTGATTTAAAAAATTACAATTATTATCATCATTTTTTTCTTTTTTATTATGATTAGATTCTTAGTAGTCATTTTGGTAAATGTATATAACAATGCTTTTCAAATGATATGTATTTAAATCTAACGTCAACAAACATTTTATTTGTTTTGTTTTTTTCTATATAAAAACGATCAAAAAAATTACATATTTATTTATTTATTTCTATTTCGTCCTAATAAAAACACATGAACAAAACATATAAATAAATCATTGTGTTAGTAAATAAACCTTCTCTAGATGTATTATCGTATATTTCGTATTTGTTTTTCTCGTTATTTTCATAGTAAAACACGTTTACCTCAACTTGATTTTACTAAACCAACAAGTGATCGTTTAAAAAAATTATCTTTGAATGAACCATCCTCTACAGATAATCAATCATTATTAAAAGTTTCACTTCGTGGTCAATGTTTATTTGGTTTATATCCAATAGAATTAGCACTTAAAACAAAACGTCGACAATTTTATCAATTATTTCTTAGTGAAACATCAAATGAAAATCGTCCAGTACTTGAAAATATTCAACAGTTAGCTGAACAATTATCAATACCAATAAAATATGTTAATACACATGCTCTTGATCGTCTATCATTTGATCGTCCACATCAAGGTGTTTGTCTTGATTGTTCATCATTACCTATTCAACATATAGAACAACAAACTAATATTCAACAAAATTCAACTAAAATCTCTGTTGATTTATGTCTTGTTAAAATTCATGATCCTATGAATTTAGGTGGAATTATTCGTACAGCACATTTTTTTGGTATTGATAGAATTATTTTAACACGTGGAACATGTCAACCATCACCAGTTGCTAGTAAAGCTAGTTCAGGAGCACTTGAATTAATGTCTATTTCGACATGTAATGATTTAAAAACTTATTTAAATGTTTTACATGAACAAAAAAATATTGCTGTAGTTTGTGGAACACATAAAGGAAATATGCCACTACAAATTTTACGTTTAGACGATATGAAAAAGAATTGTTTAAATTCCAATTTACAACGTATTATTGTACTTATCGGAAATGAACATGAAGGAATTCCAGAAGAAATAACTGAAATGTGTCATTATAATGTTTGTATTCAACCAAATGCTGAAAGTGAAATATCGTCATTAAATGCATCGGTTGCTTGTGCTCTTTTTCTTTATCATATTACCGCACAAATCAATATTTAGAATCTTGATTTAGACTAAGTCAGAGACTTAATAGTAAAAATTATCTAATCTTTGTATAAGATAAAATACTGCAGATATGTTTTCTCTTTTATTTTCTCTTATTACCATTTTGTTGTTATTTGAAAAAAATAAAGAGAGTCGTTTTTTTTTGTTATTTATTGTATTTACAGAAAAAAAGGAAAAAAGAAGTATCTTGTCTATGTTTGAGAACAAATGAAAAAAAAAGTTTTATTTCAATATAAAGGAAAATGAAAAAACGAAAAAAGAAGAGTTACATGAAAGTCTCAATAGACTTACGACGAGAAGATCGTGGAGGCACGGGCGGGGGGCACTCGGCTTGTGCCTGCTGGAGCGCAGACGCAGTCTGCTGAAACCTAGACACGCCCTGCCGAAACCTAGACACGCCCCGCTGAAAACTAGACACCCCCTGCTGAAAACTAGACACCCCCTGCTGAAAACTAGACACCCCCTGCTGAAACCTAGATACACCCTGCTGAAACTCAGCCACGTTCTGCTGAAACTCAGCCACGTCCTGCTTAATTTCAGACACGGTCTGTTCAAGATCAGACACGGTCTGTCTAATAGTAGAGTTAGACTGCTGAACCTCAGACACAGTCTGCTCAAGAGCAGAAAGAGTCTGCTCTGATTCCCCGAGCCGACGCTCTGTATCACGTAGCTGACGCTTTGCTTCATGGAGTTGAGTCTTTGTGTAATCGGATCGTAGTTTCGTGAATTGGAGCTGCCGCATCAAAAGAGAGTTTTCCTCTCTCAATCTGCGGCCTTCGTCGACAGCTGTTGGTGATGCCTGTGTATCCTAGAACAGAGAATGTGCGATTAATTAACATGAAAAAAATGAAAACGGTGATATGTTCTTTCATAAAGAGAGAAATTTAACAATAACTACTCAAATATATAAGAACTTTAAAAAGCGAAAAAGTAATCACGTTCATGAATGATAAAATATAACTTGGAAGTTCTAACTCGACCTGTTTCTGTTTCAAGACTAGCTATATCTCATCAGTTCCATGATTTAAAAAAAACTCTAAACTCATACATACTTTCAATGTGTTGGTTTCCTCCTCTTTACACATCACTGGTATTCGGCAATGCTTTGAGCTATGAAAAAAGTAATGAATGAACTAACAAACACAAAATATATATGCAACAGAGAACAATGTAACTCACTGCCAGGAATAAATCAACCTATCAAAATCGAGTTCATTCTTCTTCCTGCAGTCTATTAATTATTGACCGAGGCAACGACGAACGAGATAGGTCAACTTATCAATGCAATACTTAGACGAAAAAAGAAATATATACCTGTTTATTATATGCTACAGAAAAGAGAACACAAATATATGAGTGAAAGGGGCAATATATTGCTGCTACTGAAACAATGCTCAATGAAGGTGACCCATTAATCATAGAAAAATATTCATGTAAAAAAAGTATTGTTTCAAAAGAAACTAGGGTGTGGGTGTCTCTCCTTCACTTCTCTAACCCAGAGTCACATCCACCCTTCTGTTTATATTTTTAAAGATCCATGGTTAATACAGTATTTATCAACAAGGATATGTACATGACAGCTATATTTAATTTATTGAAATCTTTTTTCTAATATGGAAATAATGAGGTGAAATGCATATATATATATTTAAAATCAATTATTAGCTAGCAAAAAGGGTTCACCAATACCTCAGGAAGCATATGCGTTTATTCAATTATGTTTAACATCTGATGTTAACGAGTGTCCATTATCTAAAGCACTATTTGATCATCCATATCCTCATGTTCGAATATGTACTGTTTTCATTTTTATTATGATTAGATTCTTAATAGTGATTTCGATAAATGTATATAAGAGTACTTTTGAAACAGTATGTATCTAAGTGTAACGTCAAGAAACGTTTTATTTGTTTTGGTTTTTCTTCTTAAAAGTGATCGAAATACTACAGTTATCTATTTTATTTAAAGAAAAAAAAGAGAAGTTTTATTTTAGAATTTTAGTTTTATTTGAAGGAGAAAAAAAAGAAAACTTTCATGTTCATTTCAACAAAACAAAAAAGTCACACCAGAGTCACCTGTAAAGCTGACCGTGCCTGCAGAAGAGCAAACATCTTCTGCTTCAGTAGATCCAGCCTCTCCATGAATTCACCGAGCTCTCGACTCGTCTCTCGAAGCTTTTGTTTTGCTTGACAGAGCTTTTGTTTCGTTTGAACGAGCTCTTGTTTCGTTTGACAGAGTTCTTGTTGTGTTTCACTAAGCTGTTGTTTCATTAGGCACAGCTTTTGTTTCGTTTCACTAAGCTGTTGTTTCGTTAGGCACAGCTCTTGTTTCATTTCACTAAGCTGTTGTTCCGTTAAGTAGAGCTTCTCTTTCGTTTCATGAAGCTCCTGCACTTTCAAATAGAGCGCGTACTCCGTACAACTCAGCTTCCACTGTAACCGACAGGTTTCGGCTATCGGTCGACGGCTGTCGTCTGCTGGTGTTGCCTCCATATCCTAAAACAAGCAACGATAGAATTATCAACATGAAAAATAAAAACGATAGTATGGTTTTTTGTAAAAGAAACTCAACAATAACTATTGAAATGTAGATTTCAAAGATCCAAGAAAATACATTTCAGAAATATGCCTCGGAAGTTCTAATTCGATCTGTTTCTACTTCGAACTTAGCTACATCACATTAGTTTCGTGATTTGAAAAAAACTCTAAATTCATACATACTTTCAATGTGTTGGTTTCCTCCTCTTTACACATCGCTGGTATTCGTCAATGCTTTGAATAATGAAAAAAGTAATGAATGAACTAACAAATACAAAATATATATGCAACAGAGAACAATGTAACTCACAGCTAGGAATAAAACAACCTATCAAAAACAGAGTTCATTCTTTTTTCGTGTGGTCTGTCAAGTATTGACCGAGACAACGACGGACGAGATAGGTCAACTTATCAATGCAATACTTAGACGAAAAAAGAAGTATATACCTGTTTATTATAGGCTACAAAAAAGAGAACACAGAGATATGGGTGAAAGGGGCAATATATTGCTGCTACTGGAACAACGCTCAATGAAGGTGACCCATTAATCATAGAAAAATATTCATTTTTCCTTATGGATTTGACCGAATTTATTAGTGATGTTCAGGAAAGAACATTGATATTGCTATCAAATTCGGTATTTGCCAGCCAGAAGCTTATCTTTAGTTAATTGATATCAGTTAGAAAATACTTACGTTTTTAATAATAAAATAGATAACTTGATAATAAACACAGTAAAGTCGAACGAAGAGAAAGTGCAGTGAAGCGTTATTGTATTATTATTGTTATTGGTAGTATCAGTAGTATTAGTAGTTGGATAATATTATGATTATGATTATAATTTGCATTGTTATCTGATTTAATTGTTATTAATGATGTTCTTAGTGTTTGTTTACTGATGATGACCGTTGTAACCAACTTAACAAGATCGGAAATTCTAGTAATTATATTGTTATTTATCTTTTTCATATAAAATTTTCATTAAGCTACCCGTTTCACTACACTTTCTCTTCATTTGACGTATGTGTTTTTGAAAGATAAGAAGACTTATTCTTTAGAATATTGGCAATGAATATTAAATCAATTATGGCTGAATGTGGGTTCGAGAAATAAAGGAAATATACCCATGATCGAATGACTTCAAAATGAAGAGCAGAAAACATATAATGAATTCTAAAGATTGGTTCCTGTTCAATGTTCAAACGTTTTTATTACATGTAATATTTGCTGGTATCGTAGTTTGTTATTTTTTTTGTATTTTTAAATAAATAAAAGAATTAAATGTGTTTCGTTTTAGATATGTCTGACAAATCTATTCAAGCATATGACACGTATAATAAGGAGGCGATGCGATCTGACTCGAAGGTGGCAGATCTGAGTCAGATGCGTCGACCTCGTCGTTTCCCACCACTACCACGACCTCCACCAAGTATAACGGAATCGGAACTGCTAGCGGTCACAGTAAGTTTCTTTTTTATTCGTATTCATAAGCTTTACTCTGTTTGTTCTAGAAAATCCATTTAACAGCAGAAATCAATCAACTAGAACGTGATTTGAAGCATAGAGAACAAGTGCTTCATTTCACGGAGCAGGAACTCCACTTTACAAAAATACGAGCTTCGTGAAGTGAAATAAGAACTTCATGGAAGAAAGCAAAAGCTTTATCAAGTGGAGCAAGAACTTCCAAAAAATAACAGAAGCTCTTATCAAAGCCACAGAAGATCTTGCTTTGATAGACACGATCAAAAATTTCCCATAATTAAATCAACCTTTAGACTATAAAGTTCAGAAATATTCATTTTTTCTTATAGATTTGACGGAATTTATTAGCGATGTTTAGGAAAGAACATTGGTAAGTTATTGTTTGTTTTCTCTCTTCGTGAAACATTACACCACCTTTTTTCTTTCTTATTTATAATTTTCAGGTTCTTTGTTCTCCCAAGCCAAATACGGCCCTCAGTATTAACAGTTCACGGCAGAAATTACGCCGTTCTATGGCCGTTTCATGCCTTGAAAAGGCAACTTTTCAGATGGTCTGAACGATCGACCTGGGTTAGGGTGTGCAGCCAACAATGACCGCTGAAATCGCTTGACTAACAGCAGAGATTAATCAAATGGAGAGAGATCTGAACCATAAGGAGCAAGTGCTTCATTTCACGGGGCGAGAACTCCACTTTACAAAAATACGAGCTTCGTGAAGTGAAACAAGAACTTCATGGAAGAAAGCAAGAGCTTTGTAAAGTGGAGCAGGAGCCTCATGGAGCGAAGCGAGGACTTGTGAAGTGGAGAAACAGCTTCATATTACAACCGAAGCTCTTATTAAAGAAACAGAAGATGCTGCTATATTGAACATGATGGTTTCAAACATGGGTGCCGAACGAGTCTCAGCACTTCAAACAGACGTTTAATTTTTTCTTTTTGTTTTTTGTTCTTTCCGTTTTCTTTAGTTTAGTCTTT